AATAGTAACTGTCACTGCTCGTGCATCAGTGAAAGCAAATAGTGGGCGGAACATATCAAGGATGAATTGCTTACTGCAACTCTCTGTCCCCACTGCTCACCTTTGACCTTTTGACTGCTTCAAACAATGAAAACATTGAGACACCAACAGCCAGAAGAACAGCCGGCAGTATTCAGCTTTTGTTCTCCCTTAAAATATAATAAGTCAACAGCAACAACAGCAACAATAACAACTTGCAACAAGGGCAAACAAACGGGCAACACAAAAGCACACAAAATCCGGAGAAAGAGAGAGACACACCATGACTTTCTGGCCCCGCTGCATCATTGTCACCTTGAGCTCTGGGTTATTGGGTTTTCACACACTCGTCCAGTCACCTCCTCGTCCTCAGCCCCCATCAGGATGCCAGTGCCACATCCTTTAGCTTTTGAAAATGTAGTAACAACACCAACAGCACAGGGCACATTGCGAGTTGCAGGCATTAAGGCGTTTACTTAGAGACATGTCTTTCGAGTTAAGAGATGAATGAGGTGGAGAGAAAACTACATATGTTGTCAGCTACTTCTTCTTTACAAGTGTTGACAAACTTGTTTTGTATTTTTTAATAAATCAAACATTGAAATTATCACAATAAGTACAACATAAACTCATTTGCATTCGATATAAAACTTATGATAGGTAAACGCAGTAAGGACTTTTTTTGCAATCCCCTATCTATCTACACATTTCTTCAAAGGACTAAAAACTAGACAACCACGTTTAAGAACCAAACTTCTTGACAAATCATCAAATTTCACTTTCAAAAAGACCTGGATTAATAAAAAAGTTGAAGGCAAATTGCCAATGATATATTTATATTTCTGCTCTAAAAAGTTGCCAGCTCTACACCAGCTAAACACACATTTGAGCAGCTGTGAAGTATAGTTTCCTATATAGATATATAGACTAGAACCTAGAACAGGGGCACCTCTTCACCTTCGCACCACTCAGGGCCAAAGGCTGTTCATATCCCTTTTGGTTCTGCCCGCTTTCATAGACATATTGTATAGTAGTAGCAGTCCCCATCCATATAACTGAGCAAACAACTTTGACTTTGAATTTTCTTGCACAGAAGCCAGTAAACAGCCCCATATCATGTCCATTACGTCGGGAGCCAAAGGCCAGGAGAGCACAAAAGTTGATAAATATTTGCTTTGTCAAAATATTTGTGCATACTTTTGAAGAGCTCAGGAAAAGCGTTGGAAATGGGGCAAGGCAGGGAAAACACTTTCACGCCTCAGTGGGGTTGGCCATTTTTGTTGTTTAGTTTTAATTGTGCCAATGAGATGCTATCCATTGCTACCGACTCTAGTGGCTTTGAGCCTTGTCAAAGTTTGACCTCTCACACTAAGGGAGCTCTTTGCCCCAGACAACCCCTTTCGCCCCAACCCCTTTTAAGCCACACTTTTCATTGCCATAAGCCATGTTTGATATTAATGTGCAACTGTGTGCGTGCCAAGAAACATGATCCGGTAGTCACTTCCCCTTCACCGCCATTCCCCTCTGCGGCCTGCAGTTTGCAGTTTTTAGCCAAACTACTTGACCATGCCATTTGACAGTAACCACCTCGTGCCACGCCCCCCCTGCCCAACAGGCGCCTCTCGAGGTATCGCGTATTTATTGTGCATGGCACATGCGGCGCTCGCATGTTACATTTTATGTTTGCCCAGACTTATTTGTGTGTGAGCTGGATGTACGAGTGTGTGAGTGAGCAATTTATGCTGTCGGCTGCACAGAGGAAAATAAGGATTGAGTCAATGTATAGGTATATAGAATGTATAGATTTGGAAAGGTATATCACTTATATTTCTCAGCAACTCCAATAAGATCCCTTAAGGTTTCTAATCAGATAGTCTAACAAACAAGTAAAAGTACAACTAATTTCCTCGCAGTGCACACCGTCTGGTGATTCGTGGCGGTCGTGTGTTTAGTTTTCGGCCACGTGCTCCGCATAATAATAAGCGGCATTCGAGCCGTTGCAGTTGTAGCTGCGATGCCACAATGCCACAAAAGCTGCTCGCTGGATGCTCCTGCTGCAGGTTAAAAGCGCATTACAGCTGAACTTCATAAATTGCAGCCGCAGCGGCAGCAACAGCACCAGAACCAGCAGCAGTAGGGCTACAATGTTCACATGCCAAGCAGTTGGTTAAGGATTCCCAGCCTTCTAACTCCGTAAACCCCCTTTATATATGTACTTTCCATATTCCGTTCCCCTGGCCAGAAGTCATTCTCATTGCGAATTCCAACTGAGGCTGCATCTCAGGCCAAATGCAAATTCATGCTTACAAAGGACACGCTGGGGAACCGAAGAGCACATGTCAAAGGACCATGACAAAAGCCAAAAGGTACCCAAAGCTCATTAGTCGAATCAGAAAGGGTGTCGTGGTGCTACAGAGGTGGCCCTAAGTGTGGAAATAGCATTAACCATTAAAACAGTTGGCACAAATTGAGTTCAGCTTGTGTGGGCCAAAATTCTCAGTCGGCACAAAGATTCTCAAAGGTCTGAAAGGTTTCTGAAAGACTAAGAGATATAACATTCGAATTTGACATGAAATTAATATGCATTCAATGAGCTTTGAATGGGAAATCAACTTATTGACAGGCTATAAATGATCAAATGGTTAAAGTCGAAAAGTTACTAGATATTATATTAAAAGATCTTTTTCATCCTCTTGTCTTATCGACGCCTTGGGGCGTAGTTTCTATAAGAGTAATCAGGTTAAAGGTGACCAGAATCGGATGTTAGTTTGCAGATAAATATTAGACTCAAAGTCCAAAAAGTGCCATTATTAAGAGAACTAGCCATCTTTAACAATCTGTTCCTATTCGTTTTTATTAGCCTTCTAAGCAAACAAACTAAACTAAAATTTTCACTTAATAAGAACGCGATTTAGTATAACCAACTTAATAAATTGCAACCCCAAACTCAAAGCCACAAAAGCCCGACTGCAATCTGAATAAGGACCATTGTTTCGAAGAGGTAACCGCGACAGCCGTCAATCGACTGCAAGATCGATTTCATTGACAGGCATCGACACATGTTATCGCCGGTAAGAAACCGGATTCCTATGAACATCTCCTGCTAATTGACAGCATTTCCGCAATTCAGAATGAAACCATTTCAGTTCAGGCTCCACATCCCGCCCGACACATCTATTCAGTTTGCCTAAAACAAAGCCTGTTTCTCCATTGAATTTATAATCAAGTTGACATTGCACACACATATGTATATGCATGTATGCCACACATATATATGTACAGTGAACAGCCCACCGACCGACGGACGGACTGCTGCTGAACTGCGGTTATATGATAATTAAAACTCGAACCCCGAAAACTACGGACTGGAGGCCTTTTGTTTATGCTAGCCGAAAACATTTTCTAGTTGAAAGAGCGCACAATTACGCGCACAATGACACGCCCTCACTTGCATAATTGCGGGCTGATAGCGAGCAGTTTGTAAATGGCGTTGGGCTAACGGCAGATTTGTACCGACCATTTGGCATATTTCTGAAACTGAAGCTGAATCTGTATCTGAATCTGAATCAGAATCTGTATCAGAAGCGGAATCTGAATTTGAATTTGAATTGCCAGAGTAGGGCAATGCGGGAATCGGTTGCCAGCGATGCGCTAATTTGAAATGCCACAAAGGCATTTTCCCAGCGTCGTCATCGTGTCTGGCTGCCAACCATTGATTGCAATTATTTTCAGGGCTAGGTCCGTCGACGGGCGTAATTGCGACTCAATTGAAACATTAATTCGGTAACGTAATTGATTGGGCCAGCGCGGAAATCGAATTAGAGTCGATTCTCAAAAATCTCGAGTAGCTGTTGTTTATTGAGATTTAGCTTTGAGGAAAAAATCTGAAGTGATTGCCTGTATTGTGATTGTATGCGACTAGGGGATACCCATTAACAAATATTAAAGAAATTGACAGCTTATAAAGTTTCTATTTACTTCAAAATTGTATTTTTCACTAAAGTTATCGAACTTTATCGGTGCTTACTTGACTTTCCAGCTCTTTGTTACATTTTGATTTATTAATGAGATAAAAAAAACAGGAATATAAAAATGATTCATGATTTTTTATATTCATGATTCTTTAAATTAGGCTAAGCTTAGATTTAATCTTTAATACACGTAAAACAAGAGCTTAATTGGTAAAAATAAAAATAAAAGATATTGAATAGGAAGATATAAGATGTGGTTAAGTTGGCAGCACCATAAGAGAGGAGAAGCTCTGTAGAAGAAGAGTAAAAAGAGACAGCTAGAGGCAGCAGCAGCAGAAAAGTCAGCAGTCGCCCTGCACGACCGTGTAAAGTTCTGCAGTCAAATTTTTGTATTCTTAAATTCATTTCAAATATTTACTAAATGTATTTGAATATGTATAACACTTATCACTCAATTTACAGAATAGTCGGAATGTTAATTATATTTTATATCATATTTTAGATGCAGATAGAGATAGAGATATACACACCGATTTTTTAAATTAATAAAACATTTGGAGTTCAAATTAATGCCTGGAAAATGAATATACCCCTTTAAACTTTAAAAACATGGTATTAAAGTCAGGTAAGGGCTGAGAACTGAAACCGTTAAAACCTCAAAAACCGAAACCGAAAATGCACTCTCCCACGCTTAATACACATACACACGCAGAGAGAGAGAGAGAGTGAGGGCCTTACATACACTCTCACATGTTACAACCGTTAATTTGCCGTTACACACACAGGCATACAGTGGCGCCAAAATGAATTCAATTAATTAAATTAGAGTTGAACGGGCAACAGCAGTCGCAGACTAAATTGGAAATGGTAATGGAAAACCGATAGAGATAGAGAGATATTCTGGCAGAGATCCATATGACTTAAACCCACATAATACATTCCAAATCGAGGCACTAACCACTTTCTTGTCAACATATCAGAATTCTGTACAGTCAAAAGCAGCTCCAACAAGGTAGCAGATATCTCATAAAATACATCAAATATATATTTTGTAATAAAATGGATCCCATTTTCAAGACTCTGCGCAGTCGTGTGGTGATGTATAAGAGCCCTGTGAAAAAAAAACGCAGGACTGTTGCAAAGGAAGTCATAGGAAGGGAAAATACTGAAACTCAAAATATGGTAAATCAAAATATAAGTACTGGAAATCTAGATATAACAAATGAAAATGACTCAAGAAATTCCGTGCTATTTGATGACGATCATTCTTTATCCCTTAATAATCCAAATGGTAGATTTGTTTTTGGTATTCAAAATAATGATAATCCAATATTCGTTGATATACAGCAAGACTATGATACATCGTCCCCAAACCAAATAAAAGGAGAATCCTTGCTAGATGAAACCTATGAAACTGAAAGCAATGACAATGATCTCATATTTATTTCTTACTCCAATGATCCGGTAGCATTTCTCGACATGACACAGGAAACCCTACTAGATGACTAAAATATACAATGGATCGGATTTTTGCATGAAAGAGAATCTTTGGCTATGGATCATTCATAAAGAAAAAGAATACAAATTCCATTAAGTTCAGGTATAGTATATATAATTACGCAGCTCGACCAACTCAATTATTAACTTTCATGAATGGCGGGCAAATTTTGCAAAGCGCCATCTGCTGCGGCTGCATTTACTTTTTGGAGTTTTCAATTTTTATTTTTAATTCGCCTCGTCTCCCGCTTCGCAACCCAATGCTCTTTGCTTCGATTTTCCGCTTTTCCCGTTAATTGTATTAAACGTATATAATTAAGTTGGCCCAACTGGAGGTAATAAATTATGACCTCCCTCCAACCAAGCGGCGGAAACTTTTTCCGATCGCCAACCGACATTTCTGTTGCGACAGACAAATCGAATTAGCGACAAATGTGTTCATTTTTTTTTGTATTTTTTGTCTTTTTATTAATGCTACCAATTTTAACTCATTTAAGGCCTGATGAAGGATTTAAATGGCCAACGGAACCCATGTTAAATGCTAATCTCTAACAGCTGTTCCATAAGTCAAGTGAGATGTCATGCGAGTAGCGAGTGGCGCTCTGAAAAAAAAGGTTTTTACAGTCAACGTTCATCATGGCATGAATTACGGGGCGTCAAACTGTCAAGCACCCAAACCCCCCTCTTTTTTTTTACCGCCCACTTCAAGCAAGACAGATGAACTAAGGGCTCTGTTTTCCACACATAACAGGGATGCAGTGAGCCTCTATTTTCTGTGACTATTGCTATTCATAAAAATTGCTCAATTCCGCTGGCGTTTGCTGGTTTTTCAGGCTTTTCCTCTTTGTATCACTAGCGCTCCTCCTCTCACTCTAACCCCCCCTATGGAAAAACCCGCTGGCAGAGATTTTTCATGCAAACAAGTGATATTTTTGTTGACAACTACCCACACTCTGGTTCTATTTTGGCTGCTAGCGAAAAAACAACATTTACGCCTAACATGTTAGGCTGAAAAAAGAGCAGACAACGTGGCCAAAGTGGGTTGAGTGGATTGTTTATACTGCAGCACAGCCAAAAACCCAACCGTACATGGCACACCCCTTACCACCCACCACAAACTAGGCTTAAAAATCCCACTAGTTTGTTTAAAAAAATTATGCCTAAAATTATGCAATGGCATGTGTGTGTATGGAAGACCACTACCAAAAAGGAAAAAAAAAGTTCCTTAAAAATATTTGCAAATTTCGCACAGTTGGCAGAAATTTCGGAGGCCATAAATTACTATTTGATTAAATTTTTAGCTAGCAAACATATGTACGTAAAAAGCGAGTTAAAATAATAACAATATTCAGTTGCAGCTGCAGCAGCAATTTGTGCAACAGTTGCAACTTTAAAACTTGTTTTTGGCAAAATAACAAGCAAATATTTAAGGGAAAACAAGAGCCAACGAAGAATAATTAAACGGAACTTATTGTATTAAGCTGCGCTGGCTTTGTTTATGTCCAATTAATAATTAATAAACTTTAATTGTAATTTTTCAGATTTTCTGATGAGTTTGGGACCTTTGGAGACCTGTAATGAAATGGCTAATTAAATCAAAACCATTGTTTGATTATGCATTTGTCTATGAAAAGGTTAATATTAGCTATTAATTTAGTACTATCCAGTTTTGCCTTTATCATGAATCATTTCAGATATCACAATTTCCAAACCTGAGGCCATTGACCAGTATTAACAACACACGGGGAAATATACATATATATTTATTTTTATCAATGATTGATTCGAAAAATTTAATCGAGTTTAGTTCATATTCGTTATTTAGATTATTTCTCTGTCCTAAAATCAAAATTTTAACATTCTCGATCAAATTAATTGCCGTTAATACCATCCACTTAACTTCACAAATGTGTTTATAGCTGCCACATAAATTTAACAAAATTCAACCCTCGGGAGCCACGTTGACCTCTCACCTGGGGCGCCGCAATGTATGCAACAAGTTTATGCATTCGCACGCCAGTTGAGGCATGTGATGCGATCTCATAAATTAAACTGACTAAAACCAGAGAAAAGGGAGGGAAAACATCACAAAACCAGGAAAAAAGAAAACTGGCCAGAGCAAACTCAGTCCGCAGAAGCCGCAAACATGCAAACCCAAAAAAAAGAAGGAAGGGGGGCAACTATACGAATCCGAGGGAGAAGTGCAGTGGCGAGTGCAGCACCAACTAAGCACGTGTCAAGAGTGTGGCCCAAGTTTTAATTTGCCTGAGGCATCCACTAACATCCCATACTCGCAGGCCTCACTGAGAGAACTGAATTTATTTAATTATAGTTTATATTTTTGTTAATAAAAGGTTTATTTTTACATTCAAATTCAAATGAGTAAACAATTCTTTTATATAATGTGATAAATCGTATATGTTATTGTTACTTAATTATTATTTTCTCATTCCAAAAACAGAAAAAAATATATTTTAAATTTATTTAAGTTTTTTTCTGTGCAACAACATAAGGGTCCCTATGTCTGGCGCTGAGTAACTGTCAGGCCCGTTAGTCCCTTCATAGCTGGAGAGCCGCCTTGATGTCTGACAATGTCATCAGTTGCAGCTGACGCAGCAGCAGCAGTAGCAGTAGCAGCAGCTATATCTGTAGCAGATATAGCAGAGATAGCAACAGTAGAAATCAGCAGTGGCAGCAGGAGTTGCAGCAGAATTGCAGGGAGTCAACTTGTGTGCGACTGCACACGCATCGCCCGCTTTTTTTAGGGGCTCTTTTAAATCTTGTTGGCGGAATGCGAAAGGGTAGCAAATGGCATGATGGCACTTCTGGTAGCTAAGTAGGGAGGTTCAAGCTAAAGGTCGTTGAATTAGTTTTTTATGATTGGTAAATGTATACTTAATAGGAAAGAAGAATATTTTAGAATAGCATAGAAAGAAGGTTAATCGTAGATTATTTACAAAAAATATTTGATAGTTTATTCGGTAGAATCTTATTTAATCATTAACCCAGAGGGATATAACCAAATAAGACCCAAATTATGGATAAACTTGTTGAATTCCTAGAGTTTTTGCAGAGAAATATCTAAAATATTTTAGCATCTTCTCAGTTCTTTAGAACAAACTCCAGGATACTCTTATACTCTATAACACTTCTCAGGGCAGTTACTTATTTGGACTGGGAGGGTGGTGTCTATGACAAGTGGACAAGTGGGTGTGACTTTCCACCCCTGCAATTCGCCGCCTTTCGCCCAGCCTGCTGCCACCTTCTCCGCTGTGAAACTCTAAAGAGGCAGATAAACCGAGGCTCGCCTGGACGCTGTCAGTTAGCCAGTCAGTCAACCAGTCATCCAGTCAGTCAGTCAGTTCCTCATTCCCCCAGTTCCTCAGTCATTCAGTTAGTGTGGATCCCTCCCTTCCAACCCACTGACGATGTCATTTGCTGCGTGTTGAATTGTGTTTTCATTTGAGTTTTGTGCGGCGCTGATTGCCGCATGCCTCAATGACATTTCATTTATTAAGTGGGCGAGCCTTTCGTCAGTTTGCCTACCGCTCTCTCTCTCTCTCTCTCTCTTTTTCTCTGTCTCTTTCTACCGATTTTTGCAATTCAGCGAGGCACCAATTAACTATGCAACAACCTGCTGACGTCACCGGTGTAAGCGATACCGATCGGCGGCAAAACGGAAACCGGGCGTTGTAAAAATCCTGAGAGTCATGAACGCCCGCCCGCCTTTGATTTGTTTTGCAAGAGCGTGTGTGAATGTGTTACTTATATCCGCTACAAAAGAGCATTTGCATATCAAATGAATTGTAACGAGCATGAAACAAGCAAAAATAACATAGGGTCCACCATTTGCCCACACAACCCCGTTCGACCCATACCTCCACCGTCTCGATCCCTTTTAGCCAGCTGAAATATAAATGTTAATCCTGGCGGCGTCAATTGCAAAACGTTCAACGTTGTTGACAGCCAACGGTAGCACACAGCCCAAGACCAGATCCTGAAACAGGCACAGAATACGAGTCACAGGACCAGGCACCGAACTCAAACACAACATGCTGCACGGCAAGAAAATCTTACTTATATTAGACAAACTTTGTGGGAACTTAACGCAAATTTTAAACTGTAATTACCTTAACATCAACGTTTTTAGCTTATAATAGTTGTGCGAAATATTTTTAGATATTATTATTATGTTAGTAGGATAAGGTTAGATGTTTTTCTCTTTCGAACTTTTTAAACTAATTTTTCCAAAGCTTTCTTTTAACTTTAAATATAAAATGCCAAAAGTGAAGACCGACATTCTTTCCCAGTGTAGTATCCTTGGCCCGGGCCAGTGTGTCAACGGGTTTTTAATTGATTTTCATGGCTGCAGTTTTTGATTGTGCTGATTGACGCATCAAATGAAGTGACTTCGTCCGGGCGAAAGGACAACGGGGCAGCCCGGCAAGGACCTACGGGCATCTGTCTGGGCCATATCAGTGACGAGACAAACAGCACAGAGAGCCAGAAAGGAAGAGCACAGAGCCCCACCGCCCGGGCAGTAATTAAATTTGTCAGCCGGACAAAACGTTCGGCACTTTTCGACCTACCAACTGGCCAACGTGGCGTATGCATGATGCGATGAGCTGCAAAGGAGCTTGTATGACGACCAGCAGGAGCAGAAGAATACAGAGGGGGCTTATTGCATTTTAATCAGTGCATTCAGTAAACTCATTGTTTATCCTCACGGCCGACCCACTCTATTTATTTGCAAATATGAATAAATAAACGAATGGCTGCGATGTATCCAGTGATCCAGTGGTTCAGTGATTGGATGCAGATACAAATGAATGGACTTTTGCGTTCCACATTGGCCACTAATGAGCCGTCTCTGACGTCATTACTGTTTGCTGTCCAAAGTCAGAGGTAGAAGAGCCAGGAACAAATCTCTGAAATCGGAGACTCAATTTAAAAATCATTATGAGCGCACATTAAGCGTAAAAAATTAATGAGCAAGTTGCGTCAACAATGAGCTAGGACCAAGAGTCAGGATATCCCTCGGCATGGGTACGAGAGTATGTGTGTGCTGCAGGGAATCCAAGGTGCGTCCGCTCCTGACTGCATCATCCTCTATATAGCCCGGCTTCAGTTTCATAATGGTGGGAAAAAGGAACAGAAAAAATAAACGCACCCACACACATACAAAAACTTGCAGGAAAATGAGGAAGGAAATCTCCAATAGAAGAAGCCAAAGGAGAAGGAGGAGGCAGGGTGGCAGGTGCCCCTAAGGAGCTGCCGCCCTGATAGGATGTCGACTTGAATGGCCGCAATGGCATTGGGTTTCGGTTAACGGTAATAGACGTGAGCCACTCGGCCAGGTTCTTGCGAAGAGCAAGCCGAAAGCAGAGACCTTCTGTGCAGAGGGGGAAAAAATGTAAAGGAAAATTCCTGTGAGCTGAGAAAATGGAGAAGAGGGAATTATCAGGAAGCTGGTGCCTTTTTATCAGTTGCTCCTTTGCCTTCGTAGGGATTCAATTAGAAATATTAAGTTGATAACTGAAATTAGTGGTTCTTAGTTTCTGCAAATCAAAATGCTTGTTAAATAAAAATAATCGTCGGTTTATAAGTTAATCATTTTCTATATAAACTTTATTACTTGTCTTTTAAATCCTATAAACTGACGATTTAAGATTGTAAAATATATTAATCTACTCGATTTACCTACTGAAACTTAATGGAAACTTAAAAATAATAATATCCCATAAAAATGTATGCCTAATCAACAGTGAAACTAAAATTGTAAGTAACTTATAGACCCTTGAATGCCTTTCCCAAGACCCATGTAAGACCCCCTTCCAATACGCCCCTGACAGCCCCATTGGCACAAAGTCTACAGCAGCGTTTACTTTGCCTAACAATATTTAGTTTGGCAACAAAAGTCGCAGGCCCACACCCCAAAGGACACACAAACTGGCAGTGCCACAAAAATGAGGAATGAGTGGCTTGTGCTCCTGCCACCTTGCCACTCCCCGAACAACTCATTTGGCACTCATCAGTAGGTCAGGGCATTGTTAATGCAACATATCCTTGAAATCCAGGACGAGATCCGTTTAAATTGTTGAGCTTCCCTTCACTTCGAACTATGGTTCTCAACTCGGTCTCCGTCTTGGTCATAGTCTCCGCCTCCATCTCCATTCCATCTCCGGCTTATTCCGCATGCTTGTCACGTTGTCCGGCGCTGAAAGGAGACACCAAACGGGGGCCAGAAGTTTTTTCTTTGCGTGCCCGGACAGATTGGCCTGGCTGGGACGTCCAAGAGGAAAGGATGGGATGCTGGGTATCTGTGTGCGTGCCTCCTGGTCTTTGTTGGTAATTACCTCAAGTTGGTCATTTGATGATGCGCAAATCCCGTCGAGCTGGCTGGAGCATTGAGCTGTGATTGCGGACGCAGGTGGAGCTTCCACCCCTTCAATAGGGGGGGTGGCAGAAGAGCCAAAGGAAGACCGACTGAATCCACAGGTGTGTGTGTGTGGCCCTGGGGCTAATTGCCGTTAAGTGCCTGGGCAATCCTCAAACGTTTGATATTTTCAACATAAATAATCCCAGTCAGTTGGACATTTTTGACTTGGGGCCAGATTCTCACAGAGCTTTAAAGCTTTTGTTACACTGAGCAAAATATAATGATTGTGAGATTGTGAGAAATAACCTTTGGGTTATATATTATATATGTTAAAATATATGAAGTTAAATTTAACCAAGCCATGAAATTTAGCCGAGAGCAGAAGACCTTAGCTGCTGATGCTCCTAGGCCTATGTTAGCTCTTAGTTTTAACTAATTGTCCTTAGATAAATAAATAAAATGTGATGTTAAAGATATGTTTGGATTGACGAATAACTCTAAAATATATCTTCCATATAGTAAAAATATGGAAGATATATTTTAGAGTTATTCGTTCTTTTTCAAAGATATTATGCTCAGTTTTGTCCTTTTATTAAGTTTTTAAAATGAATTATCAAAGAAATTAAAGTTCGTTGTAAGTATTTGCAAATCCATAATACAATATAATATTAAATAACAAATAAATAATAAAGCAAAACTTATCTTTTTGTCAATTTCACTATCACTATGAGTCCCACAATAAAAAGTTAATTTAAAGCACCAAAACTCCTCAAATTTTCTTCGCTTATGGCCTTCATTTATTTAGAGACAACAACAACTTTTTAAATATACAAAAACAAACACATTTGTTAAGTTAATAAGCTAAAAAAAAATTAATTTTAAGTCATTGAAGTTTATTAAAGTTATAAAATCCTCTCATAGGAAACCAACGCATCCGAAAAAATAATTTTGTCTATAATTTGATCGTGCCAAGAACACAACATTTTTCTTAAACAAAACATTAAATGATATTAGGAATCTTTAAAATAAATATTCCTTTTTTAAAAACAAAAACTAAACACAGCTTTAAAGAGTAAAGGTTATATTTCTTCCCCGTGTAGAGCGACTATTTTAGTGTGTGAATTGGAGGATGCCCGTCGGGGGCTTTGCCACCGCATGGTCAAAGTGCTTTCGGTCGCTTGGACCACTTAAGCACAGCGCTTTGGCCATGCTGGCTACATTCGCACAACGTCCCCAACCACCCTCCGACCGCCTCTTTGGGGTTGCTTTTTTGGCGGCAGCACGTCCAGGTGCAGGTGGAATAGAGCTCCTGGTTGCGCCGCTGCATCACATAGCCCCGACATGGATGCGGACTAGCTGAAATGCAGCTAACGAACCGCAATTGCGGTCACATTTCATGAGAGCGCGCACGCCGCCCGCTGGACACTAAATTTCGCCCCAGGCGAAAACTCACACACACGGATGGAGGACGAAACACTGGACGACTGATTCAATTTGCAGCCAGCGACAGGCTTTTAGTGCTCTCCCCAGTGCACCGCCCACACCACCCATATCCTGTCCAACCATTCTACTCCTTCTTCACCTCCTCTGTTGCCTGTGGATATCATCAAAAATTAGCTTGTTTGACGGGACGACTGCTGAGGTGGCTGCAGTTCGCCGGGGCTGTCTTTCTCTCTCTCTCTCTCTCTGCGACCCTAAAACTCAATGAGCTCATGTGGCATTTTAAATGCATGTGCACGAACTTCCGCTGGAAAGGTCACTCCTGGGCAAAGTTCACAAAGCAACAGGTATATGACAGTCCAATTAACTTGACTGAATTCAAAATGAGCTCAATGAAGCACTGGTAAACAAGGTAAAGAATGTCCTAATTAGCAGAAAACTGAGTGCGTTAAAATGTGTAAGGGACATTGGCTAATTAAGACAGAATATTGAAAATCAAGCATACTCTATAAAATAAGCCATTATCTTTTAAAACCATTATAAATAATAAATATCTAAATAATTGTCCATTTTTAAAAACTCTGATCCCTTTAAATCTTGTGATTAGCAAAGTAAAAACTTTGTAACTTTGTAGAAGATTTGGACATTATACTCGTAGCTACTGCTTTACTAACATTGTAATTGTAATGTTTTATATAAAAAGAAGCTTACCTTTAAAAACGAAGAATGTTTTCTCGCATATAAGTTAGCCAATTGAATCTTTAAGCCTGTAGCCTAGTGAAAACTAAATATAATGTGAAGCCCTCCCTTCCGCCTGACTATCCTTCTGGTTTTTATCCTAACTGCCTCATCACACTAAACTTAATGAGAAAATTTGGCAGAGTGGGGAGTGCTAGTGTGGAGCGGTCGGAGTACAAACTATTTGGGGGACAGCTGAGGAGGACATCACATCTAAAAGATGCTGTAATAATTATGCAAATTTCAATTTGGACCGTCTAGCCGAGACACGAACCTGCAGCAGCAGTGACACCTTTGGACAGACGAGAAAACAAGGACGAAAACGCAAGACCCAGGATTCCGGAGTCAGGCAATTTGCAGGCGGCGTCAGTCTCTGAGAAACGTGCGAAAGGAACAAGTCGTGACCCCGCACCTCTGCTGACCTGACCCCTTGAACCTTGTCCCCTCAGTTCACCACTAACAAACCAACCAACCACCCACACAAACGTAAGCGCATTTTAATGATCTCATTTATGCTAATCTGCCAACGCTTGAATCTGTTCACGCACACAGACAGACAAAACCACAAGGGGTGTGCCGTGAGCGATGGGAGGGGGAGGTAAGTTGGTTCCAACTGCCACCGGCTGGTAATGCTAATGAAGTCTAATTGAATTTCGGACACTTGACACGTCCCACAATCTCTGATCTCTAGTTGACACGCTGGCAAGGAGGCGTGGCACATAAAACACAGAGTTTAAATCGGCTATTAAGTGGGAGTGAGACAATATGTAGCAGAATCTGATATTGATATTAAAACACATGCATCCATATGGTCATGACAAAGATGTAGATATAGATATAGATATAGATATAGATATAGATATAGATATAGATATAGATATAGATATAGATATAGATATAGATATAGATATAGATATAGATATAGATATAGATATAGATATAGATATAGATATAGATATAGATATAGATATAGATATAGATATAGATATAGATATAGATATAGATATAGATATAGATATAGATATAGATATAGATATAGATATAGATATAGATATAGATATAGATATAGATATAGATATAGATATAGATATAGATATAGATATAGATATAGATATAGATATAGATATAGATATAGATATAGATATAGATATAGATATAGATATAGATATAGATATAGATATAGATATAGATATAGATATAGATATAGATATAGATAGATAGATATAGATATAGATATAGATATAGATATAGATATAGATATAGATATAGATATAGATATAGATATAGATATAGATATAGATATAGATATAGATATAGATATAGATATAGATATAGATATAGATATAGATATAGATATAGATATAGATATAGATATAGATATAGATATAGATATAGATATAGATATAGATATAGATATAGATATAGATATAGATATAGATATAGATATAGATATAGATATAGATATAGATATAGATATAGATATAGATATAGATATAGATATAGATATAGATATAGATATAGATATAGATATAGATATAGATATAGATATAGATATAGATATAGATATAGATATAGATATAGATATAGATATAGATATAGATATAGATATAGATATAGATATAGATATAGATATAGATATAGATATAGATATAGATATAGATGGTGTTGCTGGTTAAGAATATTTATTTCTTTAAAATTGGTAACTACCATTAACTAAAATTAATTAAAGCTAACAGTGTTGACTATCCAGTCGGTATGACTCGTAATATTGGTGAAAACTTGCACGCCGCTAGTTGAATAACTGTTAATACCAACCAGGACTAGCCTTTCTTGTCCCATAAACATAATCTTCTTTGCCAATACGTCGCCACTTTTGCCATAATTCCGACTCACTCTAGAAGGAACTTCCACACAAATTTGGTTCGGTTGAACTCCGTTTTGGATTCTGTAAGAGCAGTCACGAGAGTTCTCGACTGAAGCGGGTTTTGGATATATAGTCATGCGATCTTCAGTTTGCACATGATCAAATGTGATTAAGCTAGACTCTTCCTGCGGCTCATAATTTGTACTCGCAGGCATACAAATAGGCGTCATATTGTCTAAAAAATAATAACTCAATAACAAAGACACTAAGATTTGGCAGTAATGGTAATACCTATGCTCGCCTGCTTATTAACTTTGAGCAATGCTAAATCATTTTTGAAATCATCAGAAAATTGTGGGTGCTTAAACACGGCAACAACTCGGAATTCGTCATAACGTCTAAGGGTTCCTACCAGGCCCACATCTCTGCGAATATAAAAGATTAATTATTATAAATTATCATCTCCTGTAAAAACTTACAGAGAGACAGCATTATCTGGTAACTTATAGGCATTGGTGATGATAAATCCTGGAAATGAAAATAAGTCATCACTAAGCAAAATTAATGAAAGCTATTAGAACATATACGTACTATCTGTGATAAACCAACCCTGGCCGCTGAAATTTGGTCCATAGATGCGAGCATGTAGTTTTGATGACAAGGTATAGCCTTGGCATTTTTCATACAACCATCTCCCCTGATTCAATTCAATATTGGGCTCTTTGGGCACTATTGGTTGTTGTGGGGGGATTCTTGGATGGTTCTTGATATCAAATCTCTTCACAGTTGCCTCAATCCACTCAACATAGCTTGATAGATCTATATAAGCGAACTGGTCATTACAATTTATTTTTGCATTTTTTAGAATGCCAATTTGCACTTCGCGAACAACATTCGATTGATCGTTGACAACAGAGGTTAAGGGAGCACCGGATTCCAGATGGCAAGAGGCTCTTCTCGATTTCGCAACTGCACAAATGTTTTTCGGATCGGAATCGGCATTCAAATTTAATTGGCACTGCTTGGAAAGGATTAGGGCAATGGCATGAAGTTTGTTATTCTTTGGTCTCCAGCCAAAGGTTTTTAAATCTTTGGCTATTTGCCAATTCTTATCCAAATTAATGCAAATTGGTTGGATACGTTCTGTGGGGAATAGGGTTTTTAATATAATCTTTATTAAATAGTTATCATACCATTATAGTCAACGCTGTTCGACAGCTTTAGGAGGCCTATATTGTTCTGGAGACTTCCACTATAGTCCAAACTGTGCACTACGCTATGACTGACCCCGTGCATCTGAGCGGGCTCTGTTTTTTTATATGCTCCCAAGCCAATAAATCTAAATTAAAGAAGTTTGTTTAACCAAAAATGTAATAGTCATAATATACATTTCGAACTTACAGTTCGTCATGACCTTGTACGCAATCAGCAGTAGTCAAAACAAAATCTGAAGAAAATTGTTAATATCATAAACTTAACTTGAATTATTCATTACTAATATACGCACCTTTATTAATCAGCGTTCCGGTACATATGTAGTGAGTTGCATTTCTAATATATGCCATCCAAGTAGCATATTGTTGCAGAGTCTCGTTTTGTGATTGGTATTGTTTCGGAGCTGAACAGGATTCCTCTAGAAACCGGTAACCACCTACGTGGCTTATGAGCAAAGCCACCCATGGGATCCAAGCGAATAATGTCTTCATTTCACGAGAAGCGCAAAGCAACTGAAACATGAACTATGAATAATAGCCCCTTATCAGTGGTCAAGTAAAATTTTTATTTATATATTCTTATGAATGTGTATTTTATGAGTCATGCTGATCGGAATTTGATAAACGTTTTTTCTTACATTTTAGATTTTTAAAAGTAAGGTTTATTATTATTCTGTTATGTTTTATAATTTTTACAATTTAATTGCAAAATCTATCCCAAACCGTAATCTTTCTGGTTATTCCCGAAAGGCAAATACAATCTTTAATTTTTTCTGAAGAACGCTGATAATATTATTTGAATTTGTTAAAAAGTTCTTAATGTACTTAGCTAAATGAAATTAAATATTTTATGTATTTTTCTTTTAATAATTTTTAACCAGTTTTTAAGCTATCAACGTACAACATTCCAAAATACATTTCCTTGAATCAGCTTTAAACTGCGCTTAAAGTGATTTCTAACTCGACCCATTGAATGCATTCTCTTGACCAGTATCCGTATCTGAACGATGTGCGGCAGTGGCAGTAACTATATCTGTCCGTGGCCATCTCGACGGGTTTCAGCTGCTGTCCGGCGGAGTCAACATTTGCGTTTTTGCGGCTGCGGCGGGCATAAAATTTCCTATGCATTCGACCACATTGAAATTTTCTCGTAATATTTGATTTGATTTTTAAACAAAACGCTGTCCCACGCCTAGTTAGAGTGAGATAGTGGCATTGTCAAGTGACGAGCTCCGGTCAGGCTGACATATTGACAAGGGGATTGGGAATGGGTTGCACAACCAGGATGATGGGCATTCCGCTTTTATTAGCATGCCAGTGTGTAGCAACAACAAATCAGAATTATTTGACAACGCAGCTAATTTACATGAGCGTGCGAAAGGGGTGGCTTAAAATGGTGATGGGGGGGAAGGGGATTGATGGGTTGCACATTGGACTGTTGGACAGTCAGGAGCTGATACTCGTATCTCACATCCCGACAGCATGCGGCTTCTGTCTGCGGCTTCTTTCTGTGGCCTGGTCATGGATCTCAACTGGACCTGAAACTGGAATAAAACCGGAACCGACTCTGTCCATGGCCTCATTGTTAAATCGTCGGGCGGCATTTTAAGTGGGCAAAAAGTTGAAACCGCTTTCGACTTGCGTTCAATTTCATTTAATTACTTTGACGTAAATTTCGAAACTGTATTACCGATGCGGGAGCAGGGCAAGTAAGAGTTAACCCTTTGCCAACCGATAGCAGAGTTTGCTTAAAAATCTGGTTTTCCGGTTTGCTTTTTAAAATCGAGGAAATAATTGGGGCTCGTAAGGGGAGACTTTATGAACATATATTATATATATATAAATTAGATACGATTTTTAATCAGTATATTTAAAGTTTTTTAATTTGTACAGCAATTGATATACATTTTAGTTTTCAATAATTTTATTTTGTACAATGGTTTAAATTGTTTAAGTTATTAGCTTTACAAAGAAAAAAGTTTGGGTGGAAAACCAGTCAAGTTGGGATTAATTTATTGCTAAAAAAGTTGCAAACACATCATTAAAAAAAACCTTAAAAGCACAAAAAAGATTATTTAATCAACAAACTTGCATAATATAATTAAAAATTGAGTTACACAAAATTTTTTCTCTGTGAAAATAATTGTTTAGCGGAGAAATAAACAATCCCTTCGAGTTTCACTTGGTAATTCCCCAGAATAATGAAAATTATACGCAGACTACAATTTCAAGTCTGAAGGCTTTTTTATCAACACAAAGAAAAATTGATTACAGCATTTATTAAACATTATGTTAATAATTAGAAGTAAGTTAAAATATAAATATTTTTTTTTAAGATAAAGAAAGTTTTTACATTTTTAGAGTTTTTTATTCATTTACCTATTTTATATTATTATTATTAAAGAAAGTATTATGCTGCTTACAATATTACCAAAAAAAGTATCTTTAAAAAGAAAAACATTTTATATCAATATGATTTCTTAATATTCCTTTTTCCATTTTTTTTCTTTGTGTACTTAATTTGGTTACGCTGTGATGCGGGAGGGGGGATAACAGCATAATCAGCATCTCCAATAGGTTTTTGAGAGAATAAAAGAGACAGTGATTGGGAGAGAAAAGCCCGATCAACAAAAGCGTGACAAAGAAAAGCCCAACCAGACACGCGATAATAACAGAGTCTTACATATAAACAAAATATATGAACATACATACATATACATATACCATGGGAGTTTACATACGCCCGATATGGATCTCAGCATATATAGTATGTATGTAAATACATATATATGCAAAGTACCGGCAGATAGTGCTCGACGATAACAGGGCTGATTCCTATCTAAACTGTAACAGGTGCCCAGCAGACTCGAGAAACGCGATCCCCGCTAGGTCCCGAGATAAAATTGATTGATAAGAGGGGTTTGGGGTGTGGGTGAGGGTGAGGGTGCGCGGGGGAGCAGAGGAGGGGGGTTTAGTGGGAGGTCGGGAAGAACACAAAGCTCAGAATGAGAGCTTCACGCAGGAAAGCTTTGTCACATATGTATATTTATTGCTATTGTTTTCGCTCTCTCCGCGGCTCGAGTTTCAATTTAGTCAATTTACCGTTACCGGTACCGTTACACTTACAGTTGCACTCGATGAGCGCCGCCGAACGAACAGCTGAAGGGAATCGGTTTCAAGATCGGGACCCATGGAGCAGTCCGAGCATGAGCCGAAGTCAAAGCCGGAGTCGAGCCACGTCTATTGGATCATCCTGGCTGCATGACGAACTTGTAAGTTTTAGAGCTTCAGTTGTGGCTGGACCGCCAGCCGCGATCGATCTCGCTCTCCCTATATTCACGCGTTCTCTCTCTCACTTTCTCTCTATTGCGGAACTCTCCCCACCCACGCCATGTGTTTTTGTTGTGAATGAGCTCCCTCGCCGTCAATTGTTATTATAACTGTTACTTTCCATCCTCTATCAACCCCTCCCCACCAACGTCGATTGCTCTTTGTCTGTCATGCATCGACATAATGCTGAGAGCTCTTTCTGTTTCATCAATCGTATCAACGGGAACGCCAATGATGAACTGCAGCAGCCCGGAGAACATGAGCCCACTTCCGCTCTTTTGGACTACTGCAAACGGAAGGTGGGTGTGGTGTGATGATCGATCATTGATTACCTAACCATCAAGTCGTGGAAACTGACCAACATCTTGCCATAACAGTTCCTTCGTCCATATGTGGCCATCCTGACGCTGGTGGGTCTTAATCCCATCTCCACCGATATGAGCAGTGTACGTGCCTGCTGCAGCTACGTGCAGGCGTTGATGGTGCTATTCGTCCTGCTGGTTGGATACCTTTTACGGTACATTTGTGGATACAGGTAAGGGTTCACTGTGAAAAACAGAATTTTCTCCCATTACGTTATACAAGAAATCGGTAAAGATTTATAATTTTACAAAAAAAAGTGATTTCCTCAAGGAGAAAACCATTGCAAGTTATTTTATCTCATCATGTAAGCAGATACACTTAAATGCGATCGTACACAAGTTCATACTATATGTACCCATGTTTTGTTATCAATTGATTTATTATTCCGGAAAACCTTCCCAGCTTTAAACACAAACAGTGGACAATATTCAACTATTATACATGTCTGCAGCAAATTACACATGCATGTATTGGATAACTATTTTGCTTCAACTAACAGTGTAATATTTATTTTAAAAATTTATAAAAACATATGTATGTATGTAGGCAAGTTTTTCACAACGTAAAAAATTCCAATCTCTACCCTAGATTATTTTTGAGATATCATTTTCATTAATAAAAAGAAATGATTACGAGTTATACGTACCATAGCAGAAAAAACCCCATTGCAACCTATTACTAATACTATATTAACATGAAACAGCTTTATATTTACAAACAAACATTTTATTTTACTATATTCCTACAAGACCAAAAGTGCCAAAAGATCATCTTTGTCCAACTTCCTTTTATTTAAAAACTTATGTTTTAAAATTGTTAAAGGCAGACTATAACTTATGTGTTTGTTTAAAACTTTAAATTATTTTGTTTTCCTTATTTATGTTTCGATGACTGATAGATGTTATTTACATATATTTATAAAATTAAAACCCTAATTCAAAAATATGACTATTTCATATTATTTGTATCTTCCACATTGCAAATACGCGTTTTTGTTATTTCGTCTATTTCTTACAATTACTATTAAAATTAGTTTAATCGTAACCAATTCTCTTCTAGAGGCGATCGTGGTTTTACCAGCTACAGGGACATTCGACCCATTACCAATGGAACAGATGGCGGGTCAGCTAGTCCTAACACTATAGGAGAACTTCTCTTTGGATTTATAGTGCCCAGTGGATTTAATCTACTGTCTTTCGTGTCAGCAGTGTTGGTATGCAAGGTGATCGACCATGAGCAGCTGCAAAACCTCATCGAGCGGGTGTTCCTGATGTCAGCCAAGCCGAAAAGACTGTGCCGAATGTTGTGGCTCTTTTTGACCATTGCATTGGCTTTGCTGATTTTGCTTTTTGGATACGCTTGCTGCGTGGTGATAATGCAGCCAAGTCAGATCGTGAAAGTGTCTTGGCTAGCAGAAGCCCTAAGCGATTGGGAGTTGTGGCTGCGTGTGGGCCTGTTGTTCACCATATTGCTCCAAGACCTTGTGGAAATTATTATACTAAGCAACTATTACATCGAATGTTATTTGCTAAGGATGCATTTGGAAACGCTTTCGCACAAGCTCCTCATGCACTCCATCGATTCACTAGATTGGATGAGGGAAGTCCTTGAATTTCGTAAGCTGCTGGAACGGCTGAATCAGCACGTGTCTGTGCCGGTGTGCTTCCTGATTGTAATGAATCTGGCGTACGCCTTCGCGGGATTGGTGTACCTTTTCAAGGACTTTGATTTCCACTACTGTGCCATGAAGCTCGTCTTACTTAACATTGCCAATGTGATGCTGTGGCTGTTTTTGGGATTGCTGCCCTTTTTCGTCGCATCATCAGTGACGCGTGTGTGCCAGAACGCCCAGGCGAATGGCCATCAGATACGGGTTCGCCCGTTTGTTTACCACAATACCTCGGCGGAGGATCTCAACTCGACGCTACTATTCGCCGCCTCACTAGACATGTCCGCTAAACTCTTTCGAATGCCTATCCAACCGAACTACTTGTGCTTCGCCATCCTTGTTGTGGTCATCGTAATTCTCACGCTTGGCATGTGTCTGAATCTCACCGCCTTGGGCAAAATATAACCAATAAATTGTACGCATTCGCCTATAATAATAAAAAATTATAGTATTTGTATAGCTTATTACTTTGCGACCTGACTGACTGGCTGCTAAGCAAATTTATTTACACTGTATGGCTTCCATCTACGAATTAGCTACTTATTGGTACTCTAATGTTTAGTCTCAGTTGCTGTCTCAATATCTCTGCCTCCGAGTATGCACTTTGGTTTCTTATTGTATGGGTCCCATCCCCACAAGTCCTTTTTACTGGCTGCACTTCCAGCCCGTTACCACCCCAGCCACGGTGGATGGTTAATCTTAGAGGGCGGTATGAAGGTGAGGTTAACCGGTATGTTAATTAGGGCATGAACCCTTTTCAGTCGCTGTAGCGTTGAACGAATTATAACGCCGTTTTTTCCAAGTAAAAAGCCAGCCGGTATGTTAACGTCCCGTCGGGAGTTGTCATGTATCATCTCGATGTAGTGCTCAAACTCTGGCGAGCTGGGATTGTACTCCGTGATAATCGCAGCCAAAGCTCCAGCTGCCTCCGCCTGCAGTGTCTTAGTGACGAAGGAGCACTCCCTGGAAAATAATACGGCATTATAATCTATTTAGCTTTTTATCGTTATCTTAATAATTTAATGAAAGTATTCTTAACGCGCATTCCCTGATTTGATTGACTTGGATTATTAAGACTTTACAGAGACATTTCCATCGCACGTAACCTGATAAACAGGAAACGGTTAGCTTCTTGGTATATGTATGTTAGAGACTACTGATAAGATTCACCTACATACGTATGTATGACCTTAGCCACTAAAGATTTTCCCACACTCAATATAAAAGCTATAATGGAGCGACTTTAGCTCTTCTCACCCTCGATCGATGAGTGCGACGCCCCCATTAAGTTCTCGGGCATTCCGGATTTCTTGGCAAGCGCTCGGCGGATCCGTGAGCACTAGCGGAACTCCCTTCAGTCGATGTGAGAAGGTGGATCCAAAGTCCTTGGCCGGTCGCAGACGGTACGTGTATTCCAGATCCGAGGGCGTGAGGATTTCAAAAAACACGTCACCCGCTATTATGTCCTGGGTTGTGATCGGTATCGATATCGTGGTGCTGGCTTGGATGCAGCGGCTCAGTGTGGCGGCAAGCACTAACCAGACGATTAGCATTTTGGCCACGAACGCATAACTAATGTAAATTTTTGTTGCAAAAAAAAAACAAACTAATTCTTATGGCGTTAGTGGTGGACCGGCCTTTAAAGATGCCGCTAAAGCGATGCTATCGGTCGCTCAAGAACTATCCAAGTATCGAAAAATGACTGTCCTAGCAGTATGTTAAATATTAAAAAAAAATCGAAATGTTTTCTGTTTTACTTTAAAGATTATATTTCAAAAAATATGTATTCTATTTCGCCTAAACAAACAACATTTTATGGAATCCCCTTTATGTATAAATCGATACTTTTTTTCGTTGTCTGATTTTTGACCTCTTTGTAAAGATTACCTACTAAATTGTATTAAATATTATTCTGATAATTTCGTGAATTAACAAAATCATATTTTTAATATTTTCATAATTAACCCTTATTGGTCATAAGGTAATAATTAATTGGTCTAATTTTTAATCGACTTCGCTTGACATAACATTGTTAATACTTCTGAATAAAATAATTACTTATAAGATCTAGTATAACTTGGCATATTTAAAGAAAATGGAATTCTTTAATATTCCATATTTGGGAAGCCTACCCCTAATGTGACAATCGGATATCGATATTTTTGAAATGCAAATTTTAAAGCAAAGCAAATATTAATGCAATAATAAATAATGTGCATGTATATATTATTACATAAATTATTTAATTATTTAAAAAGAAAAAAATCGATAATCGTATAGGAGAGGGTGTCCCTAATGCCTGATCCGATATGTTTCAAGTCACCATTACGGGCACACTGCTTACGCGTGGCTAAAAAGTAGCCAATTGGATCCCACCAAATTGGGTTATGTAGTTCTGACCAGATATAAGCGATCACATTTGTGGAGTTTAAAGCAAGATGTGAAAATGGAATATGCAAATTCGTGCTCTAAGAAACGAAGCAGGCACGGAAGGAGAAGTAAGGCACCACGTTACGTTGCCCACTCAGTATAACATTTCATCTCCTTGTCGACATACCCCGAACCAATGTGCACCGCGTGGAGAGGCAGTGTTGCATTTAACCGCAACCGAAGCAACTCTGACGAGTAGTCGATACCACCGCGAATTGGTACTCGCTCGCTAAGCGGCAGCCATTTTAACTTTTGGCGTCGAAAATACGGCGAGGAAATCTGAGGAAGCCGGAGATCCTGTTCGTCTGTGTGGTTTTTTCGCATCCAGCGCAAGCAGTGTGTAGTGCTCGAGGTCGTGGTTACCAGTGAGTGTGCGAGGAAGTTGAGAAGCGTTGATCAAGAAGGAATCGGAGTTGAATTTCGGAATCGTAATCTAACCAAAAGACCGAAGCAAAGATGTCGATGTCTGCCACGTGCTACAAGTGCAACCGGCCGGGTCACTTTGCCCGGGACTGCAGTCTCGGTGGCGGCGGTGGACCGGGTGGAGTTGGTGGTGGCGGCGGTGGTGGTGGCGGCGGCGGTATGCGCGGCAGCGATGGCGGCGGTATGCGTCGCAACCGCGAGAAGTGCTACAAATGCAACCAGTTCGGGCACTTTGCACGTGCCTGCCCCGAGGAGGCTGAGCGCTGCTACCGCTGCAACGGCATCGGGCACATCTCGAAGGACTGCACTCAGGCGGATAACCCGACCTGCTACCGGTGCAACAAGACCGGACACTGGGTTCGTAACTGCCCTGAAACCGTCAACGAGCGTGGCCCGGCTAATGTGTCATGCTACAAGTGCAACCGCACCGGACACATCTCCAAGAACTGCCCGGAGACTTCGAAAACTTGCTACGGATGCGGCAAGAGCGGACATCTGAGGCGCGAGTGCGACGAGAAGGGCGGACGAAACTAGGCACCACTCGCCGTCCGTAGCACCTCAAAAAAGTAATCATCGAAGGAGGAATATGAGTAATAATTCAACACACGAAGAACAACCAGAAGAAGATGAGAAAAAAAAATATGAAAAACGAAAAATCAATTTGCTACAACATTCACAAAGCCAGCCTACAGCAAGAACACCAACAACAAGCGATAACTAAAGCAGCACCCAAGTCGAGATAAACCCCTCAAAAAAAAAATGCCGAAAAAACATAAAACCCCACAACCCACATTCACCCATTAACGCAGACTATATATCTATAATCCAGAAAAATCATCCAGTAAACCATCTCTGATTCCATAAGCCGAGCCTGCAGCGCGGTGCCAACGTCCCGAGAACTGAGAGAAGAAACGAAGAGGAATTAGCTTTCCGAGGGAAAGCCACCAGAAGAATCAGTGGCCAAGGAGGTAGTAAGGCTCTACGACGAGCAGGGGTACGGAGAAGAACAAGAAGACGATAGCCAACGGCAGCTGTGCAGCCGAGAGAGCAGATGACGCCGACGTAGAGGAAGAGGACGAGGTAGAAGATGAGGAAGACACGACGACCCAATTTGTAAGATGAGACTAAACCGCAACAGCAACAACAAGAGAAATCACCAAGCAAACCACTTTACTATAATTATACCTATATGATTATGCTGCAAAAAGTGTTTGAATTTACTAATTACATTATAACGAATGGAATGAAACTATATAAGATTATATAAAGAAAAGAAAAAAACTTACCTTAAAAAATACTATATAAAGATAATGATCCTATTAGGAGTTCCACAGCCAGAAACAACCGAAAGAAAAAGCGTAAATAAAAATGATTAAAAACCAATGAAAAAGCTAAGAATCAGGCGGCGAGACGAGAAGATAAGACCATAAGTTACCACTCCACTCCATCCAGCTGCTGCCGGCGAGCCTTGGGGAATTCTACAGGATGTACGACTGCCTATCCAGTAACCAGTATCCCACCACCACCCACCCCTAAGACATCCATACCATACCATACACTCATCATCCAAGACGCCCGGCAAGATCTCTCGAGCGGGGTAGCATGCTATATTGCGCATAGCTGTGGAGCCAAAGGGGGCAGCAAACAAGAACAGAGAAGCAGACAAAGAACAAGAAGAGAACATCAACAATGGTAGACATATACGACGACTATGAAAACGGAACGCAACGCTGGAGAGGATGAGCTAAGCGGTTAAATAAGAAGAAGACAAGCAAGCAGCACTCAGAACACTCAGTGGGAAGATGAAGAAGACAACAGCACACACACCTTCAGTTCAGTTGGACGGACGGGACACAAAAGATGCGAAACCTACGTACGATGAAGAAAATGAAAATTCAAATATCACTGTGATTGTTTTTTAATTGTAAATTAAAATGCTGGAGCTGCTGATTTGAGACAAAAAAAATAATCGTTGAACATGTGTTATTATTTTAAAGGGATGGGTGGTTATATATGCTATATTTGCTGCATTTCCCTTCTAATTTTATTTTGTGTATTGGCAATATCTATATCAACACCATCAAATTAGTTGCAAAAATTAACCCCCTGCTAATTTTCACAGCATGCGCCTCTGTATGGAAGAGAGCGATCATTTGCTTTCGCACTCTCCATCTTACTCCCTCTCTCCCAACCAGTTTACCGGCAATTGCAGCTGCGAACACATGGCGCGGGCAGCTGATGGGGGCTCTCTCTTTCGCTCGTCATTGTGTGTATGCCGCTTTCTTTGCGCTCCTGCCCTGTGTGCAGTTCACTTACCACCATATATACACACACACATGCATACTTATATACATACTCACGCGCTAAGTGAATATATCGTGCTGCGAAGTACAGTCGCCGCTAATGGTGAAAACTGGCTGTGCGAAAATGGCAAAGAGAAAGAGCGACAGAGTGAACAGGGTTGGGGTGGCAACTCCAACTTCGCCGGCTGCACTTGGCAACAAGTCTGCAGTCGGCAACCGATTGAGGGTCAAGGTCAGCCTTCGCGCATCAGCTGCTGCGCATGTGTGACCACGAACAAGACGGCGGTTTCGCGAAAGCTGCGCTCCAAGTTTCTGCTTGCTGCATGTGGCAGATGTGGTAAGAGGAAGAGCGGCTTAGGATGGCAAAGCTGTTTCGGTGGTTCGTAAGCCGGTTTGGCATCTTTTTCGCGGTTCACCATATTTTACGTCGATGCGATGGCGGGGCGTATAAAATAATTGCTGCATTTACTTAGACCTGCGAGGGGCGTTCCAGATGTTCGACAGGCATTTATCACATGTTTTTGTTCATCTTTCGAAAGGAAAGGCTTAGGCTTAGTCACAAGTTTTTTTTTTAGTAACTGCTTGAACTTATGTAATGGGTAACAGTAAATTAAAAATAAACTAAACATATATTTCGCTTAACTTAATACTTTTGCATTATTTTTAGCTTCTTATAATAGAAAATAATTATTCTTTCTTAGGTGATACAGTATTAGCCAATAAACTATTAAATAAATAAGTATCTTCCGTAATATTAAAAATTCTTTAAATATAATCTATTTTTTAAATATATTTTAATATAAATTTTAATTTAATAATCTCTAAGTTAGTACTAATCTGTTATTAGCTGTTTTAAACACAATTTACAAATATTATAAAAATCGACTTACATTTTATCATTATTATTTAAATTAATAAGTTAATAGATTTTTTTATGAATTTTTTTTTTATTTAATGTAAATTTTAGTATATAAATTTGATAAAATATTTTTTTTTTTGGTATGTAATAAATTGTCATTTTTTGAAGTGTCGCTTAAAAAATTTTAACTCAAAACTGCTTCTGGAAGTACGTGCTACAAAATTTTTATTCGTAATAATAATAAAAAATATATATAAAAATATGCCGAAGGGTAATTCTAGTGACTGCACATGCCGATTGGCCAATGAGGTGGGCCAGCTAAAGGGTAACGAAGAAGGGATATCACCGGACAGTCTTTGTAATGCAGTACACATCCCATAGCTATTGTTAATGCCCAGAGCAAGACTCTCGCCAGATTGGTCCGTCATATGAAGGATGGGTGCAGAAAGGACGAGGAGTCCAAGGAGTCAACCTTGTGTGGACTGAATCCTTGCCTGAAGTGCCTGCAGCCCGACATACTTTATCACCTGGGACTCGACACGGACACCACCGACTTCCCTAAGGTGTTTGGAGATGTCCGGGTAAGTCTTAGCTGCTCTTGGGCAATAAGCTAGTACTAGCTTTCTCATTGCTAGTTCGTTTGTATGGGAGGGACACCGGGGCGGATGGAGAACTTTGCCTACTATGTGATGCAAGAGATCGGCCTCAAAATAAACGCGGCAACCAAACTACGTGACATGGCGGAGGCGGGCAAGCGATTCTCCATGTTCAAGGTGGGTCCCGTGCTCTGTGCCAGCCACGGAATGGGCTGTCCTTCCATATCCATCCTGCTGCATGAACTCATAAAGATGATGTGCCACGCTAAGTGCAAAGATCCCGTTTTCATTAGGATTGGCACCTGCGGCGGCATTGGCGTCGATCCGGGAACTGTAGTTATCTCTTCTGAGGCGGTTGATGGACGCCTGAATGCCGCCCACGAGATCCTGGTGCACGGCAACAGTGTTCAACATGCTAGCCAGCTGGACGAGGGTCTTGCTGACGAAATCAAGAACTGCCATGATCCGTGCAAAGATAATTATGAGGCCATCATCGGACGAACACTGTGTGCCCATGACTTTTACGAGGGTCAATCAAGATTGGATGGCGCCTTTTGCGAATATACCCCAGAAATGAAGAAGGCCTACCTGGAACAGCTGCAGAGCCAGGATGTGAAAAACATCGAAATGGAGAGCCTAGCCCTCGCTGCCCTCACCAGTCGGGCCAACATCAGGAGTGCAGTTGTCTGCGTGGCTATTATAAACCGCCTTAACGGGGATCAGGTAAACTTGTCTCAGGTTATAAACTAAGGTAGCGGCAAAGTATCATAATTCGATACTTATTTCCTGCATCCGGACAATGTGTTTTTGTGTATTATTAACTATTTCCTAAACCCAAAACATAGATTAAAACCCCGCATGAGATTTTGACAAAATGGGAGAAGCGACCGCAGGAGTTGGTGGCCCGCTACATACGGAAGGTTCTTTACTTTAATGGAAATGACAGTGAATCGGAGCAAACGGATGAGGGCTCAGAAGCAGGAGCTCAGGGCGGGGCAGGAGACACCCAAAAGGCGACTGCGGAGGAAGATTAAAGAGAGTTCTGGATGAAAGGAAAATGTTACCTATTCATGTCGGTAAATCCCAATAATCGAGGCTTTCCTTAATACATTAACCTAATAACAAAAGTTTTGATGTCATACTAACTTATTCCATTAATATAAATCTCAATAATTATATCTCCCAAAGATAGATATAGATAGATATCACTTATTGTTCAGTTCAATGGTATAGGTTCTTTTATTTAATGCTCAATTACAATATTAGGAATTTATGCTACAGAATTGATAGGTTTCTTCGGGTTTCATTTTTGGTTAGTAGTACAGCTGTTTGGAGAACCTTTGGGCAGAGGCTAGAAGACTCGCTTAACGCTAAACTAGTCACAAAATGAGTACCAACTGCAACCAGGGACGAGCTGCACCTGGAGCTCTAATAGAATCACAAACAAAGTACACAATGCATATGCATATATAGCTAATATTATCATAATCTGTATCGATATCCGTATTAAGTTACAATTTAAACTAAAACATGAGGTTCTGGTTCTATAGATTACTCTGTACTTCCACCATTGCCACCTTAATCAGGATATTGATGGAGGTGTGTGGCTAAAGAATCCATGCTCCACTACTTCTCCGACTTGTTGCGCGTTTTGGCCTGACCAGTGGCAATTCCACCGGCCTGTGATCTGTCCGATTTCCTGCTGCTCGACCGGGGCAAGGTGGTGCAGCTAGTGGACATGGATTTGTCCTGAAATAAATCAAGAAATAAAATTAAAGGTTAGAGACCAGACTTCACTTAGATCGTTTCAAACAACATGCTGCAAATCCTTAAATCTGTGGGTTAGTAACGCAACTGTACAAGAGGATAAATGCCATAATTGGGGGCCATGGAAGTTAAAAAGGCGGAGCTGAAATCGCCCGGCGGTGAGCGAAATATAACACTGGGATGATGAGAGCTTCGATAACGGGCTTGCGGCTGGGCTTACTTCAAATCTGTGTCTCTTTGGCCGCCAGCTGCTCATCCTCCGGCTGCTGGCTGGGATTAGCTTTGTTACGCATCACATTAGCTTTGATATGCTTGAACAGTTGGCCGATACCTGACTTGCGTTCCGCGCTGCCCGTCGATGTCTGGCTGATGGCGTCAGGTTGGGGACTCAACGAGTGCCTCTTCGGTGGCAGCGGTGGAGGTGGAGCACGTCCCTTGCCGTGACTGGCCCTGGGTCGCAAAGAGGGTGATGGTGAGGCTGATATGGAGGGCTCTGGTTCTAGTTGGACCCGGAAACTATGCTTAATCTCCTCTAAGGTAGCCCGCATCTCGCGCGGCGACATTGGACGTGGTCGTTCGGGTTGAAAAGGATCTGGTGCGGATGCAGAAGTGCTTAATACCAGCAAAAAGGGATCTATGGGTGGATGGATATATGGTTGGGCCTGTAAAGGGGTATTCGATTCAGATTTGACAGCAGATCCATTCGCGGTATGATTTTGTAGCTTCTCCTGATGTACGTCCTCGGAGGAATTTTTGGCTTCTTTTACATCCGTTTCTTCCGAAAGAAGTTTCTTGGGTTCTTCCACTAATGCATCTTCAAATTCATCCTCTTTTATAGAATTCATCTTTTCATCTTGGGAAGATAACTGTTCTTCAGCTTTACTTTCATTAATCTCTTCCTCTATCAATGGTAAGGCCTCAAAAAAGTATTCATCATCCGCATCATCCTTGTCCTCCTCCTTCACCACCTGTACCACCTCCTTATTTGGGATTCTCTCATAGCTCTCCAGAATCTTTAGTTCTTGATCCACCTGAACCGAATTCTCCCCTCGCACACTTTGAAAGTACAGCTGATTCTCAAAGTAGACCTCGTCCCTCATCTCTTTCAGCAACTGCTAACCAACACCAATCTCTAAACGGATTAAGATAGTTGCATATAAAGAGACTCAAATAAATCCTACCTCATTGCGTTTGGACTTGGCGCGACCCTTGGAAGCATTCGTCATGGAAGAGGTGCGACTGAGTCCGCTTACGGGTTCGGCACTCGAGTAACCGGAGCTAATGTCATCCTGGCTGCGAATGTTGTAGCTAAAATAATAATATATTTAATTATGATTACAAAAAATAATCATTTATGCTTCATCCGATTTCTAAATTAGTGTGGATACTTACTTGAAATCGCCCGCATTCTTAGCGGTCACATCCACCTCCGTAAAATACATTCCCGTGGAGTGGCGTGTGCCGCTTCCAGATCGACCCACAGGAGTCTGATTTCTTGGGCGCAGAATTCGGGTGCCCGTTGAAGGCGAACGCATGACAACAGCCGACGAGGCCATTGAGGACATCATGACATCGTCCAACTCGTCCTGCGTGCGATGCATATCGGGTTCGCTCAGATCACTGAGGCTATAACTCCGCTTGATCGTCTGCACCAGATTGCCACCGCCCTTCAGTGGAGCGTGATGTTTGTAAGTGGTTGGTCGTGGTAGGTGGAGTAGAGCACAAGAGTTGGCATTTCAATAATTTAATTTTAACTAAAACTAATCGAAAACTTAAGAGTAAACATAGCAATAATACATGGTTGAAAAAAATAAAACTGCAAGTGAGCGACAGGGTTAAGGTGATGACATGTGTATGTATCGCTGAGTTTTTTAAAATTCGATTGTTCGCTGAGTATCTGCTGTTGGATGCTAGCCATCTTTAATAGCCCTCCACGTCCACGTCGGGCGTAGGATCGCGCAGCTTGCGGCGCGAGCGGATCACATTGGTGGAACTGCCAGTGGCCTCCACATTGTTGTTCTTTTGGCCACGTTTGCCAGCCGTCCTGGCGGTGCCACCAGCTCGACGTGGTTGAGATTTCCGGACCGGCAAGTCCCGTATACGTGCCGCTCCGGCATCGCCGATGGGTTCATCATCGTGCTCCAGCTCCTCGGAAACCTCTCGTATGATCAGTCTCCTGGTCTCGGTCCTCGGCTCGTAGATTGTCTCCGTATAGCTCTCTATGCTGTCCAAGGAACTGGCTCTTGGCAGCCAGTTGTCGGTGCTGTCCATCATATCTTGACCCCGGTACAGCTCATCGGCCGAATGAGAGTTTTGCAGGCCACGTCCATGGACCGATGGAGCCGTGGTCAACGCATAGGTCTAGCAGTTAGCGGGTTAGTGGCATTCGAGCGGTGCAGGCAGGTGCGTTTAGTTGGGATTTGGTTTTTATTTTTGTTTGTTTTGTTGGTGGGTTAAATGCAAAGAAACATAAGTGAAGAAACGAAAAAGTTAATTAAAATAGAGGCAACGCAAAAGTCTCAAATTGAAATGAATTGCAGCTGGGTCAAATGAGGCACATACACACACGCTCAAGAATTGTCTCATGCTTGGTATCTATTTATATTTATTTGCCCTACCCTAGAGGCGATTCGGAATTGGAATTAGAATTGTGCAACTGGGCAACTGGGAAGGGGACAATGGCGCTGGCCGAGTGAAATCAGTGGAATGCAAATGTAGAAACAAGGAGTGCCTGGCAGATGTCTTCATGGGTATAATACACGCCATAAAAAGACTCTTTTAGAGGATTTATACTGGAAAGTGTACTTTTTGCTTTTGTTCTTCAAAACGAGTTTCTTTGTCTAGGAACAAAGAAGGGTAGCTTCCTTTCTGATGATTAATTCGCTATATACATCATTTGAAAAATCTTGTATAGCTTCAGAACCCTTTAAAGGCAAAACTTAAAATTTCTTAAGAAGAAACAGAGAACCTAAATCAGAAAATTACCTTGGTATTATGTGCTAAGAAACTTAAATATATGTATACATTTTTCGAGTTTCTTTTCTTATATAAGCAAATGTCTTTGTCTGCTAACAAAGGAGGCTCAAGTAGTCCAGAAAACCGATGATTAACTCGGATTCTTTGTAAACACTTAGCCAAATGGAATGTGCAACTTAACCTACATAGCAGCTTGCATTTCTTTTCGTTCCTTTAAATCTTTGACCTACATCAACGGGCATTTGTTTATCGACTGCATTAGTTAATCATTGAGCAGTCTTTGCCCTCCAGATTCCATCCAATCGTTTGCAGCCCACAAGTGTCTTGGCCCACATCTGAATTGTTTACAAACAGTTGTGAATTGCGACGGGTGTCTGGGATCTTTGGGTTTGTTCAGTTTTTGTTTTTATTACATTGCTTCAACATGTCGATTTATCTTTTAGCGTATATCACATATAGTATATATATAGTGATCTAGCCAAACAAAGAGAAACACACTATAAACTAAATCGAAACAAACACGCAAATGGCACAAAAGAGCATTCTCAATTCTAGACGTTTAAACTAAATAATAATAAAAGTAAATGTAAAGAGATGGCGAGCTGATGATGAAGGCGATGATGATTCTCTTGGCGAGGAGCTCCCTGTATTTTGCTGCGGATTCGCTGACCAGTTCGGCGATGATTAAGATGAGCACGCGAGAGTATTGTGCAAATTTTCAAATATATAGAACAGAAGATGATGTTTGTTTGCTGCAGCTCATTTTATGCAACGACGCTGGAGGCGATCGAAAATGGCCAAATAAATGTGGTTGAGCGAGTTGAATGAGTGTGCGAGATTTTGGATGTGGGTGAGTGTGTCAGTGGGGGTTGTGTGTGGTTTGTGTGGGGAGGATTACCTTGATGGCCGTCTGCATGAGGACATTGGTTGCATAGTTAACTCCCTTGGAGCCTAGTTGTAGTACCGCTGAATAGCCCCGCTCTTTAGCCTGATTCACATACTCATCGATCTCCTGCACAATAAAGAGTAGAACTTATGATGTACAGAGAGATATATATAAACACTTGAGTTTCGAGATCCCACCTGTTCGTGGCGCGTCAACATCGGATGTACGAATTTCCGGTACAGCGTCGAACTGCCCTTAGTGGCCGGTGAAAGCAGCCAGAAGACCAGGGTCACCTTCACTTCATAGTAGAATGGCAGCCAGGAGATAAATATATCCGTGAATGTTTCAATGCAGGTGAAAAATGCAAAGACAATCCAGTACATCATCCATTTCACCTAAGACAAAGAATGATTTACAATTCACAGAATCAGTAATCTGTTCCTTAATATATTTATAATTATATTGCATATTAACAATATAAAAATTCAATTTACAGCAATTTATTTTGGCGATTATTACCCAAATGAGGTCAGAAAACAATTTATTAAATATCCATTAAAAAGAAAATTATTCGAGAGACGGTTTAGCTATTTAGATATAAATACTTACATATTCCTTAACATCCTTGGTCCTGACGGCCTTGTAGGAGGCATAGGCCGGATACAGGGTGCCGCAGAACAATCTGAAAGCGGGAAACAGTAAACTCTGGACACAAGTACGCGGTGCTAGGAATATGACAATCAGCGAGCAGATGCAGGCCGTGTTGAAGGAGAGACACGGAAGAGGACAGCGCTGCAGCAGCTCTAGCATTCGGCCTAGGGCATTAAGGTTCTGAACCACTTTTGGGGTGGGTGCGGTGGCCAGTGGAACGTGCTGTTCCACTATGTAGGGCCCACCGTAATCATTGTCGGGAAAATCACTGTCCAGCGAGCTCAGAGAATCGCCCAGCTGATACAGTGGATACTGAGCTCGTTGCTGCTGTTGTTGTGGGCCGTAAATAAATTTTGGATAGACGGGGATCACATCCTCTGGCTGATCCTCGAGCGAGTAACTGCGACCGTAGACTGTGCCCGGCGGATGACGTAGGCGTCGGAGATTAGCTGGCCGCTGATAGAAGAGCGGCTGCTCCTGCTGATAAATTGGCCTCATGGCAACGGGGATGCATTTCCCGCAGCGCGGATCGCAGATCGTTCCTGGCCGCTAGAATGCCGAGCAGAGACTGCCGGCCGGGGCGTGGAGAGCGCTCTGCCATCGGAGATTCGGCGTCTAACGCTCTAGCGGGGGGTCTATTAATAAACCACATTCGGGTCTAGAGAGAAGCAGTCACGGCAATGTTTACACGGAGGAATGCGCCGTAGTTCCGAACAACAGATGTATTCAAAAAAATAATACTTAAAACTTTTAAAAATAATTATTCTAGTTTTTTTCTTATTATTTTTAATAGTTAAAAGATTTAGTTTTGAAAGATTATTAAATGCATTTCTGAATATCACATCTTAAGTTTTTCGATGTAATTTACGGATGTATCCCAATTTATATATATATATATGTATATCTATATATAATTTGAATTTTTAAATATTAAAAGCTGACACAGGACAAAATTTCAAATTGGTATTACTAGAGAAACTATTTAGTTTGATTTAAACTTAAAATTTAAACATTTAATTAAATTAGTCAAGCGATTAATGTCTGCAGAATTCAAACAAAGTGTTGCTAATAACTTGCTTGCCATTGTGCCATATTGAGCAAGCGTTAAGTTGCCAATTCGACCGCGATCTATAAATATTGACAACAATAGCCGTTGTTCGTGGAGTCACAAAGAGAGTCGCCGGGTCGCGAACAGGCTATATCCACATGTTCTGCACCCAAATCGGGTGAGACGAGAGCGTCGGCCTCGGAAACTCGGAAAGTTGCAGCTCCAAATTAGGAGTTCAATTGGGGGTTACACACGGAGACGCACACACATACACTAACGCACCAGTGAACGGTACATTGCGGCGCAACGGCGACAGCTGATTAATAAACAAACAACCTGGTAATCAACGAATCGGAGAAACCACGGAAATATAAAAAATCTGAAGCGTGACGCCCACACAATTAGGAACCAACGTAGACTTTCGTAGGTGCTTTTCTCAATTTTGAAGGCCGAGCTTGAAAAGTTCGTGTTTTTTCTACTTTTTTTGGGGGTCATCGCTGCAACGCTCTCACTCGCACTCACTCTCTGCTCGCTTACATGGGATATGAAGTTGGAGATTACTGATAGGTGATTACTCACATTATGAGCCGCGAAAACAGGCTGCTGATCATCTTGAAGGCCTTATAAGTTCTAGAGAAAAATAAAAGTACAGGGTATTACATGGACCCATTCTGTATCCTTGCTTCTTTCTCACCCTTAATTATCACCTGTGATTTCTGCGACTTTTCCGTGTTCTGTATGATTTATTATTGCAAGAATTTTAGGGCAATTTCAAAATAAACTTCATCGACTCTCGTATCACTTGAATTTATATATTTTTTTAGGTTGCTGCGATTTAAGGAATAGGACTTCGAATTTATTTGGCTACGCAATTTTTAGCACCGTGTTGCGTCGCTACTGTATAATTGCGACTCGCCAGCTCGGCTCCAACTACATGGCTTTGTGCATTTTTACTTGAAAAAGCCTACGTTTTGTGCCCAGTTTTGCGACTGCATTTGATTGCCCGCGAACAAATCGCTTTTGTTTAATTCACAGCAAACAAAAAGAAACGCTTGCAGGACAGAGACAGACGAACAACAACAAAGCAATGTGCAGAAATTTTCGTTCTCGGGCATACTAAAAAAAATACTACTCAGGAAAATACTAACAAGAAATAACAGTGATTTGGTCATACCATAAATAAAATGTTGATAATGAATTATTTCTGTTTTCTAAAGATTTTTCAGAAAAATACAATTCTATTATATTACTTACTTAATTTATATTTATTATTTACTTAATGTTGAAAAACTTTTTGATTTCCTAAACTTTCGTTCGTTGACAAACCTTTTGAAAAACTCAACAACTACAATTGTGCTTAGATATTAACAACTAAATTATATTTATTTCGGGAATTCAAGTTTTGGTTTGGCGGGTGGTGAGTTACTCAGTGGTGAGTTGACTTAAAGTGACCGTCCAGAAAGTGGCGCGAATTTGGATTCACAGTATTTATAACTTTTAAACTAGCAGCCACTCTGCTGGCCAAAACTAGAAACGGACGAACTGCAAATATTCGACAAAATAATAAGAAAACAAGCGAAAATGGCGCAAACTGCTCCAGACTGCAGGGATACGCAGGTGAGTAGAATGGCGTATAACTAAGATGTCAACAATTTTAATTATTTTGTTTCAGGATTTCCAATTTAAACTGCACGACAAACTTGTGGCGTTCAAAAAATGCGGCGAGCCCCGGAGCAATGTGAAATTGCTTGCGATCTCCAGCAGCCGGGGATTGCTTTTTGCCGGCAATCCGACGCAGCCGGAACTTAAGGGTAATTTTAAAAATTTTAGGTAAAATTTTTTATTCTATATCATAACCTCTTTACAGTGATAATCGTTAAGGATCTAGCGAATGCCAAGACCACAGAGCAACAGCCGCAGGCTCGTCTTTTACAGCTGCCCAGTGTTCCGAATTACATCGCCTGCAGCTCCGATGGAAATCTTCTTGCCGTAAATTACACTCAGAATGGCACCAGCTTATTAAGCATCTATGCGGTGCAATCATTTATGACCCCGGATGTTCGTCCTGTTTACAATATTCGATTGGCGGCCGAGGACCACGTGCACGCTGTCCAGCTGCTCTGGAACCCGGTTCTGCCTAACAGTCTGGCCGTTATTCTAAGCAACGGAGCCCTAGGCATGTACGCCTTAAAGGAGGGAGGAAACTTTGAAATGCACTCCCTTGACAAGAATCAGCAGGTGAAGTGCGGCTGCTGGTCGCCAAAGGGTAAGCAGATAGTACTTGGCTTTCCAAGCGGTAAGGTGCAGCAGTTCAAACCGGATCTGACGCCAGCCAAGACTCTGTTGTGTCCGCCAAATATTCATGATGCCCCCTTCGACACAATCGCGATCCAGTGGCTATCAACGTTCCAATTTGCCGTGATCTTCTTGCAGCATGGGGAGGACTGTAATCCCTCACTGTACATTCTTAATGCTCCAAAGACAGGTCCGCCTAGCTACATTAACTATTATGACATCTGCTACAGTCTAAATGGCCCAAGGAATCATCAATTTCTCTTTAGTCATGTGCCGCAATGGAATCTGCTCCTTGTTGTCTCGGCCAATGGCGTGGAGGTGGGAGTTATGGCAACATCCGATGTTGGGGATACACCCGCCTGGCATCAGTTAACATTGCTAGATGAGGCCCGCATTGAGATGCCCCTTAGTGAGAACCAGGATGAGACTTTTCCGTTAGGATTTGCCTACGATACGTCTTCGACGCATCAGCTGACAGTCAACGAACAGAAGCTTCAGTCTATGCCAATGGTGCACGTATTGAGCTCAAATGGAGCTCTACTGTCATTTAACTTCCTGAATTTAATGCCCGCAGCAGTATCTGTTTGCTCGCCGCCTCCCCCCGTGGCAGATACTTCAGGGCAGTTTAGGCCGCTCAATACATTGCTTTCTAATGAGGATGAGAACCAGCCAGTAGTTGCAGCCAGTCCGCCACCCAAGACACCTGCGGTAACCGCTCCCTCTGACATATCTTTCGCCTTCACGCCGAATACGGTTACGTCAACTCCAGCTCCCTCAAAGGAAAAGCCACCATCGCTGTTTTCCGGCTTTGGAGCAGCTGCAGCCAAAGCTCCAGCTTCTCAACTTTCGTTCGGAGCAGTTCCAAATTCGGCTCCACTTTCATTTGGTGCCGCAACTACCTCAGGTGGGAAGCCAGCCACCGCATTGGGTGGTTTTGGTGCGCCAGCGACAAATCCGTCGATTGGTTCGATGTTTTCAGCACCGGGAACGAATACCTTCGGCGCAATTGCTCTAAACAAACCGACAGCTGCTTCTGTGACGCCCCGCCTACCAGCTTCCGAGACAGCCGCTTCACCAGCAGTTCCTACTCCCGCTCCTGCTTCTGTTAACAAGCCGCTATATACTGTCCCCTCGACATATACACCGGTGGCCGCTAAAGCACCTCCGGCGGCTCCGCCTCCAACTGTAGTAGAAACCCTTAAGACGGATGACACGGAACCTATTATTAAAGACATGATTGCACTACAAATCGAGTCCTTTAGCCAGGACATTCAAAAACAAAAAGAACAGACCAAAGAGCTGCTTAAAGGCGTATGTTAATAACTTTGTTAGTATTAACTTGGTTATAAATGTTTTATGTATATTCCGCAGATAGCCGCACCGTCAGCTCTAAGAGTGTACGCAAAGCGTTTGGATGATCTCCAGGAGTTAAATGAACAAGCCAAGGATGTAGAGTTTGAGCTGGATGTACAAGGACTGAGACAGGGTCTCAATGAGGCTTATGCTATTGTAGCGGAGTGTCGTGGCAAACTGGAAATTTATAGAAAACCTGAGTGGGTTTCTCTTTATCTTTTATTTAAAAGTTATTTTTATGCCTTTTTGTCTTTTAGAATCACACGTCTGATGAACTCAAGTTCCTGCGATCCCGCAGGTCGTCGAATGCTGGCTCGTCTTCAAAGCTACGTGGCCGCCAACGAGGCCCAACTGCGCCTCGCCCAGCAACATATCGATGTGCAGTGGGAGCAGTATCAGGATGTTGTCAGACGCAATTCCAAGTCTCGCATGCACATGCCTTGTCTAGAGGGAATTTACCAGCGACTCTCTAGACTACAGAACCTCGCTTCTGATCAACGAATTTTACAGAACAGTATCAAAGCCAAGCTTAAGGAGCGCGGATTACTTCAGGCCGCACTGCTCGACCAAGAGAACAGTCGCAGCCGCACCAACGAAGCGTTAGTTGATGTTTTATTTTTCATTTTTTAAATGTAACCATTAATTTATTATCCAGAGTGGACACTTTAGCCGACTCCATTCTCTCGATGAGCCTCAGTCAAGTAGTGGAGTCCAACGCGGCTAAACTTACCCAGCAGAGACTACAGAAGATACGTAAAGTTGTCCAGCTGCAGAAGATCAATATTATTTGCCCTCAGCGACCGGATCGCGTGGGACTCAAGTCGGAAGTTATTTTAGAAACCAAGCGTAGAGCGGATCAGATTAAGAAGGCAGCTGCTAAGCCCACAACTGCCAACAAGCACACACAAGCAGCTGTGGTTTTACCTCCTGCTCCAGCAGCTACTCCCATGCCTCAAGTTCCTCATACTGCGGTTTCTCAGCTGCCAAAACCAATGCCTTCCAAACCGACCGCTGTGGAAAAACCTGGTATTCCTACTCATCCCGCTACCCCTATTGCTACGCCATTCTCCTTTAGTCAGAGCAGCCCATTTGTGAAGACGTCCACTGTGACGCCAACGACAAACACTCTGACACCTGGAGAAGCCGCCAAACCGGGTTCATCCATATTTGGCGGATTGGGCACCGCGAGTCCCAGCTTTAGTTTTGGTGGTGGAGGTACAAAGCCGGGTCTCACATTTGGGGGAGGTTCATCATCTGTGGAATCTGCTTCAATACCAAAACCAAACATATTACCAACGATTGAGAAAGATCAGAATGCACCAGAGCCAGCTAAACCAAAAGATCAGAAAGTAGGACTTGAAATTAAGCCAATGAAAGGCGCTCCCGAAGTGACAAAATTAGCGCCACAAACACCAAAAGCCGAAACCGCGAACAAGTCCATTAGTTTTGCTGGATTAGCTGGAACTGGCGGTTCTGTGGGAAGTTCCTCTGGCTCTCCTTTTAGTTTTGGTGGTTTAGGATCATCATTGGGCTTTGGAGGAACCGCTCCTGCAGCATCAAAACCCGAAGCTCCCAACAAAGCCATCACCGTTACAACGGCATCGGCTTCTGCTGCTCCATTTGGCATGTTCTCCGCATCTTTAGCTAAACCAACCACGAGTGAACCCACAGTGACTACAGTCACTAGCTCCAATACTGTAATTAGCAAGCCAACGCCTGCAATTGCTACGATTGCTAGCTCAACAGGCGTTTCTGCTGCTCCGTCGGTGATTACGACGAGTGGAGCAACCACAAACTCGGATCCCATCGGCGGTCTTTTCAGCTCTGTTAACATTTGCAAGCCAAACATACCAGCAGGTATGTACGTTTTTGAAATTTTTACGATTTACAACGAAAGCACAACACAAGTTCCATTAGTATTACTGAATTGATTGAACATAAATCTCAGTGAATCCAAACAACTACGCCAAATATTAAATAGCAATATATGATTAATATATTTCATACATTTTTTTACAGAAGCCACAAAGCCAGCCAATATTTTTGGAGGTCTTAATAGTGGTCCAGTCTCCAGTAACTTTTCGTTTGGCGGAGGAACTGGAGATACGGGAAAGGGATTATTTGCCAGCATCACTCAAGTAGCAACTTCTACGTCAGCTTCAACCACTTCGGCAGAGGCAATAAACAAAACTGACACCGTTGCAACAACTGCAACCGCTGCTCCAACTACGACTACGCCTGCTGCAACAGTCGCAGCACCAATTTCAGTGTCATCAGCGACATCTGTAGCACCTGCAGCATCGACAACAACGAGCTCAACGTCTAGTAGCACTGTACCTGGCAGCGCCTTTTCTTTCTCGAACGCTTTTAGCAGCCTTAGTGCGGGAGGTGCTACACCTCCAGCTTCCACAGCAGCAGCAGCTCCTTTGACTGCAAGTAGCTCCACCGCATCCACAGTTAGTAACTCGTCTTCAGTGTTTGGAGGTGGCTTTGCGGCAGCAACATCAACTCCGGCTCCAGTAGCTAATCCCTTTCAATCGGCTGCAAAGAGTACTACACCTTCGAGTGGCAATATTTTCGGAAGCATACCTAAGCCGGAGACCAGTGTTTTTGGAGCAACTACTGCTGCTCCTTCGAATTCCACTGTTCCGGCAACAGCAGCTGCACCACCTTCAGGTCTCTTTGCATCTGCTGCTATTAGTAACCCGTCCCCATTTGGAAGTCCTCCTGCTGGAGCACCTGCCTCTGGCGGGAACATTTTTGGTCAGGCCGCAAAGTCAAATGTTTTTGGACAACCGACACCAACAGCTGAAAGCGGAGGATCAATTTTTGGAGGTGGAACCAATACACCATTTGGATCAAGCTCAATTTTTGGGGGAAGTAATCCGCAGAGTCCTGCCAGCGGTCCCGCTGCTGGAAGTACTTCAATATTTGGTCAAAATGTGTTTGGCCAGTCAGCGTCAGCTTCACCCGCTGCAGGTGGAAACATATTTTCCAATCCTGTAGGCACCCCTCAGGCTTCTGCTTTTGGTGGCGGAGGAAATTCGATTTTCGGTTCGCCTGCACCATCTACTGCTACGCCAGTCTCAGGCGGATCGATCTTTGGAGGTGGTACCACTTCTGGTGGATTTGGATCCTTTTCACAGACAACACCATCACCGGGAGTCTTCGGTGGTGGATTTGCCCAAGGCGGCGGAGGGTCAGTGGCACAGTCTGGGTTTGGATCACCACAAACGCCGCAACAACAACCGGCGCCTGGTGGATTCGGAGCTAAGCCCGTATTTGGAGGATCGCCAGCCTTTGGAGCGAGTCCCACTTTCGGAGGAGGAGCCACATTCGGTAGCCCAAAGGGATTCGGTGGTTTTGGTGGAGCCACACCTGTAGCCTCACCTCCAGCCTTTGGTGCTGCACCGAAACCGGCACAAGGAAACATATTTGAAACACTTGGCGGTCAGGAATCTGGCCTCTCCTTTGGAAATCTGGCACAAACAGGGAACTCAAATACCCAGAAACCAGCATTCGGAGGGTGAGTCAAAGCGAGAAGTATATCAAGATGAAGTATGACTAAAAACAAACATTTTTCATTTCAGATCTAGTTTCATGAATTATCGTTGAGTTAAAAATGTAAATGTAACGTGAATTCAATAACTTTGTTTGTCCAATTTTTGATTAAATTTGATTACTACTTATAATACGAGGATAGCTTCATTAAAATAGTTTAAAATCGCCAAAATGTGTTTGAATATATATTTATATAATTTATTTTCTACGTTATTTTTTTTGTATGCGCAACCCTTATCTTACGCTTTCAACACTCGTATCAGCTTCATTCGAAAGAGTCGCTTTCTGTGCTTTGGTCAGCTCGGTTGTGGATTTTGTTTCTCGTAAGCATGCTGGAACGTCTAGCTGGGATTGCTTGGATCATTTTGCTTCTTTGTCACCGGGGCGGATCCGAGTTATTAGAACAAAATTGTGGAACTGGAAAGGTGTACTCGTATAGGATTCACAACGGCGTTAATGCAACTCATTATGACGCTGCCTGGTTGGTAGCCATTACAAATGCCACGCACTTCTTTTGTGGTGGCTCTCTGATTCACAGACGTTTGTATTCTTGCATAAAACGAGATTGTTTTATTAATCATTTTTTCATTTTTTTTTTCATTTTCATTAATTTTTAGGCTTTGTTTTGACTGCTGCGCATTGCTTAGTTCATAAAGATAAATTGTAAGTATTATAGATTTTACAAGGGCTTCTAGATTCATCAGAAGATGCGTGTTATTTCTATTATTTGTTTTTATTATAGATTCGTGCACTTGGGAGCGCTCGACCTAACCAAGCCGGCGGATACGAAAGCGGTTGCTACAAAATATATACATCATTTATATAAGGGTTATGATGGGAATGATATTGGGCTGCTTAAACTGACCAGCAGTGTCAACTACGATGGTATGATACGATAAAGACGACGATAAGCAAATATACTAATGAAAATCTGTTTTAGTCAATATTCATCCAATCTGCATCGTTTTAGATAAGCGTTTTAGGGGATATGTTGACTCAATGAAAACGTTCAAGGCCTTTGGCTGGGGATCAACAGAAAAAGTTTTGCAAAGCAGATTTCTTCAAAAAATCAGACTTAACCATTTACCTCTATACGACTGCGATTTGGAAACCCAACCAAATGGCAGTTCGAAGCAGCTTTGTGCCGGTTCCCTTGCCGGAGACACTTGTGATGGTGATTCTGGTGGCCCATTGACAAACAGTGTCAACTTTACAGTCATCGGGCATCGTGAAGTACAATTCGGTATAGTAAGTTATGGCAGGGTAAGCTGTGATGGTCCAGCGGTTTATACTGATGTAACAAGTTATGTGGATTGGATTCAGAATACTATTAAGGAGTATGATACTGTTGATGTTGATTCGTCAATGATCCCGCATGTGCCCTTTAAGTCTGTAAAGGCTCAAGATAAGTGGTTGTACACGGATTGTGGTGGCGATACCATAGCATCGTATTTACAGGCTAAGATTTATGGAATTAATTTCTTGGGACAGGGTGTACTGATAACAGACCGTAAGTATACGTTTTCTTTTTTAAAAAATTTATATATTTTCATGGAATTCAGAATTGATAACAAGATTTTTAATATGGTAAATGCACGTATATAAATTTATTTCCCATTCAAGAATACTCATATTACTTCTGAAATAGTGGCCGATTCGACCTCTCAACGTATCGCTAAAAGTGCTGTTATTTGTTCTTTACTGGTTAATGAATCTGTTGCTGATATTGCCTCTAAATGTTAGCTTAATGGATTGGCATGGTTAGACAATTTTTTAAATATTCTGAAATATATTTAAATTAGCAAGAACAAACTTGTGTTAGCCTTTGTGTAAAAGCGAATATGAATAATTTATGGTTATTGTGCTTTCCAGGATTTGTCATTACAAATGCCAGAGGCTTGCCAGCAAATTATATTTCCTTGTAAGTACTACCAAAATGTTATTAATTCATTAGTAAATTTATGGCAAATGAACCACAGAGAAGTGAGCGTATTAGGGATGCAAAATGAATATGAATCCTACAGAGTTCAGTCCGCCTTCAAGCACCCGCAGTACTCAAGCGTCTTCAATGATATAGCCCTAATAAAACTAGATCGATCGGTGACGGGTCCAGGTAACTTAATTTATGCAACAAGTATCTCCTGTACACTAGATTTCCCTTTTTGCAGACGGAATGAAACCAATTTGCATGCTGGCCAACGTAATGGACCGGCAGAATGCCGAATCTAGTCCATACGTCACTCTATTACACTTTGTGGAATCCAACGACAGCTTTAAAGTATTTGAATATAGCGCTGCACTGGTTGATCGCAACGATTGTTCATATAGAGCCCATGTACATATCGAATCGAATCAACTTTGTATTGAAAGCCCTCGCGGAATGAATCAGATTTATGGAAATCCAGGCGACATTCTTGGCAGCAGGGTTATGGATTCGGGAAAGGAACGTCTCGCCGTGTTTGGCCTTGTTAGCTATTCATGGAATGGTCTGATCGTTCTTACAAACGTTATGAGGCATACGGATTGGATTGCGACTATAGTGAAAAATAATTAGTATTGGTCTTTACTCATCTTTTATTAATGTAATGTACTCCTTTTATATTCTATATACCCATATTCCATATTCATATATCGTTTAATATGTCCTGCATGCATTGTGAACGAAAATATATATTTTTTATTTATTATAATTTATATATTATTATTATTTTATATTTATTTATAATTATTATAGATGTTAATTATAAAAATCATTGACGTTAAGTGTAAAAGCTATCATCACAGATCGCCCTGATTGTATTAATGTCCTATTCTTGTATGGTATAAGGGTGTGTTATATTCGATGAAAAGTATGTATTGTAATAACGTGCAAAAATGAGTACGTGTTTGCAACTATTTAATGCTGACTCGCATGATAAGAAATTTATAAGAAAAACCAGTAAGCTCAACAATTTGTATTCTGAGTACACACATATTTGTAATACATTGCGTTAGGAAATGAAGACGAAAACAACTCGCATGAGCAATCATGTTATGTTTATTTTGAAGATCTTTAGAAATTAATAATTATTTCATTTATTTAAATATTTTCCTTTGGTATAATTCCTTATTATACATATTTTGATCACAATTATAATCGCTCAATCGGCTTGTATGCTTCCAATTTACATAAATGAGCAAAGTATTTAAAAACAATATACACCGATGAGATCGGCAACGGTGCGGATTCTAATACTGTTATCAAGAGTGGCTGTGGATATTAAAAATTATTTAATTGAATTCACCAACATAAACAATCATTTATTTAATAAGGACCATATATCTTAAGTTTTATGTTTTATGTTATGTTTTTTAAACTCGTTAATGATCTAATGGAAATTTGTCAAAACTACCAATCCCAAACCTGCTGTAATTAATGGCTCCAAAAATATAATGAAGCGGAACAAAAAATGATTTGTAAGGTTTATTTAGTTATTAGTTATGGTCTATAACATCAGGCAATTACTTATTTATAATTGTCACACTGCCAAAGTCATAAAAATCATGAAAGCTCAGTGCTCACTTCGCAATGATCGCGTTCAAACTATCAACAGTGATCGTCCTGATTCTGTTTTTATATGAAGTAAGCTGAATCGGATTTTAAACCACGAAATAAAAAACGATCTGATTATAAAACATTTTGTTTAGGTCGAATGTAAATTCGAGTTTACTAACATAATATGTACCTCATTGGACAAGGAATTTATGGATTTCGATGCATGCTTCCTGAAATCAAAAAATCGGACCTATAAGTTTATGACTTTGAGGACAAAAATTTTCCAGTTACCATTTAACGACTTAGTGGTAAGTGATTTAAATTTCCGATTGACGTCTTGAAATTAACAATGATGTTTTTCAGGTAAGGATTGAGTTGCTAAAGAGGATGAATGGTTATAAACCGTTTCTCTACAACCTGACGACTGATTTGTGCGAATATTTCAAGGGAAGGCGACATCCAGTGGTTCGATTCTTCTACGAACTTTTTGCCCAATATTCCAACCTGAACCACACTTGTCCATACAATGTATGACCTTTCTGTAGGTTCAATCGATATTATAATAACTTATTAATTACAGCACGATATATATGTGAAGGAGCTGCCTATCAACTTTTTGGATCCTCAGGTGACAGTTGCTCTCCCGTTTCCGGAAGGGGATTACTGCGTGCATACAGTTTACACAATACGTGGTCGACCGCGTATGAAGCTTAAAGTTTGTGCTACAATTTACTAAAACTATATCGTTTAACAATGAAAGTAAACTGCTATTTAGAGAGGTTTAACTTCCAGTTATTCAAGTTGTTTTCGTTTTTCTCTCTCACCCATTACAACTAGTTAAAGTTGAAGGGTTTGCCCTTTTAGTTAACATAAAACTTTTCGTGATGTACTTACCATTTCTTCCAGACTTTCTTATTGGTTACAAAACTTCTACGGAAAACTTGAACCACAAAAAAAAAAGCAACGATGGATTTTAAAATGTACTTAATTTTATTTATATGTACTTAATGCGTATATTTAATTTGATTAAATACAGTGACTATGTTTCTTTGCACATTTAAGATAAGACAATGCGAAAACATTCTGAATGCACGTACCTAATTGCAAAGTTTGCTTTATAATTTTGTGTGATTTGTGTGGCTTTGTTTCATTTATGTTGTCAGGGCCTTTAGTGTCTATTCAAAATATTTACAATTCACTAAGTTGTGGAATCATGCGTTGTGCGTTTTGTGGTAAAGCTTGCGCACCTGGAAACGCCGCTGCAGCGAAACTGCTTTATGGCAAAATCGAAACTAGGGAGAGCTCTAAGGGAGCGGAAGTGCACAGATGAATATTGGATCGAGTTCGATGGAATTCATTTCAATTCGAACTTGGAATGAACTAATTGAAACAAAATTGGTAAGCAATTTCATTGTGAAAAGTTTGAAAATACAAGTTCGAAAATATAACTGAAAATATCAAATTAACTTGGATTAATCTCGATCTGAAAAACGGAGGGACCGGAGTACAGATGGTAGAACTTAAAACGAGCGTTAAATAGATGGATGTGTTTTGAGCTTTACTACTTCGGATCCTTGTTATAGTCCACATAGACGCGCACTACTTCCCCGGAATACTTGCGCTGCGAGGGCATGAAGTAGAAATCGGGCGTGTCGGATCCTCCGTTCTGTCGCGGATCATCACGCGACCGATCGTAGCCAGAGTCCCGATCGCGATCCTGGCGTTGGCGGCGCTCCTCATCCCTCTCCCGCTCTCGCTCTCTATCCCGGCTACCTTGGCGAGTGGCGCGTCTGTCGTGGGTGTAGTAACCCGATGGCTGCATGCTGGCCGGGCTCTGCTGGTAGTGATGCGTTTGTCGGGGGAGGGAGTAAGCTCGCTCCGCATAGGAGCTTCGGGAATAGGGTGCTCCACCTACACTGCTTTCCTGAGTCGCACGTCCATTGGTGCGACTGCCCTTGCCATTGGTGCCGTTTTTGCTCTGACCATTTGGACTCTCGTAATACATCTGAGATTTGCTGGTGGGCGAGTGGGACATTGGAAGCGTGGTCTGCTGGCTACTAGTGGTCGACTGATGGCGGTGGCGGGCCTTGTCCTTGCCCGATGTGGTGTTTGTACCGTTCTTCTCCTCCGTCTCGCCATAGGGATCAAATGCGTAATTGGTGTTCGAGGCGAACTCCTTCCATGGTGAGTTCTGGATTAGTTTCTCCTGCAAACACAAAGGATTTTAGTTTAATTCGGTTACAAATTCATTGTTTTTCCGTCAATGAGCTCAGCCAGTCAGCATTTCGTGTGGATATTTGTGGGATATTCTATGTATTCCATGTACTATGCAGACAACATAAATTATTTTTGTAATATAAATAATTGAATAGACAATAGTTCTGTGTTTTACTGTTCTGCAAATGTGCCTTGTGCCAGCGTTTAAGCCGAAGATACAATCCTAACCAAACCAAGATGCAGGTGGATTCGGTCATAGCAAGAGGTCAGGTTAATAGTAAAGTAAAGATTTGTAAAGATATCTAAAATAGGATTAGGAGAGCAGGGTTCCAAAATATTTAAATTGCCCAAAATGCTTGGGATCTTAGTTAGCACATATGAAATGCTGACTGGCCAGGAGAACCCGTACACAAATTACGTGAAATGCGAATGGATGTTATTGGAACGAACTGGAAGCACAGAAAGATGTTAGGAGACAGTCGGAGAAATAGGGGAAGAGAGAGAGAGGAGATCAGAGATTACCGTCCAGAGTGGCGAGGTGGGTGAGTTAGGTGAGACAGGGTTAATACAACAACAGATACCACAAGAAAATATAGAGATTTGAATTACCCATTTAGTTTTAGAATTTTGATAAACGCGGCGGCACCTACGCAGATGCAGATAGTACAGTACATAGTCAAGAGGTTTCCGGTATTTAAACTAACTATAAGATGGGTTCAGATTAAAACGTAAGTGCGCTTAAGGCAGTTGTAGCTGATGCTCGGTATTCAGGTGGTTCGGGCAGTGGGATTATCTATAGTATATCTGATTTGATCTGAATTTGATTTGTAGAGTGAGTCTTATAGATCGCTAGAGGGCTGATAGTAGCGCTGGTGCTGTCGCTGTTGGTACATGCGCCACTCTTCGGGTATCACGTAAACCAGCTTTGAACGACACGGTTACAATGGGAAGAGATTAATAAGAAAGGAATGAAAGAAGCCAAGCTGACAAAGAGAAGTTTTTAATACTAACACTTACTCAGTAGTTTAAGTAACTACATACTAACTTTCTTCTCTGTGCCTGCTAAGCTTATGCTGACCCAAACGATAGGGCTACTTCCTAGGCACTCACCTTAGTGTTCTTGCTCTTTCGTGATGTCTTCCAAATGGTGCAAAATGCCTGGATTAGGGCAATGAGAACCAGAGCCGCAATCAAGCCTAGGACAATGTACAGACGTGTCTCAGAGAGATCAAAGAAGGACAGTAATGTCTCCTTGGCGTTGGGTTCAGAGGAGCTCTTGTCTACACAAACAAAGAAAATTTCTTGGTCCTTTGAAAATTCTCAAGTAATCAATATTCTTACATTCCAATGCCTCAAAGTCCAAGTATTGAGGATCCACTGTTAGAGAACCCACACGGCCAGTGGCAATCTGATCCTTCAGAGCCGTTCGAATATCATTGGCATTCTTCTGAGCAGCTGCTTCGCCGGTTGTGTCCACCATGTTGGTTTCCAAATCGTGCTTCTTCTCTACATCCGCCTTGTCGAACATGGCCTGGACCTTGGCCACCATTGTGCTGCCCTCCCTAAAAGTTATATTGTTTGTTAGATACGTGTTAGGAGCTACCTATCGCCTTAATATCTAATTATATAATTTTTAATATATTTAAACTTTATTACAATTCCACTTACTTTTCGAAACCCAGAATCTCGGTCTTATAGTAACCAGTAAGGTTACTCAAGATGCCATTGAATGAATCCGATATTGTGGCTGCCAAGTTATTGAACTCAACGGTTCCCGGCTTCGGTGCTTCATAGGATTCGCCCAGATTCATCAGCTTAACGGCCACGGCGTAGACAAGACGGCTGGGAGCCGGTGTGCTGGTGCCCACAAAAACGGACTCAAGTTCTGTCAGAAACAGAAACAAAATGATTAAAGATCTCCTCATGATTTCGAGAATCACTTCTTACCTTTGCCGCAAGATTTGATGCAGACACGTTGCGAAGAGATTGGAGGAACTTGCTCATGCTTACGGATCTTCTTGTTCACCACATTGAAGGCACCACCCAAAACCGGGAAGAACAGATACAGGCAGTGGTCGTCGGTGAAGGACAAGTCCTGTTCGTCATTGCTGATACGCTTGCGATTGAACTCCAGAATGGTCACACCCTTCTCGATGCGTCCGGAGGCATTGTATATGTCTTGGCGGTCATCCAGCTTTGGCGGCGCGTAGCCAAGCACCCAGGTGTCCATGAGGAAGGGTCTTCCGCTGCGGCCGTCCACCCAGCCAATAATCGCGTCCGTCTGCGACATTCTTTGATCATCGCTGAAGCCAATTCCCGTCCAGGTCTGCGTATTCGACGTTTCTATGTGCCAACGCATCTCGTCGCCCTTTCCGACCGTCTCCCAGCTGGCGTAGTACTCGCAGGTGTGCTCCTGGGGAGAGCAATTGGACGGATACTTCCAGTGGCCAAAGCAATCATTATCCAGGACATTAGTGCCCAGGTCATTGCGATCCGTGCTCGTGGCTGACTTTTCTTTTTCTGTTAAGATAAGAGTTAGTGCGAATGGTAAAATATTGAAGAATAGTTAAAAAATTAAATTTACGTTTAAATTTGTAGATTTCTTACCGAAGAAATTAATTTGGGTGACGCCTCGTTGCATTTGGTGTCCATGGTATTTCAGCTCATCTGGCTGATAGAAATTCTTGACTGTTGAGGTTTGTGTCTCCAGTCCAGAGGCTGGCACGTGCACATAAGCTTGAGGCTCCTGACCCTTAGCCCAAATCACATGGGTTAGGGCATCGTCGAGGGTATGATCGGTGGGATCATTGGCCACCAGTTTTTTGCGGAAGATGATTGTGGTCACGCCGTTCTCTTCAAAGCCTGTGCCCAAGGACAGGTCTGATTTGCCGCCGAAAAATTCATCGATGTGGGGCGTTGATCGGTCGCGACTGTAGAAGTCACCTACGCGGCTGGCCAATCCTCGAGCAGCTCCGATCACGATGTCCGTGCAGTCCATTCCGTTAAAGTCATGTCGTGGTGTGTAAGGATTCAGTCGGTATTTCGGTGACTCTGCGGAACAATATCAGGAAAATTATTTTATTAGTAAACTTGAATACTGATAAGATTTGGAAGAGGAATTATTACCTGCTTCGCGGCGTTGACGGTCTGCTTTAGTGCTGACGCGGTAGGAAACGCTTGTAGAAACGGAAGAAACACCCTGCTTTTGGGCGAAATCTCCGGCTACTCTTTTGGACTTCGTGTTCTGCGCTTCCGGTTCACTCTTGGGTTCAGGCTCACTCTTGGGTTCAGGCTCACTCTTGGGTTCAGGTTCACTCTTCGGCTCAGGCTCACTCTTCGGCTCAGGCTCAGGTTCACTCTTGGGCTCAGGTTCACTCTTGGGCTCAGGCTCGGACTTGGGTTCTGGTTCGCTTGTAGGTTCCGGTTCACTGGTTGGCTCGGGTTCGCTAGAGGGTTCCGGTTTACTTGAGGGCTCTGGTTCGCTCTTGGGTTCCGGTTCACTTTTTGGTTCCGGTTCGCTCTTAGGTTCCGGTTCACTCTTCGGTTCCGGTTCACTTTTCGGTTCTGGCTCGCTCTTGGGTTCTGGTTCACTCTTAGGTTCTGGTTCACTCTTAGGTTCAGGCTCGCTCTTGGGTTCCGGTTCACTCTTAGGTTCCGGTGCGGCTCTTAGTTCTGCTAATCGCTTAGGCTCAGGCTCACTCTTGGGCTCCGGTTCGCTCTTGGGTTCCGGTTCGCTCTTGGGTTCCGGTTCGCTCTTGGGTTCCGGCTCGCTCTTGGGTTCCGGCTCGCTCTTGGGTTCCGGTTCGCTCTTGGGTTCCGGTTCGCTTTTGGGTTCCGGTTCACTCCTTGGTTCCGGTTCACTCTTAGGTTCCGGTTCACTCTTAGGTTCCGGCTCACTCTTTGGTTCCGGTTCGCTCTTGGGTTCCGGTTCGCTCTTGGGCTCTGGCTCGCTCTTGGGCTCCGGTTCACTCTTGGGTTCCGGCTCGCTCTTGGGTTCCAGCGTCGTGGTTAAATCTCCAATGTCCCGTACCAGCGGGAAGTTCTTGCACTCCGGTGTCAAACCACGAGGCCTCCAACCCAATCCCACCCAGGATGTGCCATTGACCTTTAGGACCATCTCGATCTCCTTTTGCTCTTCAAGAAGTCTCCAGTAGACATGGTAGTCGGGAGACAACTCCTTTTTGGCATAGGAAGAGAGGTCGAGGCTAGTGCTCTTGTACGGCGATCGCTTATTGCATCCGATGCCGAACCAGCCGAAGTTGCAATAGCACTGTTGCCGGGGAATCGAGGTTCCACCCAGATCCACGCACTTTCCCTGGACACCGCAATCGGAGTCGACGGAGCACTCATCCTTGTACTGGCACTGCGGGCCGTAGAAGTTCTTATCGCACTTGCATCGCGAGGGGAAGTATTTTCCATTTCCAGAGCAAGTCTCCTTGAAGTCCTTTCGCAGTTTGACATCCACATCGGCACAGGACCAGAAGCGATAGCTAGTGGACCATTCGTCCGCCTGACGGAGCAGTCTAAGTGTGCAGTTAAAGCACTCGAAGTCGTTCGGTATCTTTACCTGGTAGGATTGGGCACTACGAGAAGAGGGAGATGATTTAAGTCAGATGGCAAAGGTAAAATCAAAATAGGTTTTCAAACTCACGTGACATCAGTGCTCACAAACTCCGAGTTATTGACATGAGGTGTTAGATCCAAAACAGGTCGATCGAGGGCATCCAATAGTTGCAACCGAAAACCGCCCTAGAAAAGTTGTGATTATGATTATGATTATGGTTATGCCAGAACAATGACTGAGAACTTGTGATGCGATGTCGTGCAGCCAAGCCACAAACATGTGAGTCTCGATTCTCAGGGCTTGACTTTGACTGCGTGCATGTGAGGCAATCGTTCGAGAATGGATTCTCGGCTAATTAGCCCCTCGGCGATAGGAGCCCCAGGGGAGGCGTGTCTGCTCCCATTGGAACGGATTCATCTTACCTTGTGCGCATAGGCCAAATGCCAGGTGACGTTGAACTGCGAGCCGGAGAGCAGCGATGTTCGGATGGAGCCTGAAATTAGGAAATCAGAGCGTGATCAGTGAGCCGATGATTACATGTGACAGTCGCCAGTCCAGGGCCATCTATTTGTCCATGCCTAGTCGCATACATAATTAAATCCACTCCCCCTGGAATTGGACTGGTTCTGCATTGAATGACATCGAGTGCACCTGCATCTTGCATACCCAACTCCCCCGGCAAATTGTGCATGACAGCTAAGCTCCGAAGCTATATACATATTCACATATTTATGTGTGCACAGACCCAGCCCCAACATCTTTGTGAACCTGCCCAAACGAATTTCATACTCGTCTGTTGCATAAGACCATGCGGTAATCTTCGCCGAATGCCTTTGACCAGCTGTAAAAAATTACCATCTGTAAGGGGGTTTTTTAGGTGGAGGGACAGGCATGCCAATGCAGCTGCACTAGCAAAAATAATCAGGAACCAAAGATCTGATCTTGGTCTATGGATATACGGTTGAAAAAGTCCTAAATCTTTGAGAGAATTATATAAAAAGGGAAGTTCTTTATTATTAGTTGAAAAGGTTATGGGAAACTACATTCGCCTGACCAAAGCTTACTTGGACTGCCCTTCCTAAGACATAACTTTGTTTCCTATTTTAACACAGAACTTTAATTTTTTATAACTCAGTTATATTTAACAAATTTTCATAAATAATAATAATAATATGTATTGCCATGTTTTTCTCCGTGTCCAGGTGGACAAGAGGAGCTATCAATGCCCAGCTCGCACATCGTTTGGCAGCCAATACACGGCCAACGAGTCGCTAATTGAGGCCATTAAACGTTTATGGCTATGGTCGATCTTTGAAAGCGAAAGGAGGAGTGTCACTTTCCCGATGTCCCCGCGTCTGTCGCGGCCAATAAGGAAGCTGAAAATTATGATCACTGCGCTGGCACGAGATCGCCTAGCCAAGTTAGCCAAAGTCGTAGGAGCTGGTAACATAAAAACTGCTGACCACTTGAATCATTCGATGACTGTTCAATGGTCGTGCAGCTGCCAGTTGTTCATCCCAATATGGCCATAAGCTGACATTCGAAGCGATGGACATGACGCCAAGTTGTTTTCTATACCCCACAAGTGGGTATATCCGTTAGATGCATCTCTAGTAAGCTCATCTTTGGAGCAACAACTTCAGGGTATTCCAAAGTTCTTAGTTTGGATCGAAATCAGCTAATACCATTTGTGGGTCACTGGATTCGTTCGTTCTGGGCAGTAAAACTCTTGATTTCTATTGCGCAACCCATAGAGGAAAATCAGCTCCACTCAGCTGGAAATCTAGCGGGCTTTCCTGGTTGGGTTTCTGGGCCACTGGGAAATGCAAATCAGTTCGAATTGAATGCGGATCAGTGCATTCTTAACATTTGATTGCACCTGAAGTCGTCAAAGAGACCTCACACAGCTTCCCATGATTTAACCAGATTTCGCTTTGTTTTGACTCGAAACGGAAAGCCGCCAAACCAGATCGAGAAATGGGTTAAGCGACTATCGCTGGATAAATCAAGTGTTCCCATTAATAAATCGATACGGCAGACAAATTATGCCCGAAAAGGGGCGGTTAACCATAGCTGTTCGGACCTGTATCCGAATCTGAATCGCATCTGAATCCATGCACCAAATTAGCAGGTGTTTTTCGGTGTTTTTTTCTGTTTTTATTTTTTTTCAACAATTTTTTTTTTGTTTCCCATGGTCCGGAGCGATCGGTCGAAGTTGTCTGGTTAATATTTTGTACGCCTTTTCGTGTTTCGTTTCTACTTCGTCATATTTCCCATGAGCAGGCCCGCGAAAGTTGTTCACCTTTGGGTTTTGTTTTTGGAGGCTGCTAAACATTTTTTTTTTTTTTTTTGATCTGGGTGCTGGTTGAGCTTGAACTCGCCGGCTTCGTCTCGTCTGGCCATTTCGAAAGTCCGTCCCGCTCGACCGCTGGCCACGGGATTCAAATCGGTCGGGGCCGCCTTGACTGGCCGCCTCATCTCTGGCGGAGATGCGCGTGAAATCGGTTTATAATTGATTGGAAACTTGGCTAATTTGATCATAAACCGAATTCCATTGATCGAAAGAGGGAGGGTCTAGTGTGCTTGGTGCCGATTGATTTTTGGTGGCCTAATGATGGACTTAAGAAAAATCAATTTGACAAGGTATTTTCGAGAAAAGTCTATTTTATATTCTCCTTAACAATGTTTACGAAAGTGTTACGTATATTCTAAACTCAGCTCGAACAATGTTATAGGCTAGCCAATGCATCTTATACATGTACCGTCCTTCGGGAAAAGGGAGCACCTTAGTTAGTTGGGTGTTCACATGCTCTGACGATATCTTATCCATCACAATGTCATGCTTAAAGAAGGAAAACTTCGGAGACTGGACAGAATTTTTAGATATTCTAATTATATTTACCTGGAAGGGACACGAGTGGTTCATATTGGTAAAGTCCTTATAGAAATTATAGAAGTACAAATACACGGGATTTGTTCTTTTGTTTCTCATGAATTTGCATAAATCAATTGTTTTATTGTAGAGGAAAGGCATATAGCCACCGCCACGTTTAAAGAGGGCCATGTTTACCTGCATATGATTCATTCTTAAAGTTTTTGACTTTGTGAACAAAATGTCTATATCTTTACCTTAATACTGGTCACAGGAACTTCAAACAGATTGACTTTTATGGAATAGTATTTGTAAGTCCGGTTCACAGATTTAATGTGACAATATTCGAAGTCGCAGAAATTCTTATCTAATGATTCGCATTTGATGTTGGTGAATTCTACCAAAGAACGAACCTAAAAAGTACATAATGCACAGATTTCTTCTCCAAAATTAGTTATAGAAACTTATTACCTGTAAGACCATGTTCCCAATAATCAAAAGACAGGTAACTATAATATTTCGTTTACTGTTCATCCTTTTGTATCAATGAATATCCGATTACTAATTTATATTCAAAGCTATTGAGCTGCTATTTACAAGAATCATTAGTAACGGCTTAATTATAGGTCTATTAGGGCCTTGATGACTGAATTTGTAAAGTTAGGAAGTTTAAATGGCATTTTATTTTTGAAATTTATGCTTTTTTACTGCTATATCATAGATTGGAATAGCAATTTATATTGGATTACCCAAAGCTCTTGATCAATAAAGTTGACAAAAGTGATAAGTTTAGGAATCTAAGCCTATAATTTAAAGCATATCGATTGTGTAGATCTAAGCCATTATATTTAGCTGCAGAACAGCGGTTTGGTGGAACTCATCATCATGGACATGGGTGGAATAGACCCCGAGGGCATTTTTATAATGGGCGGCATTACATCACTCTCACCCCTCCACCCCCCTGCAAGGTAATTTGCTGTTGTTGATAGAAGAATGTTCGCTTGCATGCATTCTAATTGCATGGGGCAACATTAAAAGGAATGAGAAAACGACAGCCAAATATGGCCGACGCCTCTCACGTAGCCGCAAACAAAGACTTCCGCCACACACAGACCCCTGTACAGGGTGCACTGCGAAAGGTTGACAAATACACTTCCAGGCAGCGTTTGCCTCGGCTAACGAAGCGTTGCGCATGCGCCGTGGCGGGCAATAAATTTCTGCATTTCTCGCCGCCAAAAACATGAAAAGGGGGAGTGTCAGGAGGCGGGGGCTGGCGGTGCAGGGGGTGGAGCGGCATAAGTAACGTGCCATAAAATTAATTTTGCTTTGGCAACCCTACACTGACTGCCAGTTGCCACCGTTTGACTGGGCCAAGTTAACCTGACCAAGTGTCTAACGTCTGGCCAGATTTTTTAGCTCTTGGTTTGTTGCTTTGTTGGTGTTGCATGGAGAATAAAAACTCTTATTTTCAGAATTTTAACCTTTAAAAATCTCAAAGATTTTTATGCTTTTCTTAAAGTATTTCAAAACGTTACTGTTGGACACCGTTTTCAACGATAAATTTAGGTGATTTCCCTTAAAAGCAACTCCCTTACTACCCTTATTATTATCATACCTATTTAGTAAAGAACTTATAAACTTAATTTTCAAAAAGTTCTATAGATTTTCTAACCATTTTAGCTAGAGAGAAAAGAAAGTTGAATTAAAAGAAACCTTTAAGGATTATCCCATATTTTTCACTGTGTGCTACTTGCATTCCCTGCGGTGTAGCTACTGCTGCTGTGGTCAAGGAGTTTCGCTTTAGTTAATTGCTCGTGACGTTGTCTCGACCAGCCCCTTCAGGGGGCCTCCGACCGAACCAATCCAATCCAATCCCATCCAACGCGATCCGATCCGATCCACTGCTCCACACTTGGCTCCACAGACCACTCCACTTGCCAGTTGGTATTTATGGATCCGAATGGACTGCTCGACTGAGACTGGGATGCAGATGCATTTCAATAGATGTATGAGCTTGTTCTGTGCTGTGCATGTGGTGCTCGGCTACTTATGCATTCCCTAGCAATATTACGTATACGTAGCGAGGTCCGTGTCGACGGTTTTAAATGTCATTTGTGCCCGGTGCTCTCATTGATATTCTGAATAGCTTACAAAACGACATTTCGCTGCAGGATTTGGCCAAGACGTCGAAAGGGGATTCAGGGGATATTGGGGTGAAATATGAGTTTCAGGCATTTGGCCAAGCGACTGCCGTTTGCAGTGATAAATGGCTTTCGGTTTTTGTCGCGGCAACTGCGATGATAAATCTCTCTGGCAGTGCTTATTGAATGTTGCTCAAGTCGCTGCATTGTTGCAGTTGCAGTCAGTGTGACTGACTAATTGACATTTGCATTGAGCGGGCTGCTCTTCTAATTATCGAAACCGATGTTTTGTCAACCCCCCTCCTTATTGCATTGCCATTGCCCAACCAGGCGATGCTCGTTGAGCTGTTGGCATCTTCCGAGATGTGACACAAGAGGCGACCACAACTTGACCTCCATTCCAGTGTGCTCAGCACGCCAGCAGACAATTACAAGCCATGTCGCCTTTTTTTGTGTTTTGTGGCCATAAAAAACGACATGAAACAACAAAGCCAAATCAAAACAAATCGTGTGGCACAGACACTGAGACAAAGGCTGTGGAAAAGAGTGTCAAACACGAACAAATTGAGATGGATTAGACGAGGCTAGAGATGTGTTGAGCGGGGTAAACACAATGCAAACAAGATGCAAGATGCTGCTCAGAGGTCAGCAGTCAGTCAGTCAGTCACTCATTCCAGTTCCCCCATTTCCAATATCTGCGTTTTTGTGGCCCAGTGAACCAGTTGCAAGTTGCGATGATAGAAAGGGCAGCAGCATCACAGCAGCAACAACTGCGGCCTCATTTGGCTGTCACTGTCAGATTCGGATGTATCTGTGGACAGATCTACATCTGCCGATAGTTCATGGTCGTAGATGGACAAGGGTTTTGGTACTTTACAATATAAAGTTGAATAGTACATACTAAAATCCAGGATACGGATTGCATGAACCTTGAACTCCCAGAAGTCAGCTTTAACTTAAAGGTTTTCATTTGATAAAAGGACCTTCTTGGATGCTGTTTCCTCTTATACAGTTCTGCATTATGCAACATTATTAAATACTGCCACAACTTGCTATGACCATGGATATAGTTGTTAGCATTTTTGCCATGCCATAACCGCGGATGGTGGCCGGAATAAGTCCCACAAAGACTCTGCCGGCACACCGCCTGGCCAATCAGCACGCTCTGCCCCCGGCGACTTCTGTGTGCCGTAATGCACAAGTGAAAGTTTTTCACTTGCAGCATGTTGCATTCCACTTTGCCTCTCGTCGGCGCATACATCATCATCAAGGCAGCCAGTGAGCTGGAGCAGCGGTGTGTGGCAGCCTAAACCGCAGTTGCAGTTGCAGTTGCCATGGATCAGACCTGCTTTTTGGCCAAGTCAAGACGCGTTTGGCAAGCTGCAGCAAAAGCGAACAGCGAACAGCAGCCGCAGGCGAAGGCAAAAGTTGTCATGCCCCAAAATGGGTTAAACGTGCCACCGTTGCTTGCCCACGTTGCGTATACGCAATGTGTGCGCGTATATATATATATATATATATATAATTAACAAACTGGCCAATACAAAGCGAAATGAAACTGCAAACGAAATTGAAAATGAAAATAAAAATATGGGCAAGAGTGCTGCGCACAAAAATGTCGCTCAACGGGTTGTGCACACTTTAAAGTACACACTACACGTACATGTATGTGCACACGGTTTGAGTGTGTGCGAATACTTTATGGACATATCCATGGAAATTGATTTGGCATTTTGATGCGGCACACGTGTGCCTGGCTCTGATGTCAGAGCTGGCAGTTGCCAGTTGCCAATTACCAACCATCTCAAGGCAATTGTCGGCTGCGAGTGTCTATAATTGATATGCAAACAGCATCGATGGGACTATCCCACAAAAAATGGGGAAAAAACAAACAAAAATAAAGGCCCTTAGCGCCCCTCTTCAAATCAGCGCAATCAAATGTCAAAACTCGAGAGCCGCCGCAAAAAGGTGTTATTTTAATTTATTTTCGAAAGTGCATTTTACCAGGCGCCCCATAAGAGCGATCCACAAGGTACAACAACAAGTCCAACATCCAACATCCAAGATCCAAGATGAATATCATAATCGTAATGCTCATAATTTGTGTGACCCAATTTCTTGGGCTGTGGATCCCCACTCACCTGCGAACAAGTGAATGGCGGTCGAGTTGCTTCTCTCCGCTCGCGATATGCAAATTAATTGGTAACACTTTGCAGCCGAGGCAGTAACAATAACAACAGCATGTTGTAGCATTGAGCAAGTTGCCACATATATAACACATATGTATAACAATAACAACAGAGCGGAGCATAAGCATATGCACATTATGCAAGCGAGTGCAAAAGCAAAAGTTTTTCAGCTGCAAAATGCACGTCTCTGAATTATGAATACATTTAGCCAGCATGCAGTGCGTTTCACAGGTGTAAGTCATTAGTAGTCCCCGTCTCGAATGACATAAATCGATTTCATTTCCATACACTCAAGGCTTTTGAAGTTTGATATACGAGTAATGTGGTTTGAAGATCCCAATTCAAGTTATCTAAATAACTCTTTTCCCTTTCTTTATGTTTTTAACCATCACTTAATGTATTAAAGTTATCTAATTTGTGGAACTTTTAGTTAGATTTAAGATTTAAGGTCAAAAAGAAGAACAGGCTTACCCCATTGTTTGATTAATCCACTTAATAAGAGGGTTTATTTCCGTTTAAAGTGGATGCTGTCTGGCATTTCCTCATTATCTTCCAACTCTCATCTAATCTTATGAAACGCACTGTCTCTCCACTGACGTTTTGTGTGAATTGAACGTGCTTGACCAATTACAGACGGCAAACAAAGCGCACATAACCAGGCATAATAAGCCATAATATTATAATCAAAGCGTGCCTGGCAGACGAGTAGAGTAAGCCAACAAATGTTGGCCAACAATCGGCAATTGGGAAATGCATTTGCACTGGAGCTGGGCCAATTATTGCTCCTGTTCCAGCAGCTGTACTTGTATTTCCCACGAACGGAATTTAACCAGCGGAATTCAGTTGCGGCGCGAAAAGTAACTCAATGTGATTCATCAAAATTTTTGTTAAAGATCTCACATATTTTTATTACTAATTATTATGAAAAACTTTTTGTTTTCGCTAGCTTTGATAGAGTGATAATTATTGGAATTTCTAACCAATGAATGTATCAAATATTTTTATCACATTTTTTGGAGTTTAACACAATTAACAGCACTTAAGTTATTTTGAAAAATTACTTAAAATGTGATAAGCTGGATATCATTCGATTTGGTATACCAAAAGTTATTTAAATGTGATTCAAAGTTAAGATATTTATCTATCAGTGTATTTCTTAGATTTTAGGTTTATCCGAAATCCAGGTCAGTCTCCCAACTAAACAATAAGTCCCCCGAAGAACACTCACCTTTGGGCATGCCACATGGCGCCTTCGTCCGCGCATTGTCCAGAAAGTCCAGATCGTATTTGCGGGCAGGTGGATAGGTGAGGGCCACATGGGCCTCCGATCCAAAGTAGCCAAGGTAGCAGCACCAGACGGCGAGCAACAGCAGGGAGCAGCCAAATCCGAATGGCGAATGTCTTGTATTATTTATAGACATTTTGTATAATTTATTTCTTTACAATTTGTGGCGATTGTCGGGGAGTTTCCTTTCGCATTAGCACCGCTTTGCGTTTCTATTCAGGCGCTTCTCTTTCTCTTCTTTTGTGCAATTGATTTTCACGGGGATTTCGGCGGTGCTTGGAAATTATATAATTAATTTTGCCACAAATTGAACATCGCACATCTCAGCTGGCACACTCACACACACACACAGTTGACTCTGAAAGAAGTTGATTTATAGAAAAATATTTATTAGCAAAGAATTGCAACATTTTTTGGAGGGTATCTGCCAGATGGATCTGTGAAAATGATTTATTGCATTGGCCAAACAATGACAAGGAAATTTCCCACAAGTCCATTAAAGTTTCTTCTTGCAGAAAGTGTCGAAAGATTTGTACGTTTCTCTTTTATTTTTTCACGAACTTTCAGTATGACAGGCAGATCATCCTGAAGTGCGGTTCAATGATCGGAATTTGTATGTCCATATGTACGTTCATATGCCATGTCCACCAACGCCTTCACAACTGAGTGAAATCGAAGGTCTTGCCGCGTTCAACAAACTAATCAAAGCCAATGACAGCTGCCCCCCAAAGAGCCAAGTTCCGAAGCTATGAGATACTTAGATACTTGGGCACTTAGACTTATAGTGTCTAGCTTCAAAGTCCACAGAAAAACAAAAAATAAAGCTTGTCTAATGAAACGACATAAATCAGGGGCCCAAGCTACCTGCTCTCGGTTGGTTTTTTTTCGGTATTTTGGCCTAGCCTCCGGACTAAACGACAACAAATGGCGTTGAAATGGGCGTAAAAATGTGGCACGGTCGGGCCAATTGTTTGGATATGGAAAATGGTGCCACAGTTTTGACAAGCAAATTGCATGCAGCATGAAATCTCTGTTTTCTTGCCCCAAGATAAATCAACGACAATTGGTGTTAGTTGGTCTCGGGGCCCGGCTGATTGGCAAAAATCTCCACGATTCGAGCAAATGGGAACGGGTAGCGTCTGTTTCTTTTTTTTTTTTTCTTGACCACCACTCCGCCGTGATCCACTTTTCCCAGTGACATCTCAAGTAAGCAGCGGGCACCCAGTAATCATCAGTCATTGTCCAATGCCAGACCCCCAGAAATATATCTATAAAAGATTTAACTCTATATATATACACATTTTTATAAGCCATAACGGTTGCGGCAGCAACTTCCGAGGCGGCGGCAGCTGACGCTTTGGGTGACCGCCTCGTTTGGTTTTGATTACTTTGGACCAACCTGGCCAGCAACTGTCTGGCATTGAGAGCGGCAGCAACAATGGTAACAACATCAGCAACATCGACTGTGACGACCACATGGCTTGACATTGAAGTCGCCAAAGCAAAACAAAATCGAAAAGCATGTAAAAAATGTTAATTAAGACGAGGCAAACGCGGCCAAATGGAGTCGCATAAAACGAGTATCTGGAGCAGTCTTCGCAACTGGGTTAGAACTATAGGTTCGCATTTTAATTGCTAATTGGATTCCACAAATAAATTTATTTTTATACATTTTTGATGATCAATTTATTGATTTTTCATTGAAAAGATCATTTTTTGAGTAGTTTAAGCCTCCACAGTTGGCTAAGACGATCCATAAAACTATCAAGAAGATATTTTACTTAAAGTTTAAGATTTGCACTAAAAGTTTAAAACAAAAATCAATATTCTTAAACATCTGGATAGTTGTATTGAATATTTTTCAATGCCCCTTTATAATGAGTTTATCTTTTTATGTTAAAAAGTCATTTCTATCTTTGTAAGTTATTTTTGGATAGATAATAGCTATAACTGCAATGTTGACTTCTGTCATTTGTAACTCTTTACACTTAATCTCTTGAAGCTCTTGAAATGTAATCTCTATAGAAAGCTTTACGCTGTACATTTAATACTGAAAGTGATCTGCTTTTTTTATGCAATCCAATCTACCCACATTTGGGGCAATAGCAGACCAAAAGTAAACTAATGGCGCCCAGCTGGAGACGCAACGGCCAAGAAAAGCGGGAAACTCCGGGCTCCGAGCTATTCTTTGTAATGGGTCTGCGTGATGGCAAGTCAACTGCCTGGTCTGGGCTGTCATGAGTTGGCCAAAAGCCGAGCTTCATTACCCAACTGACTAAGGGAAAACGCTTCGAGAGTGGAGTGGAAGTTAAAGCTGTCTTAAGAGGCTCTGGTGAGCAATTACTTTAATTGAATTGCCTCTCGAGTGCTTTGCATTTCCACTAATTAGAACTGAGATGTAATTAACGGCCAAATGCCAGAGCGAAACAGATTCGAATGCAATTCACACGCCATTAAATTGAAGTCCTCAGCGCTATTCGATGCGAAACACGTTGGATGAAAAGAACACTTGACTCGGTTTCTACGACATATCGATTATGGCCAACCGGAGCTGCGGACATAAACATTTGGCCACGCTACTCATGTTCGATTCACGGCGACAGCCAATGGAAAAAATGCAGTCCAACTGGTTACGAAATATTTCGAAAAGCTCATTCATGTTGAGCTTCAGATACGATTTTCAAAATACTCCAGCCTCTGTATATCTTTGTATCTGTATCTGTATCTGTAACTATGGCTTGGTTGAGTGTAGTATCTGAGAGCACCGGAAACCGGTTACTGGCCACAAAACAAAATATAGTCAACTATTAATGGATCGGCGATAAATCGATGCGATCGGACCCAAAGCAAAGTCGGACTCTGGGGCGGCAAGTGTATCGCCTATGGCCGCTCCCAAAAGCCCAGAAATTAGAGCCCGATCGGCGGCACACTCTTGACCAAAATACTTCACTGGAATTATGCGCGAACGCTCCATTTTCAGCTGGCCAAATTAGAGAATAACATGGCAGCCAGCAATACGGCTAGATAAGTACAAAATGGTTAAGTAAAAGAGCTGAAATTGATTTTAAATGGGACCGAGTTGGCCATTGGCGATTGTGTAACCACTTAGCGGCCAAGGGAGAGGATAACAAGGAAGACAAAATCGCAGTGATTCGTCGAAACTAGCAAGTAAAAGCAATGGTTAAGAAATTGTTATAATATTTGTACATCAGACTTCTCGAGATCTCTCAGGGACTCATGTAAATATTTACTAAGCACTTATGCATTAAAATTTAAGGAAACTTCTTAAAATCTTTTGAAACAATTTCTAGAAATTATGGCCCAATAAAAGCGGAAACTATCCAAAAAATAATTAGCACACTGACTTTCTAATCAGGCCTTTTTGACGAACACTCCAAGTTCCTCGTCGCACCACTCGGCGTATGGGTGATTTTGAATGTGGATTTTGGCCAACGGCTGTTAACGGTTGTCCATGTGACTGGCTACTCGATTCGAGCCAAACAGATCTGACGGCTGCTGTGTGGTGCGAAAATCAGCTCGTCATGATGGTTATGAGAGTGCTGCTTTTTATGCTGTTTGACTTAAACATTTCGTGTTTGGATTTCTATTTGCGCGAAATTTCTCAACTTTAATGTCACGCACCACGAATCCGCCACCGAACTTGGACTGAGAGTCGTCGATAATATGTGATTGTGATTGACAAACATGTGTGCCAAGTTGGCTCATTATAATTACCGCCTTGAGTGCACAGCAAAAAAAAAGAAAAAAAATTTTATATATGAAAATAAGTGGAGCTAAATGACACGAATGTCAATGAAATCGGAGTTATGGATACGTCCTCTCTATCGACATATAAACTACTTTAACTTAGGGAAGTTAAGGTTTATTTTCAGATTTTCATAAATTTTATAAGATTTTGAGTAGTCTCAGTTTTTTCTGAGTTGTTGCCTTGATTTTAGTGATGGAAGGAGCCACTAAAAGTCAGCTCCCGGCTATGAAAAGTGCTAATGCTCGTTAATCAATTCCATTGGCGGTGTCCACACATCAGAGCACCGATGACATCTTCGGTTCGCAGTGAAAGTTGCCACGGCCGAGTCCCAAGTTTTTCATCGATTGGTGATGTTTGTTTTCTATTTCACCTTCGATTTCGACTCGAATGCCTCGGAATGCAACTGAGGAAAAGTAAATACAAGCTCACAAAGTCAACAATCCGTCACTTTCGATGGTTTTCTATCAATTATGAAAATTAAGCCATCATTGAGTTGACAAATGATATATCATATTTGACTTTTTCGTGACTATATACGTGTGTATATTGGGCCCCCACACATTTCCGATATATATATATATTGACATTGCGGCTAATTTCCGTTGATTAGCATAGTGGAACCGTGTAATCCCGTCGAACTGGTGCAGCCAGTTTGTCCTCAGGGGTCTTTCGCTTTCGGCATAAGTATTTCCGAAACTAAATTAATTCGTTGCTCGTCTCTTGATTTCTTCAACTTTCACAAGAACGGGCTACACGGGCTTGAAAGTGCGGGGTGGGGGTCACCTTTGGGGTCAGGGTGAAGCCAAGGGTTAAGCGGCGGCAAACAGGCGAACGAACAAACAAATAAGCGTTTATTTGCTGTCGCTTTATGGCCGTTAAACTTGATCTCCAAGCTGGCGAGAGCCATCCAAAGTACTTGTACCCAAAGCCGTAGTAAACTTTGCCTATAAGATCGTATTTCATACAGCCAGCTCTGAGATTAAATGATGGCCGTTTCGGCTGAGTGGGCTTTTGTTATTAGAAGGCAGTCGGGCTAAGTTGAGCAGGAAAATCACTGACAGCTTTATTACGTTTGTTTTTGTTTGGCCGTCACTTAGGTTGATTTAGCCATAAAGCTATTCAGATCCCAAGATGAGGATCACTTAAGAAAATATATGATTTCATGATCATTAATATTCGTTTTTTTTAGTTTGCCTATTATAAAATATATTCTAAACGGAAGTGTAAAATCATTGAAAGTATCTTTTTAGGGTATTGCCAAGCGATTTGCACATCAAGCCTTTGCCAGTAGCTAAAATCACGTTCCCGACTTAACGCTGGCTATAAAAATTGATTTTGATCGAGGCGTAAATCGTATTTATAAACATTAAATCATTTGTGAGATATTTTCCCTGCCCTTCTCCCGACTCGACTTTTGTGCAAATTCATCTTGCCGATTGGCGTCAGCCGATCGCAATGACATCCCCGGCTCACAGTCACAGTCACAATCACAATAACAATCGCAGTCGCATCCACCTGTTAATTTATTAATGAGTTGCAGAAACCTGTTCGGTCTTTACATAAATACCCGTATATAATCTTTACAAAATTTGCCCGAAAGTCGTTAACGGCAAATGCTTTTAAAGTCTCTTTTGTTGGTTGATCGGGAGAATAACTTTCGCAAAGCAAAAATCATTTTTTTCTCTTGGCAGAGGCGTTTGTGTGTCATTTGGGGCGTGCTGGGCAAGCAATTGGCCAGCGATTACCATAAAAATCTAAGGTCAGTCGACGGACGCATTACGCATTCGAAGTGAATTGAAGTCAGATGGTTTTGTTTGGTTTTGTTGCGGTCTTTTGCGTAATCCGATGTGCGATTATGTCCATTTACACGGGCCGCTTACAAATCCGCGGCATTGAAAAGCACGCGGCTCAAATGCCAATCCATATGGGCCCAATACAAAAGACTTAGGCAACGAACGCGCAGCATCTCGACAGCGAGCAGCGTAAACAAAATAATAAAAACAATACAAAACTCAACTAACTGCCATTATAAACAATTTGGCAAATGAATGCGAAATATTCGTTATAAAACTGGAATATATATATATAAATATTCATATATAGTATGGCCGAAATCGTTCAGGTTCGGTCTGAACAAGTGCACAAATTACAAATTGGTTTTTGTCCGACTTTGACAGTTCAAATTACTTCTGAAGAGTCAAGATGCGCTCCAAGGTTCCCCCACCTGTGCACCGTGTTTATTGTATATGTTAGCAACCAGTTTGTTTAGCCAAGTGGACCTGTACCCCACCTCCCACCGAAACGACCATTAGACAAACCTGCCCGACGACGACGACGACGACGACGACGGATCAGATTCTGATTCTGGTTTCGTTTGCCCTCGCGCATTCTCACTTTTCTTGCTGTTGATGGCTTTTTGTTTTAAGCTGTTATTTTTGGGGGCTTATTGGCATTTTTTCGTTTATTAGGCACTGGAATTCGCTGCGTGTAAGTATGTTAATAATAGAGCTTTATATGAGTGGCAGTAAATACTTTTATAATGCCCCCAAAATATAATATGTATATGTATACGTGGGGGCAGAGACTCATGGAGAAGGAACTTGCGTGGTGTGGGTTGCCTGCCACAATATCAAAGACACAGACTCGCGCAAACTTATGCGAATATGTGTTAGACATTAGATGTTAGATGTTGGTGGATGCCATCCGGTTTTGGCCTTTGCAGCTGCCAATGCTGCTCGGCTGCATTCCGGGCATGACTAAGAGAGCCGCGAGTCGCGGGAGTTATTACCCTCAAGGTCACTTCTGGCTAGGCTTCTGTTTCTCTGGAGGTCTAAGCTTGGCATGACACGGCATCGTTTGGTCAAATCGATTATACACAGTGGAATAATGTGTTTTCAGAGTGGTGTATCAATTGCTGATAGAATGTTGTTGTTTAAATTTTATTATATTGGGTATTTTTGCGTTGAAATTTCTAAAAACTCTCATTACCTTACACTAATTTAGTTCGAGTTAAAGTAAATTTATTTATAATTGAAAAGTTACTCATAGCACAACACATATTCAAAAAGGAAAATAGAGTTTACTGACTTTTTGTCTATGTAAATACAGCTTTTGGCTGATCGTCTTAGAGGGTCAACCATTAGCCGGGAACTTGGCTAAGCGGCTTAAATGGAATGGAGACAAACAGTTATCGAGGTGATGAAAACAAAGGGGAATTAATTAGATTCCGCTGTTGGATAAGGTAGACTAATGAAAGCTAAAAAGTCGCCAACGGAGTTCGACTCCAGAACTACAGGTGACTCAGAGCGTGTTCGACAAATCTTTTTATTCTTCTGTGATTAATGGACTTACAGAGCGCATACGCGATTTTGGTGTTTCGGCCATTCTTGGCCGATTCGACCGGAATCGGTTTTTAGCAGTGATCTCATCTGCCACAGCCTCGGTTCTGGCGGCCCACATCGATCTCCGGAGAACAATCCCAAAAGCAGCTGTCAGCTGCCAAATGCTAATATGCAATAAATTATGCCTGGCACTGTGTGTGCGTATCGTATAGTATCGAGTGTGCCTATAATTACGAAGGTTTCTTGGCGAATTTCACTTTTTTCCATCTTCCGCTGCGGCATGTGCAGGGAATTCCAAAATGAGCGCCCAGTTTGCATTGCCAATTCAGCGGGCATTCCGGCTTGCTGCTTCTTTTTCTTGGTCTTCCTTGGTCACGTCACACATGTATGGCACATGGTCACACACCATAGCAGAAATTACACTCAAAATAATATTTAATAATTTTAAATTGATTGCCAGGTTATTCGCAAAGAAAGAAATTTGGTGCTAATGATGTTCTGAATCATCACAAAATCTCAGAATTTATGTAAATATATATTGCAGTATTGCGAGCTCAAATTTATATCTCATAACCCAGCTATATTTTTCAAGATGTATTTACTTAATGTTCCGAGGAAAAGACATTCCTTGCACACTCACCTGAAGAGGAGAACGAACCGCAACGATGAGATGTGGGCGGCGATAAGTTACGAAAAACGCAGTCGAACTGCAAGATCCAAATCCGAAATGGAATCCAAATCCAAGACCGACTACGGAGCTAATCAAAAGTTACAACACGCACGCGCTTTGTTGAGGGGGCAAAAGGGCGGATGGTAGATGGGGGATGGCGGAGACCACGACACACGATCAAAGTCAAAACAATGCAGTCGCGGCACTTTAAACGTATTTTTCTTTTTGTTCAACGTTCTCCGCTGATGATGCACACCGCGCAATTGCAATTCCAGCAGATTGCACCCCACAGGTAAGTGAGTACTGAGTACTGAGCAGAGTGAGTACTTGGTACTCGGTGTTTGTGTGGGAGGTGATGTGTTAATCAATCAACGAGCGCGCATCGAAAGTACACTATTTGCCACATTGATTTGGTTACTTCTGGAGGTTTTTGTTCATCTATTTTGTATGTTTTTTTGATTTGTTTTTGTTTTTGTATTTTGTTGCAACGGCTGTACGTGACTGCCGCGCACTTGCACAACAACCGCAAATATCCAGGGGATCCACGCTCCGGAAGGCACGAAATATTCGACGATACCGCAAAACTCAGCAGGAAATCGCAAGCCCAAGCGCACCACACGTCCGCACTAAAGTGCGTCTCGATCGAAACTGAAGATCGGAGCGGGCTTACAGGTGAGTCGAGCTCGGCATTCTCACCTGAAAGCTCTACGAGTAGCTCTCTCATGGTTAAATTTTTGCGGATCTGGCAACGCGGTAGAAAGCGACTAAGCTTTGAAAAGTGCTGACTTTTTAGACTTTGTATATTTAAAAAATTCTATTTCCCTTCATTTTCATTACTTGGAGAAAGGTGTTTCCGATAATGTAAAGTATATATTTTCTTGATCCGTCTGTCCGTCCATATGTCTGTATGAGACACTAGGGATTACATGCCAGAATCTAGAACTTATTCTAGAGATGCCTGAAGGTGGCCACTTTTTAACAACTTTTTCTTTTAATTTGAATATATTTTTATTTCATTAATACCTATCTACCTATCCAATCTTTTTTAAAACAGACCATTAATTAAGGAGTTAAAAATAATGCAACTTACAATAACAGTATGAATGGTTGTGTTGGATCTAAAAACAATTATAAAAAACTAGTATATTCTCGCGTAAACCTTGACATCTAAACGTTTTTTACCAGCGATTGTATAAACTGTATGTACGCAGTAATCCCCTTCCGGAACTGGAAGAACCACTGTCAAACGTTGATCCAAAAAGCTGATAGGCAGCTCATTCACCAATATATCGTGCTGTAATTAATCGGTTAATACGAAATGGATGGTGAGTAGTAAGTACATATGTACATCGTATGGACAAGTGTGGTTTAGGTTCGAGTATGGGGCAAATAGTTCGTAGAAGAATCGAACCACTGGATTGCGTCTTCCCTTGAAATAATCGCAAACATCAGTCGTCAGATTGTAGAGAAACGGTTTATAACCATTCATCCTCTTTAGCAACTCAATCCTTACCTGAAAAACATCATTGTTAATTTCAAGACGTCACCAGACAATCGGAAAACTATATCACATACCACTAAGTCGTTAAATGGTAACTGGAAAATTTTTGTCCTCAAAGTCAAAAACTTGTAGGTCCGATTTTTTGATTTCAGGAAGCATGCATCGAAATCCATAAATTCCTTGTCCAATGAGGTACATATTATGTTAGTAAACTCGAATTTACATTCGACCTAAACCAAATGTTTTATAATCAGATCGTTTTTTATTTCGTGGATAAAAATCCGATTCTGCTTACTTCATATAAAAACAGAATCAGAACGATCACTGTTGTTAGTTTGAACGCGATCATTGCGAAGTGAAAACTGAGCTTTTGTGATTTTTACGATTTGTATGACTTTGGCAGTGTGACAATTATAAATAAGTAATTATCGGATATTTTAGACCATAACTAATAATTAAACAGGGTTTTAAAATAGCATTATTATTATTATTATTATTTTTGGAGACAATAATTACTGTGGGTTCAAGATATATAGTATTGATAAGCTTTCATTCGTAAAGCATTGAACAGTTCAAAACGGCTATGCTTTCATATTTGTAAATGGAGAAAATATGTCGTAAGGTAATTTGTCAAGTTTTCCTTTTCACAACTAGAAATAGTTATTTAAAGTGTAAATTTAAAAAGAAATAAGCAATAGAAAATTAAAATACACTTTAGATTACATTATTAACAGAAAACATCAACTATACTATTGATGTGTGCATTATACAATTTTAATTTAAAATTACCCTACTGCCCAATTTATCATTAACCTCAACCACTGTTAATGATAATAAAAGAATCAGCAGAGTTGCCAATCGGCACATGGTCATGTCTGTGTAGTTTTTGAAATGCTATCCTTTTGTACTGCTTAAAAACAGTCAAATTTCAATTAAAATTAAGATAAGGATAATTCAATTAATAAATATTATTCATTGAGTCCTATTGTCTAAATTTGAGCATTTTTATACCAGTTACTCGTAGAGTAAAAGGGCGTGGTACTATTATCCGGGGACACCAATTCTTAGCTTCACCAAGCTCAAAAGACGGTTTTCGCTTTTTGTAGAAAGGCTAAAATCTCGGTAACTAAAAGTGATAGAGATCCTAATCCTAAATTAAGCATGTAGTTTTTTATGGTGCCCCCAATGCTATAAATGTTTTTTCCATTTAGCCATGCCCACTCTACCGCTCACAAAACACGGAAAACGTACGTACATAAGAGATGCCACTGCAGCTCGACGTGAGTTTTCATCTGGCCTCGCCTAGTCTAACGCCCACAAACCGCGGAAAACTATGGCATGCATAATATTATAATGTATGTATGCGTTTGACCTTGTCTAACATATTTTTGTCAATATCTATCGACTACTGTAAAATTGTTATAGTCGCGGCACTCGACTATAGCGTTTCTTTATGTTTTTAAGTAGAACCTTTAACTTAACACTGCAGAGGGCGGTATTTAACAAAATTTTGGTATTTAAACCTTATAAACCGAAGAAGTTTATTTAGTAGTTTAGTACAATTAAAAATTAAATCAATTTTGCGTAATGAAATCTTCAGGGTTCGATTTCATTTTGGTCGGACTACGGAAGTTTTGACTGGTATTGTCATGATTGGTGATAATGATCAAGTGCCCCACACTATACTCTCGATCCAGTCAGTGAATAGGTGGACTTTGGTGTAGACACTCGGAAGACCTTGGGAACCACACACCAGTCCGTATGAGACAATACCGATCACTTGCTTCAGGCACGGATAGTTAGGATGCTGCACGAAGATAGGTCCTCCAGAGTCGCCATTGCAGGTGTCTGCCTCACTAGTCATTGAGCCTGCACAAAACTGGGTGCGCGTCTCAATCCTAAAACGTAGGCGTTTCTCGCACACCTCGTCCGTGAATCTCTGAAGGCTGACCTTCAAAAGGTGAGATGACTTTACGCCATCCGCAGTGAATCCCCAGCCAGCGGCTGTTACTTGTTCATTCTCGTTTCCGCTGCTGGGCGGAAGGCAAACTGCCGCAACATGATCGTTAAATACCGCCTCCCGATCTAGTTCCACCAAAGCAATGTCATTTTTAAATCCTCTCTCCTCGTCCTCAGTATCATAGCCCGGATGCACTACATAGTTAACCACCCGGAAATCCTGAACGTCAGCATCATCGGTAGTGCTGTTGTAGTCAAGGTCACCCAGACGGACAACAAACTTGGGCGAATCGAAGCTTGGGTCCAATCGTTCCTCTTTTGATCTGGAATTTGTATATAGCGTCTTATTTAAAAGGGTGACAGATAAGAAACCTATTTTGTGAATCACATACTCATCTGTCTCCAGGCAATGGGCCGCTGTCAGTACGAATTTTGGGTGCACCACAGAACCACCACAGTCCCAATTGATCTTAGACTTGTTAGCCCGTTGCGTGCCGATCAGCGCCATGAAGGGGAACTCCCGACCAGACGCCTTTGTGCCGCCCACAATGAAGGGCGTGGAGCGACAGGCAGTTCTGGCCTCATTGTACTGCTTGCACTCTGATAGATTTACATTTTCAGTGTTAATAATCAAAGGAATCATAGTGGAGGTGGCTCTTACGCTTCTCAAAAGGCCTCGTCTGCTCAACAGGCTTTAGGTTTTGATGATCCAGCGGTAACGGACAACAGACAATATCGTTAAACTCGTCGCAGTACTTGACCTCGGATCCAATCAGGTGCTGGTTGTAGAATATTACTGGACAGTCAGTAGGTGTCAAGTCCTTACACTCCCCTGTTCCATTGTCGCAGTATTCGCCCAACACGCCGATTAAAAAAATCAGCAACAGAATTCCGGAAAACGCATGCATTGTGAGTGCTGTGCGCGAACAACTGAGAACGCCGCTCGAGGTTGACCAGATGATGAGCATCGACAACTTTTAAGTTTAAGCGAGTTCTCAGTCTGAGTGTCAGACTCAAACAAATGACTCATGTATCCAAGCTTTTGAGAGATACACCGACACCTATGAAGCCCACTGATAAAATTAATACATAGCAATTTGTTTAAAAGTTTCTTAGTCTCTCGCTTAACATATTTGAGAACGGTTCACACATTACATGGAAATTCGACTTACACGATTACTTGATGATTATTAAAAAGCCGGAACATTATAAAATAATACTATTAAATAAGGCTTATGTTTTTACGTCTGCTTGCAGTTAATATAGAGTCTATGGTAGTCTAATTGTGTCTCATGTTCTGCATGTGCTGATGTTGTTGCTGCTGCATATGTTGCATGTACATTTGTTGCTGCTGGGTGAGTTGCTGCTGCTGTTGCAGGCTGCCACCGCTGCCTAGTGGGACGCTGGTTGTTTGCACTGCATTCACCTGTTGCTGCTGTAATTGCATTTGCTGTTGTTGCTGCTGCTGCTGCTGTTGTTGATGTAGTTGCTGCGGCTGCTGTTGATGTTGCGGTTGCAATGGTGATTGTGTTTGACTTGTCATTGCATTATTGTTGGCATTGTCGGTGCTAAAAGTATAAGCAGCTCGATGTAAAGAAAGCTTTATCGTACATTCAGGTTTACTTACATCTTTTCTGAGTGAATATCCTCCAAGTTAAGATGTGTTATGAATCGAAGGCGCATTTGTAGCAGCGGGCGCAACCGTTTAATGATGGCCTCCGATTCGTTTTTGATTATATTACCAACATGTATATATTTAATGTGGTAGCTAGTAATGGTAAGATATTTGATTATTTTATATTCAAAAAATATTTCAAATGAATTGGCTTACAGGAAGTCGCATATTTGGTCCATATACTGCATTGGCTTTGGTCCATGCTGCTTGTCCACAATCTCAAGAATCTCGTAAAGCAAGACGGCAATACCGGCCACAGCGTTCGGTTTTTCCAACTCAATACGCTGTAGGAAGGGTCCAAAAACGTGACAAAGATACAATAACTGTTGCTCGGTTCGTACGCAGGGCTTCAGTTTTTCCTTGAGGTACCTAGTCATAGCAGCCAGCTTGAAAGCACCCATGTGATGAAACACAGAGTGAGCTACTGCCAACACCACGGCGTAGGTCTTCTCCAGCATAGCCTCACGTACAGTCTTAAAGTTGAACAACTCAAAGGCATTAAATCTGTAGGTCCAATTAAGCATATTGGGTGTATTGAGCATATCCTGTAATCGGTCGTATATGCCACTCCAGTAAGGCTCAGGTAAAGCCGCCAGAACAATGCCCACGGCATTGATATAGCTGTGGATATCCTTCTGCGGAATAACCGCATATCCGCTGACTATTACATCAATGAGATTGTTGGCCACTAAGGAGGGTGCCACCGGCAGACCCAGCAGTTCCACGCAGGTCACATAGAGCGCATGGGTTGGAGCATTTGGAAACTCATTAAAACGCCAGTCGGTAGAATAGAAGACATTTTTCCCACTGATGGCTGCACCAAAAGAGGTCAGGAATATTTATAGTCTCATTACATTATTTGAAAATCCAACTTACTGTCTGCTAAGCGCCTAATCAAGCTCATATAGTAACTTAATTCAGGAGTCCACATCGAGTCTTGGTTTTGCAGAAAAACCTTGTACGGTTCACTAACACTCCAGTTTGGCGGACGAATATCACTAAACGCGCTAGTAATAGCACCAACCTTGAATGGTAAACTATGTTGAGTAAAATACCAATATTATATTCCTTTAAACACCCACCAGTTTTTTCTTCAGCGCGGGCCGATCGCGTAGAATTCGCTCGTAATAGTGAAGAGTATTGTAGAGATAAGTTATGGGCCGATCTAAAAGGCATTAACATTAGTTTTAAAAATCTAAAGATGAGTTCCCAACGCACCATGAAACTTGTAGAGTATGCTCAGATGATCTAATATAAAACCCAGAATTTGGTGGACATTCGTAATGGTAAGCTCGATAAATCTATGCACCACGACATCCAAAACGGGCAGGAATCGTAGGCAGACATTGCTGAAGTACACAGGTAAAGGAATCTGCGAAGCAGACTCGTCCAAGGCGAACTTCTCTGGGTATTTTTGGTGGAACGATAAATGCTTGTCTTGCCTAAGAACGAGAATGAATTTCTTTCTTTCTTCATGAAGTGAAACACATACCAATTGCTCTGTTTCCAATGATCAGGATTATTGTCCTTGCAGAACTCCTGAACGCGATTTCTTAGCTCGCTGGCTTTTAATAATAGCAGCTGAATGATAAGAAAACATACTTGAGCCTCGTTTCCCTCGTGGGTACGGAGAGCCAGGCAAAGCACAACCCTATCGATAGTCACTACATTGAACTTCCAGATCATGTTGTTGATCGTGTCGACACACTTGTGAATAAAGTCCCGGCCATCCGATGAGCTAGCCACCTCGGCTACCAGATAATCGCAAAACTTGCGCAGATGAGTGGATAGCGCTCTTGCACTTATGCCCTCTAAGATTCTAAAATAAAGTCATTAATGTCATAAATAACAAAAAATATTGAGTCTCAATATTTCTCACTTGTAAGCCACTGGGCTTATGTTCTCTGTCTCCCAGATTATCTTAAACAGAAGGCAAAGGAATAAGGGATTCGTAGTTGGTCGCAGGAAGTGTGCGATGATATCGTTCTCGCTTGTCATTGAAGTCCAAGTTCTATATTCCTCTTCCACGGCCTTTTTCAACTGCTGTTTGTTCTCTGGCGGTTGGTTGTTTTGGGTAAAGTACTCATTTAAAGCGGGCGGAAAGCAGGCTAAGGAATGCATGGACCACGAGTGCGGCGTATGCTGAATAATGTTGGAGAGAAAATCTTTGCACCACCCCTGCATTTCATCGCCTCCCCCGTGCACATGCATAGATCGGGCTAGTGTAAGGATGAGAACCCGGTTAAGCTCCTCGCTCTCATTAGATGCTACCGCTCCAGGCGATTTATCATTAAAGTAACGCGAAAACTGAGGCTGGAACTCGGCAGATCCAATGCTGGTGATCAAGCGCAGAGCAGTGGATTCAAAGCTGAAACAAAGTAGCTTAGTGAGTTATATATGATTGACATATTTATAAATTACCAAAGATTTAGCTGCATCTTATTTGTCTGCGGCACAGAGGACAGAGAGTGAAGCAGGGATAGCAGCTGGACCCGATAGTGAGTAGGCACATGGTGCAGTCGGTACGAAAACATCTCCATCAGAGTATGCAACATGGCCCACGCGTGGTTTTTAAATACAGTTGGCATCAATTGGCCTTCACGATAAAACATAAATTCATAAGCACATAGTTTCATTATAATGACTAGCTCTACTCACTTAGGAATCCCTTAATTCCCAGCGATTCGATTTCTGTATAAACCAGAAGTCTGGCATATGTTTCTAGCAGAGCCGCCGCAGGAACTTGTCCTTTTGTTTGGGCTTGCTTTAACATCTGTGTTACGAAGCTGTGGATTAGCGACATTTTACTGTGTACTGTCAGGCTGTCTAAAACCGTGACCGAGAACGTTACGGCTGGTATTTGGCCCCCATTTGGAGACTTTGAAGTGCCATTTAAAGCATCCAGCAGCAGTCCCATGGGTCGACCAAAGTATTCTTGATTTGTCGAATATGCATTGCAAATAAGAATGATGCGAAAATCGTTTCCCAAAGTCATGTTCATCATGGTATTCGGGGTGACCAGGTGCTGGAGAAAACTATGATGCAAAAATTATTAAAATGCAAAAAAATACTTAGGAAATTCATTAAGCATTACTCGTAATGGTTTTTAAGCGCAATAGGTAGCGGCCGAGTTATGTTCATATTTTCCACTCGGGCCTTCTTCATCAGATGAATCCAGACACAAATGGGGGCCATATGCCGCACCATCGAGGATTTGTTAATGTCTGGCAGCTTAAGAGGCTCCAGCTCTGGATAAAGAAGATCAAACAATCTGAATACAGGCAGGAAATTTGTGATCTGAAATATAATCATTATAAATATGTTTTCTGTTATGAGGGCGGTAGTTGTATTCCTACAGGATTTTTCTGTATGCTTCCAGAGATGAACTGCAAAAGTATCCACATAAGCTGGTCACGACCCTTGCGGAGCTCCAACTTCGAAAGCTGCATATAAGCAAAAGTTATTTAGAACTAAACTAAAAAATTGCATCTATCTATCCCCACCTTTTCATGCAGCGCCAGGACTATATGCATAAAGCTTACAAACTGGAAGAGCACAAAATAGATAAGTTGTGAAGACAGATGCAACCACACCCACTCGTAGGGCGTGATCTGTTCGTCTGACGCATTGAAGCCACTGCCCGCAGTAGCATCATTCGCCTCCGTCATTTCCATGGCCTGGACTATCAAATTAACTAGTTGCTCTTCCAGCGCATTATAGCGCTGCTTCTGATGCTTTTGCAAGTTTAGCATTTGCGAGACCATCTCCCGAGAGTATGGCTGTTCCAAAACATAACGAAGCAGGGGTTTCTGCTCCTCGAGTAGCTCGGGCTCATAGGGCAGGCTGCCCTTAAAGTTAAACTTAAGTGTGTTGTGGTCTAGCCGCCAGGAGTTCATCATGTGATCAGCATAACCAAAATGCTCCACAATAGGCAGCATACTGGCGTGCCCTATGATCGATACCATTTGTGCTGTGGTGCGGAACTCTTCGACAAAGTCGGTCATCAGGCGATTGAGCTTCCAATGGTAAGGAAATGGACGCATAATCTCGTTGGCAATAAAGTATGCGGGCAGGAGGCAATTGTTGCGGTCGAAAATGAAACGCAGAATATCCTCAACGGCCAGCAGCTGTGGCATGTATGTGATGTTCACGTTGAGGGGAAACCATTGGGCCTTGTCACGGCACACCTTCATGATCTCGCGCACGCCCTTGTAGTCCACCTGGACGATAACGCGCTTAATCAGACGAAAGCTCTCGACCCAGAAGGTCTTGTGCTCGTAATCCAATTTCTCGCACATTAATACCTTGTCGCACAGCATCCTGGCGGTAATTACGTGTGTATCCACCAGTTTAACCAGTGCCGCCATCAACACCTTAATGTGATAACCGGAGGCACCGGCTGCTCGCAGCAGATAAAGCCGAAGTACTTGGTCCCGGTTCTCCTGAGCCACATTCCCAAAGGCGGTGACTGAAACATATGTTGGTTAGCACAGTTTGATTCCCGGCAAGTGGTTTACTCACCCAAGTCATTGGCGAAACTGGTGGCCCGCTCCTGCTCCCCATTTGGCTTAAAAACAATGACGCTCACAAACGCCTCGTCAATGGAGTCCACCTTCTGAAAAAATTGAAACGTTCATCAGCCGGTGGGTCTCTCATTGCTTATGTCTTTTATATTACCAAAAACTCGTTGACGGTGTCTATAACTTGCGTTTCCATATCCATTTATATTGTTTTTATCATTTCCGGCACCGCATAAACAAAATCGCGTCTGATCTGAACTTCTTTATCGCAGTGTTACCAGCTTACGCAATAACAAAAAAACTATACTCCGAGTTGTACTGAGACTTGTATAGCTAAATACTCCGTAAAATATAATTCTTTATTATTATAATGTCGTTATCTAAAATATTATTTAAAATATAACAATAAAATTTTAAAAAGTAAAATTTGTTATATTGAAATATAACCGATAATCTCAATCACATTAGTTTCAAATAATTTTACTAAGATTTAGCTATAAAATCAAAGTGAGCAGTACTGAACCACCGGCACTTAAAACAACTGGTCACACTGAGCGACAGATAAGTTGTAGAAACTAGTTGATTTATCCGTGGAATCGCACATAAATAATGAAGAAAGTGCTGGTCACAGGTGGAACTGGCCTTGTAGGCAAAGCTTTAGAGGCAGTAATTAAAGAACAGTCTCCACCAGATGAGCAATGGTATTTTGCTGGTTCCAAGGATGCAGATTTAACGTGAGTTGATGGAATACACCAATAGAACCAACTCGTAAACAAAGGTATCCACAGAAATCTGGCAGCCACGCAGGCACTCTTCGCCCAGGAGAAACCTACACATGTTATCCACCTGGCCGCAATGGTCGGAGGTCTATTCCACAACATGAACAACAACCTGGACTTCCTGGTGAGCAACATATAAAACATGATTTTACATCCACTTCAATTCAAATCCTCTACAGCGGAACAACCTGCTCATCAACGACAATGTCCTTCAAACGGCTCATGAACATGGCTGCATCAAGGTTGTCTCCTGTCTGTCCACCTGCATTTTTCCAGACAAAACCAGCTATCCCATAGATGAGACAATGGTGCACAACGGACCACCACACCCCTCCAACTACGGATATTCGTACGCAAAGCGATTGATAGACGTGCAGAATCACGCCTACCACGATAAGTATGGTCGGCTTTACAACTCCGTGATTCCGTGCAACATTTTCGGTCCTCACGACAACTATAAGCCCGAAGTGAGCCATGTGATTCCCGGTATGATTAATAGGATGCATCAACTGATTACGGAGAAGTCTGATGTACCGGAAAGTGAAAAGGTATTCACCGTCTTTGGAAGCGGAAAGCCTCTGCGTCAGTTTGTCTACTCCCTAGACCTTGCGGAGCTTATGATTTGGGTACTAAGAAACTACGATAGCGTGGAGCCCATTATCTTGAGCGTGGACGAGGCCCAGGAGGTGACCATCTACGAAGTGGCTCAAGCCATTGCCAAGGCATTTAAATTTAAGGTGAGAATAGTTGATTTTTGTAGAATATTTAATATACAATAACTCGCTGTATTTTAGGGTAAACTGGTCTGTGATACGAGCAAAGCAGATGGGCAATACAAGAAGACTGCGTCCAATGCTAAACTTCGCTCTCTTTTGCCAGATTATGCATTTACAGACTTTGAAACTGCAATTACAACTTCGGTGAAATGGTACAAAGACAACTACGATCAAGCCAGAAAGTAATTCCATTTCAATGCCCAAATAAATGTAAATATATACAAATTTTCCACAGAATTTTATACGTATTTTATATCCAACAAAACAACAATACCTAGTGTGCAATCTCAGTCTGTCCAGGAGTCGCCGTATTGATTCTTTCTACCAGCTGGCTCGCTGCGAGCTGGTTCCACGGGTCTCTGCTGAACGGGAGCTGGTGGTTCGTAGGGACGCGAATATGGACTCTGCTGATGCTTAGAGTACTCCTCTCGGTTCCTTCGCCGCAGGTCCTCGTAAGACTGACCAGGCTTGGACGGCTCCAAGGGTAGATCCGTGTCCAACATTGAACCAGCTGCAGACAAAGAGGAGAATTATCAGAATCTACTTGAAACAGAATGATAATTCGAGCTTACAGTCCAAAGTGGGGCGGTAAATGTCATCCAATCCAGACAAAGTTGGACGCGACTCTGTGTCCAGGTTGAGAGCAGTGCTTCTTGCGGGCTGATACGCCTCGTCACTGTACACATCTGCTGAGCTGGGCGAAAAGGGAGCCAAGGTAAAAGCCCTGCCCAGATTCTCGTCCGGTGTTATGGAGCTAATTACACCGCCGCCCTGTCTCCGCTGACGCAACAGTTCGCCCAAGTGGGAGTTGGGCAGTCGCATGATCTTCTCGGCACATTTCTGCTGATAGCTGAACTTGCCCACAAAGTAGCCGAGAATGACACCCATGACGACCTTGGGCACGGCGCCGTACTTGCCGTGTCCTTGCAAGTAGCCATTCTTAACGCCAAAGTAGGCTAATAGACCGAGTCCGGTACCAAATGGCAGGCTGCGCTGGAAGAATGACTCCGTGTTGCACTCACGTAACGCCTGCACTTCCTCAGCGGAAAATTGATAGTCCGCCTAAAAACAGTGTAATCATAACTGTAGCGGCAGTTAAAAACTAATTTGGCACTAACCAGCGGGTGGGGAGAGTGTTGTGGAGGCTGCCGAGAACCATCGTTCAGCGGGGAGTCCATGCTGATACAATTTAACCCGTAATTTGTGAAATGTATAATGGACCAACTACCGGCGCAGGGGATGTGCCAACCCTGGTTACCGGTGAAACAACTCTGTGGTTGCCCCTATTTAGTGATGGCCTGTCAATAAAATTGTTATTTTATTTAAATCTAATGTAAAAATGGTCTAAACAACAAAAAAAAAAAAAAACAAATGAATATGACGATGATATTGACAAAATAAAAAGATTTTTTATACAATTTTGATATATAATTATTTTTTTAACAAGTAAGCTGGCAATATTTTGTAGACGAAATATATATTTTTCTATGTGCACAATTAACGGCTATGCTTTTATACGTTTTTTTTAATATCTTCTAAATTTTTCTCCTGATATTTTCTAGACGGTTTATTATATTTTTAAAGAGTTTTACTTAGTACATATGTACATATATAGAAAACACAATTTCAGTCAGCCAATAACAAAAATATCGACAACATTGAGTGTGCTACTGGCAGTTTTCGTGCTATACACCCAAATTGAAATAAAGCTGCAAATCGTAGTCACCAATAATTCAAAAGGATCAACATTTCAAAATTGACCGTAAAACCCCACCGAGAACGTTCAGAGGACGGAAAGTCGCGCACCACCAGAACCAGGGATGCAACACGCACGACGCGACGAGATTATGACATTTTCGCTGTCAAGTAAAGTTACAGCTGTGTCGTCTGCTGGCCGCGATCCTGTGCCTGTTGTTGTAATTAATTGAAATTTGTACTTTTGGCAATGTTCTCCACCACCACACACTCCGTGGTAAGTCCTGCCCCACTGCAATCCATTGATCCGACCATCTAACTGTTCTCTCTCTCTCAATCTTGCGCTGTTCACTCACCTGTTTGGAATCGATGATATCGGGTGCGATGACAGCCCTACCTGTACCTAGGCAACTTCAGCAGAAAGCCGCACTACTACTCCGTAAATCGGACCAAGCTGCACGGGAGTGCGAATGCTACGCGCTTGCCCAAGTCCACGTCCACCAGGAGTCATGACCTCGTGCTCGACCTGCAAAACCTTTTCAGTCGCTCAAGCGCCAGCTTGCAGGGCATGGTGGAGAAGGCGGCACGACTGAACGGTATTCTCGACCGCCAGCTAGTCAACGAGGTGTTGGCAAAGGTGACCAGCATATTGCCCGCCATGCGCGACGTTCGCGTCACGCTGGAGGAGCCCGCAACACAGATCGGTCGTGTTCAGCTGCAAAATTATCAGTTTGAAGTTTCGCTAACTGGAGCAGTAGGTGCCCCGCCTACGGCCGCCAATGTGTACGTGCATATGCCAAATTTAGATTCTAAAGACGTTACTAAATTAGTCATTTTGCATTCTTTCAGTAAAATGATTCCAACCAAAACGCATGGTCTTTTACGTCCGCTTTTCTGCCAACAACAGCTGTGAGTATTTGGATCTCATTTACGAGTAATGCCTACAGATCAGATTTTTCCTATAGAAAACACATACGTGGCTTTAAGACGGATCGCTCCATTGAGGCGGAACAGAAGCGCAATCCCACAATGACCTCCCGGCTGAAGAATGCCTTGGCCAACTCACCCCAACGGCTGGATGGAGACACATCCTTTCAGGCTGAAAAGTTCAGACGATTGCTGGCCAAATCCGATGACCATGGATACAATAATGCTGTACTATTACATTACCAAATTCTTGTTTAAAGTACTGATGTTTTTGTTGTTTACCTTAGGAGAACCTAAAGATTGCCTTTGCCGAGGGATACTTGGCTGCCGCCAACTCTGAAGATTCTCCAAAATCTGGAAAAACCATGAAGTATCTTAAGGTATAATTTCATAATTGTTCGCGGCCAACACTAAGAACTTTAAAGATGACAGAATGTACTGCTATCTTTAGTTATTTAAGTAATTCCTAGTAATTGTCACGCAGACTTTGCAGACTCTCGTCGTAATCGTCGTTTTCCTGGGAATATTCCTGAGCTTCTTCACCACTTCCAATGGATCTGTCTTTCGGTAAGCCTCCTCGTTACTTTTCTTTCTCTTGTTCTGATTGTCCTCTATTTCAGCAGCATCCAACTGGGCAACCAGGTCGAGGTGGATCCAGAGGAGATCAACGTGACCTTCGATGATGTAAAGGGCTGCGACGAAGCCAAGCAGGAATTGAAAGAGGTCGTCGAATTTCTGAAGAGTCCTGAGAAGTTTTCAAATTTGGGCGGCAAACTTCCAAAAGGAGTGCTCCTGGTTGGCCCCCCGGGTACTGGCAAAACTCTGCTGGCCCGCGCCGTCGCCGGTGAGGCCAAAGTTCCTTTCTTCCATGCTGCTGGACCAGAGTTCGATGAAGTGCTCGTAGGTCAAGGAGCTCGACGAGTCCGTGATTTGTTCAGTAAGTATATTTATTTTGCTGTATTAACAAATTTAACAAAAGTTAATTTTTAGAGGCGGCAAAAGCCCGTGCACCGTGTGTAATCTTTATCGATGAAATTGACTCCGTGGGCGCCAAAAGAACCAATTCTGTATTGCATCCTTATGCCAATCAGACCATAAATCAGCTTCTTTCCGAGATGGATGGATTCCATCAAAACGCTGGCGTCATTGTTCTGGGTGCCACCAACCGTCGCGATGATTTAGACCAGGCTCTACTGCGACCCGGTCGCTTTGATGTGGAGGTAATGGTGTCCACCCCCGACTTTACTGGCCGCAAGGAAATCTTGTCTCTGTATCTGACAAAGATTTTGCATGACGAAATCGATTTGGACATGCTGGCGCGCGGCACCTCTGGATTTACTGGAGCGGACCTGGAAAACATGATCAACCAGGCAGCGTTAAGGTGGGAAATTATTATTAAAAGTGATTTTATTTTATCAACTGTTAATGGGGTAATATTTGAAAGCTGAACTAATTTTAAAATTTTTACAGGGCCGCCATCGATGGAGCCGAGACCGTTAGCATGAAGCATTTGGAAACAGCACGAGACAAAGTACTTATGGGACCCGAGCGAAAGGCCCGTTTACCGGACGAAGAAGCAAACACAATAACCGCCTATCATGAGGGTGGTCACGCAATTGTCGCCTTTTACACCAAGGAGTCGCACCCACTACACAAGGTGACAATCATGCCCCGCGGGCCATCACTGGGTCATACCGCCTACATACCGGAAAAGGAACGTTACCATGTCACAAAGGCGCAGCTACTGGCCATGATGGACACAATGATGGGAGGCCGTGCTGCTGAGGAACTCGTCTTCGGAACAGATAAGATTACGTCGGGAGCCAGTAGCGATCTCAAGCAAGCCACCTCGATTGCCACGCATATGGTCAGGGACTGGGGTATGTCGGATAAGGTTGGTCTTCGGACCATTGAGGCTTCAAAGGGTCTGGGCACCGGAGACACTCTTGGCCCCAACACAATCGAAGCCGTTGACGCGGAGATCAAACGCATCCTCAGTGACAGCTACGAGAGGGCGAAGGCTATTCTGCGGAAACACACCAAGGAGCACAAGGCGCTGGCGGAGGCGCTGCTTAAGTACGAGACTCTGGATGCTGACGATATCAAGGCAATATTGAACGAAAGCCAGACGTAGTTCCATCTTCGGTGTGGTTTGAAGGTGTTCAAGGGTCCAGACGGAAGACCAGGGGTGGAATTCCATCGGACATTCAGCTGAACTGCTAAATATTTTTTAGTTACAATATATAAAAACAAAAACGGAAAAAGAGCCAAGCGAAAGCGAGACGCAGACGGACAGTTAAGAAATAAAATGTTACACATATTTAGTTATGTTTTCCATCATCCACGTTAGAATTAAATATTAGTTTGAGTAATAAACCAAATTGAAGTCAAATGGATAAAATTTGCGCGCCAATGAAAAATGGAAGTATATTTATAATGTGGCCAGGTCGCAGAACTTTCTAATCTACAGAACGTTCAATGGAAACCACATTTCAAAATAAAAGCCTACAACATTTAAAAATATAAAATATTTTTAAATTCTTTTACAATGAGGATTTATTAGCCACAAATATATACTCGTATTTTATAATAAAACCATTAAATGAAGTATGAAAATTTTTTTATGTGAAATGATAATGATAACTTGTGGAACCCATTTATTGAAAGCTCTGTGGGGCTGAAATTTGGTATTTAAATTGGTATTTTTGAGGATTCCGTGCTTAGTTTTAACGTTAGATTCCGGTCACACTGCTTAATTGCCGAATTCTAATTCATGTTTTATTTTTTGTCGAGTAAATTAAGATAATAATCAGAGAAAATGTGCGACTACAAGATCTCGGAGCGGGCCTACACCAAGCTGATATTCCACGCGGCCAAGTATCCACATCAAGCGGTCAACGGACTCTTGTTGGCCGAAAAGACCTCGAAGGGTTCCCTGGTGGAAATCGTGGATGCGATTCCGCTTTTTCACCAGTGCCTGCATGTCACTCCCATGGCAGAGGTTGCTCTCATGCAGGTAATTGTCGGTTCCCGGTTCCAGAAGTCCCCATGAACTTTTATTCGGACAGCAAATCAATTCAGAGGAAGAATCAGTTGTACAGCTAATATACATACATACATATGTTGTAGTTTTAACGTGTGCCCTAGTTGGGAATCGGAAAAACCAAATCATTCTATAGCAAATTAAGGTCTGTTAAAACGGTTCCCCCATAGTTCATCCAGAGCTGAATTAAATCATCTAAATATCACGGTTTAAATAGTTGTAACAAATATATACATAGTTATCCTTATGTATCCTATTTTAAAGTTTGCTAACTTGCAATTGTACATCATCTGGTTTATTAAATATATTAAATGTAGTTTTTACTGAAGTCTAACTATTTAATATTCAGTCAAGATGTGAAAAAGTTAAATTATTTTTTTTAGTACAATTGTACCTTGTACCCCAAAAAGGTTAAATAAGTGTTTCATAATAAATAATGATCGAATCACTATTTTACTCCACTCTTTATAATAATAATATTATTGACTTAAACTTTAGCGGTGAAAATATCAAAAAAAAATTATTTTTACATCAGGAGTGTATAATAATAAGACGGGTATTTTACAAATTGCCCCGCAATCAAAAAATATCTTTTGAATAATAATAATATATTTTTAATAATATACCTTTTTTTTGTATGAATCAGATCGATGCATACGCTGAACGCGAAGGTCTGGTGATCGGTGGATACTACAGTGCTCCTGAGAATTTCTACGACAATCAGGTCGATAAGACGCCAGCTGCCAAGATTGCGGATAAGATCCAGGAGAACTTCAAAAACGCCTGCTTCGTGGTGGTGGACAATAAGTTGATGACTCTGCAGCACGACCGTGCCGCTGTCCAGGTGTATAACTGCGTCGGGGACTCTGCATCCAGGTGGTCAAAGGCCAAATTCACACTTTCCCAGTCGCCTCAGACTTTAGAGGGCGTATCGCTGCTGTTGAAGCGCGGAGCCATGCGTGACTTGGTGGACTTTGATAACCATTTGGACAACCCTGAGAACGACTGGACCAACGACTTCCTTAATCAGTCACTCAACGATCTGCAAAAACTGTACTAGTCGCCAGTTTTTAACGTACGTTTTTTTTTAGTCTAGCAAATTCGCATTCGAGGGAACAAGCCGGAATTTCAACCTTGCAATTTAATTTATTGTAATTACATTTGGATTTCAGTAATCTTTAGAATAATGCATATAAGTTAAATAACATTCAACTAATTAATAAATAATCAATTCTTTCATCATGTATGAGTCGAAAGTTGTCCACTGTCCGGGTCCGTCCGATGGTTTATGTAATATCTTATGTATGTAAAGTCCTTTTCTGTTCTGTTATTTTGTGTTGAGTAAACCTAAGCGCGTTACAATTATCGTTAATAAATACAGATGAATAATATGTATGTAATTTTGCTTTTGGTTTGTCTGGCTTGTAAATTGAAATATTTTACATTAATATTGTAATATCGCGATTGCTGATTATACATAGGTATACATAATACGTACTTATGTGGATATATCGGAGATCGAAAGTATCGCAAAAACGTTTATTTATATAATTTCAGTGTATTGTATAATTCCATAATATCTGATCGAACGCATAACGAACTCTTTACACCGTACACTAAATATATTGAGGGAACGGGATAACGGATCACGGCTCTTGGATCTCCAACTGGATGCCATCCTGCGCACTTTACTCATATAAGATTTGCCATTTTGCTTTATGCTTCTTTAGTTCTGTATATGGGGAGTATGCTCTTTGTTTTGTGTATAATATCATTTGCAGTGTTGATTTATGACTTTGTTGGATAGTTTTCATCCGGTGTCCGCTGGAAAGGATGGGCAGTTGGTGTGGGTGTGGTCGTGGGCGTGGACATGGCATGGGAATCTGTTCTACGTGGGGCGCCTTTTGATTATATCCTAGCTATACAAGTGCGCCTGAACACGCAAGCATAATCAGTATGTAAGAGTATGAGGCATATTTCGCTCGGACTCTGTCTCTGTCCACATCGTGATGTAACTGGGTTGGTGTGTTTTGTGTTCCGTCATCACATGCTATGTTAGTTGATCTATAAAAATGTAATAGAGAAGTTATGGATCAGTGGGCGGATGCCGAAAGCGAATGAAGAGTGAAGAACACCCAACGGAACGGAAGATGATTTGCAATTTGGAAAAGTTAAATAATGTACGATTTTACAAAAGGCCGTGTGCAACTATCATTGTGGGCGTGATGTGTCATGGGTGCAACGGATCGGGATGTACTTGTGAGTGGTGCTTTGGGGGATCGTATCTAGAGTTGGCCTCCTCTGATATTTACCATTCCCGCGGACAGAGAGTTGATGGCATCTTCCACCGTCGGCTTGTGTCGATCGATTTTAGATGAGTTTATGGGCGAGAAGTTGTCTACGATTGCAAGCGTGAACGAATACACATATACAGATAGATATAGAAACACAAAAAGCGATTTCAAAGCAAATCTCAAGTGCCAATTACCGAGATCACCACTCGAACTGGAGTCCGTAAAACTGGGTGTGCCCTCTGTCCATGTGGGAGTGGAGCCCTCACCTGAAGCGGGCGGTGTCCAGGCCAATCCTCCGCGGGATCCGTATTGACTGCTCGATGAAGTATCCACCGCTAGCAATGTATCCAGATGTACTTCGGAGACGCTAGATAATGTAAAGGTTTTTGCTAATGAATTTTTCATTCAGAAAACACTTAAAAGTCACTATTAACTAAGAAATATAAAATAAATAAATTTAAAGTAACGTCGTTTTAGTGTTCAGTCCAGTAAGATTTTTACCTCACGATGTCCTCCTTGTAGGAGCCTCGATAGGCGGGTCCAATGTTCATCTTGCGGTCAAGGTAGTAGGACTGCTGGTGCTGCTGAGACAGCTGGTGATGATGATGGGACCGGCGCCCTATCGACGAGGTGCTGTTCTTGTTCGAGCTGTCCTCGGAGATGTCGTCAAAGGCGGGGGGAGGAGTCGAGCTGCATGAGGGCGTTGTGCCTAGCAATACAATGATCAGAGCAAAATATACAACGGAATGAGTGGAAGAAGTACAAAGTAGTAGAAATATGTATGTAGATTTGGGTTATGGTGTAGTGTAGTTGGATTAGCGAGGTGCAAGCGAGGTACTACTCCCGTCCCAGTCCGCGTCCCGTTGATCCCTGAGTGCCATCGCTCTCTGGTATCGTAGAAGGCGCTGCCTTGGGCGCCCGTCTCTTAGCCCTTCTCGGCTGCTTTGATGAAGTATTCCTTGCCAGCTCTACGACTGGCAGAGGATCTGTGAGCTTGGGAAGTGGCCTTTTAGTGCGATGTGTTGCCTCTAGCTCCCGTTTTACCTCCAGAAAAGCACTGACCGCCTGCAGCAGATTGTCTTCCTCTTGTGGGTTTTCGCAATCATCGCCACCGAGAGCCAAATCTACGTAATGAAAATAGCGCTTCCGCCTCTGCTGCCGCTCTAGCTTTTCCTGAATACCACGCCTTGGCGAACGCTGGCTGGGAATGCTACCCGAAGATCGCGAGCGCCCGGATCGATAGCTTTCCGCCCGTATAGGCGGAAAGCTCCTAACAATGGAGCCCACGGATGAACGCTCGCTGCGCGCCACAAAGCTGTTTTGCCGCTGAAAGATGTCGACGTGGTTAAGAAGCCTGGGCTGCTGGCGTCGGAAACTACTCTCCGATCGAGCCGTGGAGTAGGCAGAGTGCAGTGAATCTCGACGCCGCAGCGAGGAACTCCTTAGTAAAGCAACCGTAGGTTCAGGCAAAGGAGCAGTTGGAGCACGTACGCCACTGTCTGGAGCATCGAAGAGGTCGTGCAGCTCTAGCCAATCCTGAACGTTACTAGGCGAACGACGGTCTCCGAATCGTGGCATTCCCTCATTCGCAGGCACCTGAAGGGTGTGGATGTGTGCTGGTGCCGAGTTGGGATTAGTAGTGTGCGGTTGTGTACCTGGTGTCGTTCGATCCTGGGCATCCTTGCGCCGTGGAGAGCCGCGCGGTGGTACTGGAGGTGGCACCCGAGTCTTCAGATTGCTGGCCGCCGGTGTACGTTGCTTGACGGGCGGTGGTGCTCGCTCGTTGTTGCCACTACCGGTGGGCGGGCCAACGGCGACTGCTCCTCCTCCGGCTGCTCCTGCCGCCCCCGCTGGCGTGGGCTCAGTGGTGGGCGGCTTGTTTGGCTGGTGAATCTTGCCACTACTGTGTGAGTGCGAGGCGTGAACCGCTTAACAAATAAAATGAGAATGTAAATAGGATTTTCATTTAAACTGAAGTTTTTAAATTTATTTTGAAATGGAAAAAAAGTCTTTAAATATTTTTTTATATTTATTATATAACAAAAACAATTGAAAGTTTAAATGAGACTCTTTAAAATCTTAAAATGAAATTTTATTTTTAATTATCAATACTTACGCCTCGTGGCCACCTCGTTGTCGCTGTCGATGGAGCGCTGTATGGCCTTGGAAAGGCTTTTTCTCTTCGAAGGCGAATGCTTGAGCGCTGGAAAAATCAGGTAAGATCAGGAATAAGTTACAGAAAGTTTAAAAGAGGGTAAGATTGAAAATTAGAATTCAAAAAGCATAGCACTTCCAAAGCAACTATGCGAAGCCAAGAGCAATACGGTTGCCGGGATGCCAAGGATGCCAGGGAGGTGAGGTCAACTAACGTGAGATTGAGAGGCATGCTTTGGCGTCCGTTTCGAAATCATATAAAACCAAGTGGTGAATACAAAAGATCGTTATTAAACTCTATAAAATACTCATTAAAGAAGGTGTAAGTAAAACTCAAGTGAGATATAATCAAAATTGAAAAGACATCGACCATTATTTTGTTTACCTATATAGCTGGTTACCAAGGTACGAAATTTTCTGTGATTCCCTTTGATCTCTGGGAGATCCACTATATGCGTACGTAAGTGTAAGGTGAATGCATTCGAGACATGGTCAAAAAGAAAGCAGAGAACAGAGCGTTTGGTTGGTGGACATAGATTTTGATGTCGGAGAGATCGCTTCGGATCGGCGTCTACTCAGGCCAAGTGTACCATATTGCATTTTTGCAGCACATCAATCGATTAACCAAAATTAGCAAGCTACGAGTGTCTAAATGTGATTCGGTTTGGTGTTTGAATGTTAATGGTGTGAATGTGTAAGTGGCTAAGTAAGTATCTACTCAAAAATGTCTGAAACCGGAACTGAGTGCTTGCATAACTCGGCCAACTGCACACAAAAATGCCTTACAGTACGAGTACTTAGCCCGACTTCCACGACCGGTCCACTTACGGGAGGGTATCTTGCGGAACACGGTCTTGGCCATGAAGTTTTGGAATCTTTGAGCATAGAACGAGGGCCGGCAGACCGATACGGTTTCCTAGAAATATTGTTAAATACAGATATTAGTTTTTGATTATTTAATCATTTCTAATTTGACAGATTCTTAGTAAGATGTTAGCGTGCCCAGCCTTACCCCATCGTGTATGATGCTTTTGAATGTGTGCTCCAGCTTCTTTTTCAGCCTGTAGGACTGCAGGATATCGATAATGCCGATGTAGAGCAGCAGGCGCTCTCCTTTCTCACTCCTCGCTGGAATCCCACCAGGTCTGGAAATGGGTTAAGCAATCCAATCAGATCTGGGGTAAACATGGAGCAATAACAATACTACTCACGGCACATCCTCCTCGTCGTCGATGGGCTCGCTCTCCGCCTGAATGCTCTCCATGGCCGTCGAATGGGCCACCAGTCGCTGGCGATTAACAGACCTGTATGCCGCACTGGGTTAGCTCTTTAGATAATTCCTTAGATTAACCGATAGCTTAGATACTCACTTATTTCTGCTGATGCCCGTGGCTGCATCCCGATCCTTGCCATCACCATCCAGTCCGTCCAGCGGATCGTCCACATCCACGTCGGAATCCTCGGCCAGCGGAGCCCTCAGTGGTTTCCTTAGCTCGCTCTGCTTTTCCTTCATAGCCACGTCCAGATTATGAACGCCGAGAAGCAGGGAGTAGTCCATGATTTTGAAGGACTCTAGGACCGTACAATCACGCTGAATGGTCTTGATCAGTGCGGAGTAGGTTTCGGCCTCCAGGAATATACCGTTTGGATGCTGCTCCATGAAGTCGAGGTCCTTGTATGTGGGTGACTTCTTGGCACGCTCTGCCTTGTTGGCCTTGCGCTTGAACGTGGAGCCCTTCAAGTCGTATTTCAGGTGCATCCTTACGGACGAGGGCAGCAGATTGTTCATGACCACCAGGCGAATATTTTTGGCATTGCTCGTCTGCAGGCAGTACAATCCGAAGAACTTTGGCAATAGCGTGCGCGGATTTTGATTTAGATTCATGTAGTAACTAAATTAGTTTAAATATTATTAATGAGGATTCTGGAGAAGAGTAGACTAAATGTACCCACCCAGGCAGTAGTTTCTGTAAAAATTCGCCCTCTTTGTGTTGAACCGTCTTGATGATGAACTCGTCGTCGGTTGTCAGGTAGAATATAGAGCCGGAAGCACCAGGATTGGACAGTTCCCGAAGCGGGGACGTACACATAGACATCTGAAAGTATTATCCATTATTAAGTAACCGCTGGCTTTAAAGGATCATCCATTTACCATAAAATCATCTGGCTGGATGCCGAACAGATCCCTAAAGTAGCGAAAAGCAATGGGCGCGTAGATCTTGTATCGGAACTCGCTGTAGTGGTGGGCAGGTGTAAGGCTAGAACCCTCTGGCGGAAAGGTGATGCTCTCGATTTCCCAGAAGTCCATCATAAGTAGATCACGCTTGGGCTTCGAGGCTAGGCTGCCGACCTGTGAGAGACATTTTAGGATTCTTACTAAGTTTGTAATGCAAAAATGGTTAACTTTTTTAAACACATTTTGTTCTCATTCAAAAACTTAAGCTAATTTAAGTTTTTTATATTTTTAAACCACTTTCAAGTTTTCAGCTTTTAAGCTGGTAACATAGCTTTAAACTTTGTATTTAAATTTTAGTTTTGTCAAATATTAATCCAAATATTTATTGTTAATGTTCCCCAATAAAAATTAAGACTTACTGTAACTTAAAGTTACAAAAAAGTATAAAATGTTTTGAAACAAATGTAAGTCGGTCTTTAGGAACCTCCGAATATTATTGACCCAAAATATGTATCTTTAAATAGAAAACTAGTTTTCACTAAATCTTACAGTGTGCTGGATGCCCAGTTGAATAGAGCCCATGATCTGCGACGTCTGGATCTTCTTGTACGTAATCTCGCCGCCTTCGCCGACTCGTCTGTGACCAATCTTGCGCTCCTTGTCCGCCTTGCTGGCCGCTCGGTTCGGTCGGTTGCCCAGCTGGTTGTTTTGGGGTGGAAAAGTAATTGACCCGATTAGTTCAGATTGGACTGACCTCGGGGCCAAGGCGGATGTACTTACATCGGGCGATGAGTTTCCCACATGGTCGTTGGAGGCTAAAGTAAGACAGAAAAAAGTTTATTATTAGGAGTCATGTTTAATTCAGGCCATGACGCAGTCGCCTGGTCAATCACCGCAACTTGAACTTGGGCGGGCTTGAACTGGCTTGTAGTGGCGGCTACTGGTTAGTGGCTACTCCAACCCCGATTCGCGCGTGTTACTTTCTTTTGTTATCAATCCAAAAATATAAATATGAACCGATGGAAGTCCGTCTGACAAGTGCGGGGGTGGATTCACACTCACGCTTCTTCCCTTCACGCGAGACACATGCGCCAGGGGCACTTCCATTCGCCAGTCATTGATTTTTTTTTCAACGCTGGAGAAAATGAGGTGACGGTAACGGGGACTGTGGATAATATTTACCATTGCTGGGATCTGCCAGTTTGGCCTGCGACGCTGAGGAGCTGTCCATATCGATGGTGTTGATGGTGTCGCCATCGCCGGAGGCCATCGTGTTCCTCCAGTTGTCCTGTACTCTTCTCTCTTCCCCCTTCGTAGGCTTCACTAGGACATGCTGCCTGGCTGCGAGCTTGGACTACTTGAAAGAGCTACCTTCACGTTTTTCGATCTTCGGGGATTATCCAATCAATTGGGCTAACTGGGGGCAGGAACCTTGGCTTTCGTCTGGTGCTGGCGTCAACGTTTTTGCAGTCTACGGTGATGGTGATGTTGATGGCTCCTCTGCCACTGCTGTCATTTTCACTGCATACTCATAGGCACACTGGAAGGCCTGGAAGGTCGGCTGTGCTGGAAGGGTGTGCGCAGGAACGCGCGCAGGGTTGCATTCGCAGTTAGTCTGAAATGCGGAACATCCGCCAAAGTTTAAATATCCGCGATAAATAAAGTTTAGAAGAATGTTGTTTCTTAAAATAAATTATTCGTTAAATAAATTCGTAAAAAATGCATGAAAAATATTTTAGCCTTAATAATCGTTCGAAAAAATGATTTATATGCTATCATATCCAAAAATATATACCAAAATATTTCCCACACAGTCAGTTAGTTATACGAAAAATTTGTTCATTTCAATCAAATCGTAAAATACCAAAAACTTTTAATTGTTTGTTTTGTATATATAAGTTATGCGATGATTTATTTATAATATAAGTATAATCCAATTGGAAGTTTTACAATAAAAATACAATTTTAGAATTTATTCTGTTAGCAAAGAAAAACAACGACAAAGGCGATTGGTTTAATGCACTTTTAATGTTTCTTCTCGTATTTTATTAGCGTTTCTGTACTTAGTTTGTTAGTTAGACCTATACATCGTATATAACTATAATATATATATTTTTTATTTATGTGGTAAATATATGAATACAAGAACTTCTTGTTTATGTGTATCAGTTTGCATTCTTGTTTTAATGGGTTCGTTTGCTTACGCACTCTGGTGTTTGTTTTTGTTTTTGTTTATGTTTTGTGTTTTGTTATCCTTACGTTAATATGCATGTACAAAATAAGCGCTTCTTTTTAAAAATTCCGCAAAAAATTACGTTTATCCGTTAAAAGTCTATTAAAAATTAAGGAGTATCAAAGTCTCTAGTTCAAACATAAAAACGAATATAGCCTACATCGAAGGACACTACCGAACTAACTGCTTAGAGCTAAGGATGCGATGGACATTACTACAGCGACCGTTGTCCACTTACGTTGTATAGTTGAGGCTTTATCTGAAAAGAGGGAAAAAGGTTATAATTTAATTGAATTGGAGGAAAAATATATAAAATCTAATGATTTCCTTTATATACGAGGTGTGTTCAAAAAGTAAGGTGACTCTTCAAATTTCGCGAATTTCAAATTTTTCGATTATCGAAACCTTTTAGAAGTTATACGAGGTGTGTTCAAAAAGTAAGGTGACTTTTCAAATTTCAAATTTTTCAAATTTTTCGATTATCTTCAGTTTTGGGAACAAGAAAAAGTCACATGGGGCCAAATCCGGTGAATATGGTGGCTGAGGCATTATTGTGGTGTTGTTTTTGGCCAAAAAATCCAAATCCTTTGATCCATATTTTTCGATAGCAAAAAATCGCCGAGCTCGCAAAATAACTTGTAACTTTACGCCTCTCACAACCAAACAAAAGAGGATGTTCCATTGAAACTTGGTACAGATGTTAGGGAAGAGTGTACCAATATAACAAAACAAAAAAATCGATAATCGAAAAATTTGAAATTCGCGAAATTTGAAGAGTCACCTTACTTTTTGAACACACCTCGTATTCAGTATTCATGTGCAAGTCTCTGAGAACATTATTTGGGAGTAACTAATATAGCCCCTGCTTACCTGTACTTACCATAGAAAATAGTCTCCCGGCGCTTGGTGTAGTTGGTGCCAACCAGGATAAACGCACAGGTGATCGGGGTGGGGGATTGGAGATGATTTCTAGGAATGCGGGTGCGTACGGTCATGCTGTAGAGGCCATCGGGGTCCTGGTCCAACTGCGTCAGCACCGAGTCCAGAACGTGGGTGTCAAACCTGGTCAGAGGGAATGATTAAATCCAGCTACTATTCAATTTCAACGGCCACAATGGCAGGGATCAGCTTACATGACCGACAGCATGGGTTGCGGAAAGACGTGCTGGACCGCGCACATTACGTCCACGTCCATACGCGAGCCGCTCATCCGCGCTTCCAGCATGAAATCCGACTCAGGAACTGTTGGGAGTATGGGGCAAGTGGGGAACCAGTGTGGAAGAGCCGACAGACAGGCCAGGAACCAAAAAGAACAAAAAGTCGTGAGAATTAATCAAGTGTCAAACTAAACAACAAAACAAAACAATACAAAACAAAACAGTGTCCCAAAGAAAAGCACAAAACAGCACAAACAAGCCGTGGTTCCGGACACCGCAGAGACTGCCACATGACACGCATGCAAATATGAAAGGGAATCACACGTGCCAAACAGACGGGGCCCAAACACCTGCACCGGAAGAAAAGTGTTGACCCTGGGGATCCAGGCTCGGAAGGATGAAACCCGATTGGAGATGCCTGAGCCAAATTAAACATGAACCTAATAAGGCTAAAACTAAATAGCAAACTGTGTACAGTGAACAAATTATGTACTCGTTAATGGAAAATCTGAAAAAGTTTTAGGGATATTGCTCTCAAGAATATAAAACTTATAAAAAGAATAAATCTTAAATTTATCAATAAATAACATTCAATTGATTCAATAAGAAAAAACTATAAAATGTATATATATAAATATTTCTAAGATTAAAATAGCCGTCTCGTTACGAAAGACTCTTAAGCTTTTGTAAACAAAAAGAGTAAACTAATTTAATTAGATTTTCTAAAAGGACAAGAAGGCCTGAAAAGTTTTTTAATGAAGGATGACAAAACTCGTTAAAAGACGGTTAATGGTTAAATATAATAAAAGCGGGCGAATTAAGGTAAGGCTGTCTTGACTTTTGTAAATGGCTTTAAAATACATAAATCATAATTTTTGTCTCCCTGTGTAAACACTGTACCGAACACCTATGCAAACACAAGGGACCAACTTAAGATGGGGGAGGGCAAATGGGCAGGCGTGTAGATGGGCTGGGTAGTAGGTGGGAAGGAGGGCAGGTCACCAGGCAGAACCACCACCTTAGACCTCCAACGCTCCCCCCTCACCGTCCACCGCACATCTTTCACCGCCGATCCTTCTCCTTTTCGCTGTGGTCGTGACACCCACCGATTATTTGCAAGCGGGCACTCCGCTTATCCGTCGACTCAAAGGTCTGCACCGCACACGTATACTCCCCCGTCATGTTCCAGTGTGGATTCTTTATCGATATAACACCGGGACTGCCTTCCATACTAAATATTTTGGTGTCTATCTTCGACTTCATGAAGCCCTACAATCGCAAGACAAAGACAAAGACACGGTTCGATTAATCTTAATTAATTATTTGGACCGTCGGCGACCCACAGACCCCGAATGACTCACCATGGCGAACCCCTTGACCGAAGGTATCCACTGGTAGATGGAGTTGTTGTTAAACAGCCACTTGAGGACGAATCCCTGCTCCCGCGGCCCGATCTCGACCTCGCAGTCGAGCACCAGAGGATCGGGTGCATGGTCACGGAACAGCGTATAGGTGCGTGGCACCCGCAGGTTGGTGATGCGCACCGAATGGGTGACTGATGAATTGGTGGGAAGGATTACTTATGAACTTACTTTTAAGTGGATTCTGTGGGGGAGAGCTCACCCGAGAGTAACATAAGCACGGCCAACAGCGTGGAGCACAGCCCGCGTCCCCGACAACCCGCCATGTGGGCTGCCTACTTTGTGTTCTGGTCCACGTCTGAATGCTCCAGCTCTGCTTGCTCCGGATCCTCCCGTTCGCCGAGGATGCTTCACCCGTTTCCGTCGTTGTGGGTGGCAGTAAATGCTTATGTGGCTGGACGTTAATACTTATTGTTGTTTTATTTTTGCGTTCTTAAATGGATACATTGGGGCCTTTGGTTGCACTCATTATCACCAATCTCATCACAGCAGCAGCATCAGGGGGATGGTTTTTTCTGGGGATACGGGCACTGACTGGTAAAAACTTTTCTCGCCTCGATTAGCTCAGGACCTAGGCCGCAGCAGCTCCTTGCAGGACATCTCGCTCTGCAAGTTGCAACTATTGCAATCTCCTTTTATGGCCCGGGCCATTTAAAGTTTTGCCCACATAGAACACTTTTTGTTAGTGAAAATCGACTTTTAGCTTTCTATATATATATATATACGTGCGATAGTGTCTGCTAGTGTGTACGTGCGATTGGAGTCCGCGGGGGCGGACTGTGCCAAAAAAGGAGTTCGTACTCTCGGCGTAGCGCGTGAGTTCTGCTGGCGGATACCAATAGTTGGTGTTGGTATCTTCTGCGGAACGCTGTTGTCCCGCTTCCAGGTGTAGCTTTTAATGTTTTAACACTGGAAAACAGAAACGGAGAGTCGAGCTTTCATTTGGTAGAGCTCCGCTTCATGCCGTTCTATGGCAAAACAGCTTCGTCCTGCGCCAAAACAGCTGAGCGTTGGCCAATGCGCAGGCGCTAAAGCTGACGTGATTTCCAATCAGGGGTGCCACATATTAAACAGGTTTTTCAGGGCGCTAAATTCAAATAGCTTTTGATATTAAAATATAAAATGTAAACAACAAAATAGATTTTATAATATTTATTAAAAATTAACACAAAATAACAATGAAACTAAATCTTTTAAAATTTAGAAAATCTTGAAATGTAAGATTAATGAAATGAAGTCTGGAATTGTCTCTAAGCAAACTTTCATCATGAATATTAAGAAATATAACTTTTAGTACTAAAACTAAGTAAATAATAAACAAAAATAAAGTTTTTAGTACTTACCCTTAAAATAATCAAATAACCTATCAGCTAACATACTTTTCAAGCATTGTAAACTATTGTTATGTTGTTGTTTATTCAATTTTCAATAACATCAGCAAAATTCTTAGTCTAATTTATAGTTAATAGTGTTCCTCTTGCTTGGATGTGTTACAGTTACACGCACACACACGCACACATACACATGATTAGTACTTGCATGTTAGATATAGGTCTAGAATCTAGATCTCTAGATCCCTAGAATTCGCGTTAAAAGTATGCTATAAATGTGCAATGCATCAGATTTACATAGATATACGCGCCGATATATGTATAGTACGTAAGTGGACTGGCAACTATAGCGTTGGCTTTGATTTGGTCGCATTTAAAAACTCGTTTGCTGGCTCTGGCTCCTACATCCTACAGATACACCTACTGATCACTACTTGCTGCTTGGATTCGATTCCGGGTTGGTGATGGAGTGTTAAAACGTGCTTAGATCGAAACTGAAATCACCGTTCAATGGACTGTACACAAGCCAATCGGTTCTGGGGGGAAGCTCCGAATGGTTCTAGCGAATCCCGCCTAGTCGCTGGTCTCCTCCTGGCTAGCACCGTTATGCAGGTGATGGCCAATCAGCGTCTCGATTCGAAAGTCTTTGGCGCTGCTCTGTTTGCTGGTCCTTAGGACCAGTGGCTCGCTATCGAAGCGTGTCCTTGGACTGGAGTGTCCAATGCCAGAAGGCGAGCTGTTGGACACCTCCGTATTCTCAAAGATCAGTGCATCCGGCGGCGCATCCAGGCGATTTGTACAGGCGCTATCTACCGAATCTGAGATATGTGAATCCTCCTGCTCATTGCCGCTCTCCACGTCGATTTTGTCCTCGCAGGAGTCGTCATCTCCGTCGGCTTCCGCATCAGCCTCTGTGTCCGCATCGTCGTTGTACACATTGAGATCCATGTAACCACCGCCCCCCGAAAGTCTTTCTGCGTAATCCCTGTGGCTGGAAAGTCCCGCGGCGCTGGCCACAGTCGCCACATCGAAGGCGTAGGGACTTTTGTACTTGGTGGCTCGGCTGCCCTCGGATCCACCACCACCACTGCCGCCTCCTCCTCCAGAGCCACTGCTGTGTGGTAGCGCATCCAGAGCATCCACTCCTCGACCCCGATTGATGAAGGGCAGCCGGTCGAATTTGTCACTGGACTGGCTTCCCTGGTAGAATGATGCCTCCGCATTTGCAAAGAAGTTAAACTTCTTATCCGCCCGTAGAGCTGAATCAAAGACATCTGCCGGGTTGTGGACAACATCGAAATCCCTGCCACCATTGAAGTTGGGCACATTGAAGTGCACCGGAACCAGGGGCACGGGTTTACGGATCCAAAATGGGGACAACGTGCCAAATACCGCTGGGAAGGAGAAGCGTTGCATCGTGGGAGCTCGTTTGTAGCGTTTTCGCCGCCGGAGGAAACTGCCGTTGTCGAACATGTCCTCCGCCAGCGGGTCCAGTGTCCAGAAGTTACCTTTTCCTGGATTTCCAGGCTCACGGGGCACTTTTATGAAGCAGTCGTTTAGGCTGAGATTGTGCCGAATCGAGTTCTGCCAGGCGGGGAACTTGTCTTTGTAGTAAGGGAAACTGAAAGCGAAATATATTTTATAATTTATTTTTGAGTTCGAATTTTCTTTTTAAAAAGAAGTTTAGAGTTTTAAATATTATATAACTAACAAATTATAACTACAATATTGACAAAATCAAGCCAATAATAATGGATAGGTTTTTGTAACGACTTCTAGTGGCCTTTCCAAAAAGACCTTTTCTTTCTGTTTTATTAATAATCTTTATTCATGGAGCATTATTATGTGTATTATTATCTTTAAATACTAATTCTAGTTCCAATATTAATATATTATATCAAGTTTAGATAGAAAAATAGATAGATTTAATCCATTTGACGACAAAAACCTAAAATAAGACATTTTCTGCTGTCCTTCATAATGAAAATTTATCTTGAAATCTGAATAAAAACATTAAAAAACTTGCAATTTTTTAAAATATTATGTAGATCTAAAAAACTTGTTCATGCTGTAATGATAATATTTATAAACGATTAATACTAATTTTTGTAATTTATAATCGGTAAATCTTTCTTCGAAACGTAAGAGATATGAACGAGCCCCGTCCATTCCATTCATCCATTTTGATAGTGTTTAATTTAAATATACTTGATCTCACTAAGATCACTCTCACTAAAGATCACTCACCGTGACATGATGAAGTCACAGATCCCGCTGAGCGTTAGCTTCTTGTGCGGCGACTGCAGAATGGCCATGGTGATAAGGGCGATGTAGGAGTACGGCGGCTTCACAAGTGGACCGCCGGATGATCCGGAACCATCTCCGCCGGCGCCTGCGCCACTGCCGCCAATGACCGACGGCTCAATGTCACTGTCATCACAGCCCATGGACATGGCATCGGCAGCGGCGGCACGCGAAGATGCACTGCATCCGATGCCGTTGCCGCCGGAGGAGCCACCTCTTGAGCTTTTGAGCAGCGGTGGCGAAAGGGAAACACTGTCGTGCAGAGTGTGCATGGGATCCGTGCTGGTGTGCATGTTTGTGGGGATTCACTGTAGTCTATTACTGGTCCAAGTACTGGCTTTACTTAAGTTAGAGGACGTAACACTGTTATTTGACTATCTTGCTCAGGAACTGTGTTCTTTTTGGCGATTCACTAGCTTCACTTTGCATTTGCTTTTGCTTTGGCATTTAAATTTGGATTTGAACTTTTTCTTCTTTTTTTGTTTCTGTTTCCGTTTCCGCTACCGTTATCCTTGACCGTTAACCGTTTAATGTCACTGTCGCTTCCGGTTGTGACTCGTCCGGGATAAACTGTACATATGGCCAGCAGTGGAGTGGAAAGTTAGCTAGCGAGTCGTCCGTCGTCGTGTCCGTTGAAGGCGGAATCCGCTGGCCAAATGTTAACTGAATCGCAACGAAAACGAAAATCTTCTCGCCCAAAATGTTTTTCTACATAACTCAAACATTTATTTATGAAAAACCGCTGCCATTGCCGCTGCCGCTGACGTTTCCCTGAGCTTTTGTGTCGCCGTTGCTGTGTTTTCGTATCTCGAATAACTGTGATTCTACTGCCGACGTCGCTGTCAACGCTGGCAGCATCCCGGCAGTGAAAGAGAGGGCCAGAGCCATCCATGCTAAGCCTCTCTTTCTAGCGGGGGATGAGATTGAATCCTGCGAACCAATCTATTTCGCCCTCGCTCTTGCCATCCCATTCTTACTCACTGCTCCTGTATGCGTGAGCCGGGACAAAATGGTGGAGTGCTCTGCCCGTAAATGTGATATTTGTGTTTTCCTCTCTCCCAACGGCGGCAAATTGGCAGCGACTGCAGAAGCCAAAATCCTTGGGGTGGGGTAAGGGCGGAGGATAAACATTTTGCGCAAATTTAGATACCTTTTGCCGCTTTGACGTCGTGGCTCTTAATAATGTTTCATTATGTCAGCCACATGGAGGCAGGCGTTCTCCTCCTTCTCTTTGGCCTGCTCCCTCTGCCGTCCCTCCTCCTCCTCCTTCTTTGCCAATCCTCTGCTGCTCCTCTGCCCCAAATGTTATACTTCAAATGTTGGCATTTTTATGTGCGAATGTTTTTCTAACCGTATGTCGACGTTTCTTGGTTTCTCTCCGTTTCGTATTCGCATTCTCAGTCCCACTCGCTCTCCCGGGGCACAGAAAGAAAAGTTAAAAACATTTAATAGGTAATTATATCTGATATTACCGATTAAAGAGCATTTCTTTTTGTAAATAAAAGTTGTGTTTACAAAAGTCAAAATATAGCTCATTGTAAAATAAGTTATATACCTTCTAGTTTTCATTTAATTATTTAAAATAAGTTAACATACTGCCATTTATGCTCCAATATAAACAGCCTTTAAATTAAAATAAAATGTTAAAATCATAAAAAAATAATGTCGACTAAACAGAAAAGTAGTACAAATTCATTTGATAGTCTTCGTTCTTTAACTAAATATTATTTTAAAATGTTTTGCTGGGCATCATGACTCTATTTTAAACTTCATATTTTACTCATCCTCCCAAAGAGATTCGTATAAGAAATCCAATATGTAAAATAAATGTTTAGGATCCAAATATATAATTTGGTATGTTAGGCTGTCTCATAGGTAGCAGTGAACTAGTTTATTTTTAATAAACAAAGCAGATCCTTTAAAAACACAAAATTAAAATCATATTTTTGAACTATTCAATCAATATGTTAATTAAGCTGAAAAATCGGATACTAATTGGACTTAGTGTTACCTAAGCAAACATTTTTGGTATTAACTAGCTAACACAACAGAATAACATTTATTTATTTTAACCCAAAATTAGAGATGTTTTGTTATAGTTGAAACTAGCTAAGCTACTCTACTCTGTTATTTATTACAGCTACTCTGTTATTTATATATAGTTCCAATTTTCAGCTTTTAAATAAATTTATCATAGTATATTATAGTATTAAAACAGACATTACTATATTAAACTAATTTTACAAAAAGCTTAAGCAATAATAATGTTTCTTGTAAGCAGCCCATTTTAAATTTTGGAATATTAACTATTAACGTTTTAACAGGTATAGAAACAGAATATACATATATTAATATTTCACAAATTAGAATTGGAATATTTCTTGTTGTGTATGTTTTTGGGTGTGGAAGTGAGAGGGAATTGAATGCGCCATTTTTGCCAACATCCTCTAAACACAATGGGGGGATACAGGAGCAAAAGAGAGAGAGAGAGAGTGAGAGGAGAACTGACAAAAGGGGAGCGGGGCAGACTGTACATGTGTTTGCTGCATTTGTACTTGTATCCAAGTGAGTTTTGTATTATTTCTCTTTTCCATTTTCGCTGTTTTTGTTCTCCAGTTGTTAGACATTGTTATTGTTGTTGTTGCTGCCGCTGCTGTTGTTGTTCGGTGTTTGGAGCCTTCCCTTTTCAAATTAAACATTCAGTAGTCACTTTTATTTGTTGTACTTTGTTCAAATTAGTTTTCCAGTTTTGCGGAAGTTACCCACACAGCCAAACATGTACACACACACACACACACAGATATATTTATGCACACAAAGGCAGGGAAACAGACACAAACACAATAATGGCCGCCATCTTCGTGATTCAGGACAATATTGATATCGCTTCTTTCACTCTTGGCATCGTTTTCATTATTCTATTTTAGCTTTGCCACCCCCAAGCCCCCTTTTAGCCCTCCCCCTCTTTCCACACTGTTACACTTACGAATCAATGATTTTTTGGCCAGATTTTTAGGGGCGTGGCATCGGCATCCGGTATGTATCTTTATCCCAGCTTAGTAGTGTTGGTATTATCCATGGGAAGGGGGTGCATATATAGGGGGCTTTTGGATCTGTCCGTTGAGCAATTTAGATGCGGAAAATTTATTGCGGCTTTCCTTTGTCTTTTTTATAAGCAAACAGCCGAAATGGTTCGAACAAAAATGTAATCAAGTTTTATGAGGCGGACATGAATTCTACCAACATGGAGGAGCTTTATTAGCAGGTGAGTCCTTAACAAAAACTTAATTTAACTCTGATATCCTATTACATATATTAAAAATAAAACCTTTATAATATATTTTCCCATATTATTCATTATTTATACAATATTAATACACTTTAATTGATAAAAAGTAATAAAACCAAGAAAACTTTTTTAGAAAAAATAACTTTAAATTTATTGTTTATTTTAAACTAAATAAATTTATAGAAAACACCTTCAAAGTCAACCAAAAATCCATCTGCTACCAAGGATAATCTATGTAGACTATCCTTCTAATCAACCCACTTAATCCCCCCAGAAGTTCCATCTAATATATCGAAAATATTTGCTCTTTCAATCCACTTTTCATTACTTATCCGCCTGTTCAATGGTTTCCCTGGCAATTAAACGTTTCCAACTAGGTACTTCACCCCATCCCTACCCATAGCCATCGGTATCCTGGGCCAATCCGTGGTCATAGCCGTATCCATGTTCCCTGTCAGACTACGGTTAATCACCGCTTAAGAACAGCATGAGTCCGGAAAAAGGACTCTGGCGGCCAGTTGAGCGTAAGGATGCGGTGCATTGAAGCTTTCGCAGGGGAACAATTAACTTATGGCCAAACAATAACGCCCAGGAATGCACGCTGACAGGAACCAGTCACCAGGAGCACATCCTGCTCAGCTCCAGCTTCAGGTTTATATACTTACATATATATATATCCTTCGTCCTCATCCCGAACTGCAGCAACAGCGGCATGATCCAGCAATAATCCCTCTTTTGTCAGCAAATTTATTGCACACAAACAAACCAAAGGACCAAAGGATATGGCAAGAGCATGAAACGGGTGGGGAGACGCCTTGACTACGGATTCGGATTTGGGATTGGTCTTTGGCTTGGATGAGCGCAGACTTTTGACAATACAAATTTTTATTGCGAAATCTGCAAAAGGCAAATAAAAGATTTGACACTTGAATTGCTTTGACTGCAAGGATACGGCCAGGACAATCACTTCTTTTGGCACAAACAAAGGCGACAGTTGCCAGCCCCAAATGATGTCCCGCCTTCGACGGTTTACACTTTAAAAAAATGTTAAAAGCAAGCATATAAAGAGATGTAAGATATGTCATATGATATGAGTTTATAATTTGTGGAACTGCATTTATTAATTGCGTCTGTTAAAATTTCGTATAAGAAAGCATTAATTGTCGCAAAAACTAATGATTACTTCGAAACGTCTTATCAATTCGGAAAATCTGAGATACGCATTCGATCTTACGGAAAAATAGTATAGTTCTTAGAACGTAGTTGCTCATTAGTATTAATTTAGTAAAACAAAATGAATATTGTAATATTCTAGATAGCAAACTGACTCAAGAAGAGTTCTTAAAATCTTTCTCATGTGTACTCTTATGTGCATCAAAGAATGGAATGGATCTGCCACTAATTTGTTCTTCAGTTGCCGCATCCTGTCGCATCCTTCATCGATGCACGGCCATCTGACTGGCTGTGGCACCTGCTGGATCGCAAAGGCAAACACTTGAGGCCGCTTGAGAAGTTCGGGATGCCGAGGGAAGGCAGGTTTAATAGCTTCACTTCTTATGTCATTATTAAATCTTTGAAGTATCGCAGAAGCGGAGAAAACAAGGCAGGACTCCGCTCGTAAGAGATACACATACTGGCACTTGAATACTTGAGTGACGCTCAATTTGATGGACAAGGACGTCGAGAATCAGGGAGCAAACCACCCCAGGATCCCAGGCAGGACAATGGGAAAAATCACAGCAGGCAGCGAACAAATTGCACAACTGCAGCCGCAAATTTTGTTTCAGGATCTCCAACCTGCCAACAAGTGGCAAGCACAACAATGGATTCGATTTAACCATCCTTCCTCCACCCGCCCCTCGTAATCCCAATCCTGTGGACGAGCTGGAATATTTCACGCTCGATTTATCCCGGTTTTATACTTTCTGTTTTACTGCAGAGGGTTGGGACAAATAGCAAGTGCCACACACCAATGTTTCGTGGCTCATTTCATTCAGTTTTGTTCATTTGATGTGGATGTGGATGTGTATGACGATGATGATGGTGGCAGTGGTGGTGGTGGTAGTAGTGATGCCTTTGCCTAAGCCTCTTGTTTGGCGGCAATAAAAATCGAGAACCGTGTGCCTAAGCCTCCTTCGGAAACCCACTTCCCGTCCCGTTCCCCCTGCGCGCAGAGTACGTCAATTTCTCAATTCATAAATAAAACCCAAAGCCCTTTCAATGTGTCAGCACAAGTGTGGAAATTACTGGGCGGGTGGAAATGTGGAAAAGTGGGCATCGCGCTCTGAGTGTGTTATTGTTGTTTATTTACAGCTGGATCTGCCTGAGCCACCTATAACCGCAGCCAAAAGGATTTCCTCCCGCCTCACCACCCCATTTCACCATCCATTTTTGAATTGCTCTGCATCCTCGAGGAGCTCAACTGGGTACTTGGATCGCATTAAGTTGATTTATTATGCAGCGCAGAATTCAATT